TGAAGGAGCCAGTGTTGTAATCGGATAGCAAAGCACCGACAGACAGAATCAAATCAGCAGACTCTACAACCTTCTTGACTTCTGGACTAGATAAAGTATCAACATAGATACCACCGTATCTTGGATGAGTCTCATCAATTGTACCATTTCCTAGTGGTGTAGACGAGGGCAGGGAGTTGTGTAACATCTACTAATTTTCTAGTCTCGGCTTCGACGTTATATCTAGCGGCATAATCATCAACTCTCTCAATTGGGTTCTTAACACACACAATCAAATTCAAGATTTCATTAATTACTTGGTCCTTATACAGATTGACTATTTCATAATCCACAAGATATTCTCTTGATGATTTTATACCTTAGGTTCTTTGCCTTTTACTCAGTTAATGTTGTTATATCTATTGTAACTCCACGAGGAATATCAGAGGACATGATACTACCCAACAAAATAAATATAAACATTTAGTACCTAAAGTACATCTTTTTATTAAAATGAAAATTTGAAATATTAAAATAGAAAAACAGGTATTTCGACTATAACATATTTCCCTGTAGGAAAATATGACTTTGGAATGATTTCATCATGTTCAAGTAGAAATTATCCATTCATCCTTCTTTTCTAAAAAATATTTAAATGGACTTCCGTATAGGATAAGAATGAACAATACGGCAACCCTTAACCAGTACTTTAATTAGCACTAACGTTGAATATCTCCATAAAGTACACAGATGAATGATAACTACAGATCGTCATCAAATTAGGAGTACTAGCGAGTAAAGGTTGATTGTTGAAATATGAGAACCACAGTCCATTTTAAACAATTAATTCAATTACAATTATATGACTATGGGGACATTTTTTAGGTAAGTAAAGAAATCCAACCTCACACTAATTTCAAATAGGATTTGCACCAGATTGTCCTCTTTTGGTGCAAATTAATCAAGTAATGGAGATTGCGCAGTCTTCATCAGTTGGATTAATATTATTAAACTTGACAATAATTTCTCACAAATTAGAACCATATTTACAGTATATCGAGAAATGAAAATCATTTCACGAGGATTAATTAATAAAGGTAGACGAAAATGAACCTTCCTCTTCTATCTGATCGAGAATATTACTTTCTGGAGTGTATCAATTATCGATGTTAATCTTTCTCTTATTTTTAAAGCTTCACGGTTTTGCGTAATCTTTGGGCCGTTCCACAGAGCAAAAAATATTTTCTCATATATTGCCGTAGCCTACTTTATACTGGAGGAAAACAAAAAAAGGAATGATTTACAAGCAAAGACCTTCTTTCACAAAGTCACAGAAAATATCGTACAAGATAAAAATTCTCGAGGTGTTTTGGTCGATGAGAAGGCTGAAATAATTGCGTGTCAATAAAGGGAAGGAAATGATGGACTTTTTGGATGCTTACTTCTCCTCCTCCTAAAACAAATAGCTCTATGCAACTCCTATTTGTTTGACTTAGTTACTGGTAAATACGCAAAAGAAGTAAAGAATTGAATATTGTTTATAATTCTCCGAAGGATATATCGGGGGGAAGTTACGATTACTGGCATTCCATTAAACCTTGGAGATTAAATAATAAAGTCTTCATTAGAATCGCCAAGAGCAACTTCTACTAGACATCGCTTTTCTTTTATAATAATATGAGGATCCTATGTGATCGACCCTCCGATCTCTGTGAAAATGTAATTTATACTGTCGTCAGTTCAGGGGAAAGAAGAGGTAAATATCCTTGTTAAACTGTTTTTCTTAGCAACAAAGGAGGGGACCGAGGGGATCTGGTGTTCAACGATATTTATTTATATATATTTGAGGAGAATCCCAAGAGTATTTGGTTATGTAATTGAATACTGTAAGGAACATTTTGTTTGGATATATTCTTTATAAGACTTCGCAGTTTCAATATGTTGGACTGGCAAGATTTGACCATTTTAAATAGGAAATTTGCCAATTTGCACCTTATCTTCAGCAATTTAGCTTAGGTAATATTCTGACCCGTTTTTATATTTCTCTTGCAAATAAGGGTTTTGATATAACTTTCATGATTTTCTCATATTTTTGAATTATATAAGAACATGGGGGTTTCCTTATTTTTAAAATTTTAAGATTCCTATAGTACTTTCTATATTCCCAATTTTAATTCTTTGGTTACTCCATGGTTAAAATAAAAATATCTAGGATACAAAACAAAATTACTATGCAAAACTCAATAATATTTATATTACTCTATTTAATTTCCTTTGCATATTCAGATGATTCTGAACTTGGGAAATATAGTTTACAACCAGGTTTATCTGGTAGATTATGGGATCCACATTGGACAGAATCTGACTATGATGATCATTGGATCCTTATGTCTACTTATTTTAGGACTGGGAAATATATGGACACAGCTACCTTTTTAGGAACGACATCTGGTGTTTCGGATCTTTTGATCAATTATGATGAAAATATTCCAAGTACTGTATATGGATTTGATATACCAACTGATCTGAGAGATTTTGTTATAACATTGAGAGGTTTCTACAAAGCGCCAGCATCCGGAACTTCATCAAGCGTAGGTGTATTTAATTCCGAACTAGACTCTGATGGTAAGTATCGAGCTTCCAAAGGTTTTGTATACCTTAATATTACATTTGGCATTACAGTTACACCGGAAACAGAATCTTCAATGTGTACGGAGTATGGCCCATCAACTAGTGCCTTCTTCCATTATATGTTCTACGATAATGATAATACAGCAAGTGAGACATTAACAGGGAGTACAAAATATAAATTTATTGAAGGAAATTTGTATCCAATTAATATTGCCATATCTAACATTGAGACCATGGTTAATATATCACAATTTTCTCTTATTATTGGAGGAGTAGAGTACCCTTTCAGCGATGATAATCTTTTCACTGTAGAATTTGAAGATTCAGATTGGGCAGATACTAATGACCGTATGTTTCCTAAGGTTTGTCCTATTTATGCAACAACGACAACATATACTGGAGCACAAGTAACAGCAACTACTACTATAAGAATAAGTATGTCTACATATACAGATGAAAATGGCGTTTTATTGACGGAAACGGTATATGTTGTCGCCACCCCTACAGAGGGTGCAACATCTTCCAGTATCGAGCCTATTGTATCTTCTATGACTGATAGTACTAAATCATCGTTGACTACTAATAATGAATTATCAACTTCTGAAACCATAGGACCTTTGACCTCTGATTTCATTGTATCCTCTGCTTCAGATATTGTATCCTCTACTTCAAAGATTATAGATTCATCAACATCAGACGTTGTTGAATCATCTACTTCACATATCTCATTGTCAAATAGCGGTGGTGCCGTATCTTCTACTTCATATATTGTAAAGTCTTCTACTATTGATGTTATTGAGTCCTCTTCTACAGATACTTTAGAATTCTCGAGTACCCATTTCATAGAGTCGTCATCATCAACTATCCACAGGCCACAATGGTCTGGTGAATCGTCTATAAATTCTTCAACCTCAGAATATAGTGAGTCCGACTTATCTAGTGATAACATCGAGTCATCTAAGCCAACCTCTGATGACGGAGTATCGTCATCGTCATCAGTAGAACATGAGGAAATAGCTACTACGTACATCACTACAGTATCTAGTACAACAAGTTCAGACTATGTCGCTTCTGTTATCCAGACAGTGACAATTAATGTTTCAGAGACAAATGATACAGAAAAAAATACATATACAACATTATCAAAAGAGAAAATCCAGACGTATATTACTGAAAGATCAATTGTAACAGAAACTGTTTTACTCTCATTAAGTACTAAAATTCCATTTACTTCAGATGATGCTTTATTTACCAGAAAACAAGAAATTGAGCGCACCGATGATCAATTAGTTGTAGACACATTTACGACACATGATATCAGCAATGATAACACAAGTTTAAGGACAAACTCAGTAGAGGACATGGAACCAAATGTGGTCACGCATTCTACATCAACTGGAATCGTAGCCCCTGTGAAAACTGACTCTACGGAAACAATATTTGCATCTATATTAAGTTCACATTCTATGACATTCTCAATAACATCATTTTCTCTTGACTATAGTGGTAATGCTGCATCATTAGCCAACCTAAATTTTTGTTTCATTCTAATAATTTATCAATTTCTTCTGTAATCTTTAAACTTTATAATATTCCAACATTTAGCAGATTTTTTATAGCAATAATAATAAATGTATAATATTATATGAGTAATAATGTACCAAATACATCCTATCTTTTTTTTCGATTCAGTAATTGCGGTTTATTTAATTCGTATCAGACTTATCGAATGTAACAACTCTAGTTGTGGAAAACAAAAATACAACTTCCAAATTTCTTTATCATACTCGGAGACTCGGTAGCTACGGAGTCAATCTTCTTGCCTAAACTTGTCTTTTCGTAGTCGTCCGTTAGTATTGGATAATTAATAAACAATCCCCTTCACAGGAGATGATGTGATAATAATAAAAAAAGAGAATCACCACAGACGTCAAAATTGCCTAAGGCGAAGAACGCAGATAAAGATAAAATATACGCGTAGTTTAGCACCGGTCAGGCCAAAGACCGAGCGGGGGAGACACTCACACACTCACACATCCACATCCACATTTCATACAGACAAAGAGTGGAAATCGGCACGGCAAAAAAAAAATTGTTTTTGTCTCAATTTTCTCTTCTTGTTCTTAGCAACATCAACCACAACTTAGAAGATTTTCCGATTTTGTATTAAATCAGCTTAACTCAGCAAATACCGAGAATTTTCTTGTAATAATAGGAAAGACACAAATTGTGTCCAATTGGTAAGGTATTTGTATGTAAGGCAAACGGCAAACTGTTAAATCGATTTTTGTTAGTTTAAGGCCCTTATTTTCTGTGATTCGTGATGATAGTTATCATCGAAGTTTGATTGTAGGGGGATATCAGTATCTATGATTATTGAAAGGATGCGTCACATTGTCTGAAAGATTGTAGAACGGCTACATTTTGTCCGAGGATTTACCTCTGTTTTATGACTGCGGCTTCTACAGTACTTAACGGACTGCCAATACAGTGGTCTGTATTATTACTCAATTCAACCCAATATATGACTGTCTGAACATTTTTAATGTGTGTCTGGTTGCCTTTGTATTCAACAACTATTCATTAATACAAATCATCTTGTCCCAATTATGCGGCTTCAAAATAATAGTGATATATTTATTATTGTTTATATACTTACCTTACCATGGATAACCTACTCGACTTAGAACATTCATATATATATATATATGACAAAATTCTAATAATAATAAAATATAAAAGGCTTTATAACTCGATGGTTCTTTTGTTTGTTTTGTTCAATATAAACAAATAAAAGTGTTTGCTTAAATCTTCATAATGACAGAACAGAATTTAATTTATAAAGACGATGATATTTCATCTCATAGTAAAGAAGTTTATAACATCACTGAAAAAAATGTTAACAAGACTGACGAAAAAATAATAATATTTTCAAATAGTTCATCATCAGACATAGATGATGATAATGATACTAAAGATTTTGATGCTGAAGAAAATAAACTCGAGATCACGGATATGGGAATATGGGAAGGGGATATTTCTACCATGAATAATTCACCTTACCCAGATGTTAGGGCTGCTGTTCCAACCAATGATGATCCTACTATTATATTAAATCATTGGAGAACTTGGTTCTTGACTACAATTTTTGTAGTAGTCTTTGCTGGTGTCAATCAATTCTTCTCTCTAAGGTATCCATCGCTAACGATAAATTTTTTAGTGGCTCAAGTTGTTTGCTTCCCCGTTGGTAAATTATTCGCTTTATTACCAGATGTCAAATGTAAACGTTTACCATTCTTTGATTTAAACCCTGGACCATTTACTAAAAAAGAACATGCTGTAGTAACAATTGCAGTAGCTTTAACTTCATCTACAGCCTACGCCATGTACATCTTGAATGCACAGGTTAGTTTCTACAAGATGGATGTAAACGCCGGTTATCAATTACTTTTAGTATGGACCTCTCAGATCTTAGGTTATGGTGCTGCAGGGTTAACTAGACGTTGGACTGTATATCCAGCAAGTTGTATATGGCCACAAACATTGATATCAGTTTCATTATTCGATTCCTTACATAAAAAAAAAGAAGCAAAATCAATAGTCAATGGATGGAGTATCTCTAGATATAGTTTCTTTTTATGGGTATTAATTGGTAGTTTCATATGGTATTGGGTACCAGGTTTTTTATTTGAAGGTCTTTCATACTTTAATGTTGTTCTGTGGGGATCAAAAACTAGGAACAATTTTGTAGTAAATACTTTATTTGGTGCTGAAAGTGGACTTGGTATTTTACCAATATCATTTGATTATACACAAATTTCACAAGCTATGTCAGGTTCTGTATTCGCTACACCATTTTTTGTATCTGCGAACACATATGCTTCGGTACTAATTTTTTTTGTTATAGTTCTACCTTGTCTCTATTTCACAAACACTTGGTACGCTAAGTTCATGCCCGTAATATCCGGTTCGACCTATGATAATACACAGAGCAAATATGATGTTACTAAGATTTTAAATCCAGATTTTAGTATCAATTTTGAAAAATATAAGAGTTATTCCCCAGTTTATATCCCTTTCTCTTATTTATTATCTTACGCATTAAATTTCGCTGCTGTGACAGCAGTATTCATCCATTGTGGTCTTTATCATGGGAAAGACATCTATATGAAGTTGAAGGACAAACATTTTGGTGGTACTGATATTCATATGAGAACTTATCTAAATAATTATAGAGATTGTCCTGATTGGTGGTATGGATTACTGCAAGTTATTACGATTGCTTTGGGGTTTGTCACTGTTTGTGCATTTGATACACACTTCCCAGCATGGGCTTTTGTCGTGGCTCTTATTATTGCTTTCGTAAATATTGTTCCTCAAGGTATCTTAGAGGCTATGACAAATCAACATGTTGGTTTAAACATCATTACTGAATTAGTATGCGGTTATATGCTGCCATTGAGACCTATGGCTAACCTTTTATTCAAACTGTATGGTTTTATTGTGATGAGGCAAGGGTTAAATTTATCAAGAGATCTGAAACTCGCTGTCTATATGAAAATAGCTCCAAGGTTTATTTTTGCTATTCAAATATATGCCACCATTATTTCTGGTTTGGTAAGTGTTGGTATTCAAGAATGGATGAGAAAGAATATTGAAGGATTCTGTACCACAGGTCAAGCGGATGGTTTTACTTGTTCCAATGGGCGTACTGTATTTAATGCTTCCATTATTTGGTCTATGCCTAAGTATCTTTTCAGTCCTGGTAGAATTTACAATCCTCTTTTATGGTTTTTCCTTATTGGAGTTGTATTAACCTTAGTCGTTTATTTTATACAAAAAAAATTCCCAAAAAACGAAGTCTTGAAGAATATTCATACACCAATCTTCTTTACCGGACCAGGTAATATTCCCCCTAGTACTCCCTACAACTATTCTCTATTTTTTGCAATGTCTTCAGTTTTATTCACAATTAAAAGGTATTGGCCAAAATGGTTTGGTAGATATAACTTCGTGATGGGTGCCGCTGTAGAAGCCGGTGTAGCGATAGCTGTTGTTATTATATTCTTATGCGTTCAGTATCCAGGTGGGAAACTTGATTGGTGGGGGAATAGTGTGTATAAAAATACTTATGACTACAAATATAAAAAGTTTTATACATTGAAAGAAGGTGAAAAGTTTGGTTATCAAAACTGGTGGTGATTCCTTTAGAGAATTAAGTAATTGCGTAATGTCACAATAAATAGTAATTATATTCATTTAACTTAAATTGTTCAATTTGTAGGTGTATGAGGTGTTGTTATATTTCTTTGCAATATCTAGACAGAAGGGCCACCAAAAGAAATAAATAATCACTTAAAGTTATTATCAAAAGAGGGTAACCGGATTAAGATAAATTATAGACACCATTCAAAATATATATGTATACAATTTATTATTATGTTTCTTGAAGTATTTTCGGAAAGGTCTTCGGATTTATTTTATAAACCAATGAATTTAAAATGATGCTTATATTATCTTAGTAGACAAGTAAATATTTCAATATTCAATAATGTTCGAAATTAAGGTAGTAGAAGATGAAACATTATGTTTCATTCCTTCTATACAATAAATAAATAGTTCAATAAGCTTCTTGAGCTACATTATCATGAATAAATTTTCCTTCGATAGTCTTCTTTATGATATCCTTTCTAACTAAGAAGTCACCAAAATGTTCTTCCTCTTCTCTTTCAAGGGCCCATCTTTTAAACAAAGGTTTTAAAGTTTCGCAGATATCGGTGTCCTTGACATTAGATCTGTATAGCTTGTTTAGCCTATTTCCAGAGTAGCCACCACCAATCATTATGTTATATGTATTTGGCGCCTTACCTATTAAAGCTACTTCAGCTAACCATGGACGAGAACAACCATTTGGACAACCAGTAACCCTCAATACAATTGAATCATGGCGTAAACCAAATTCTTCTAAAGTGGCTTCGATTTCTGTGACAATTATAGGGAAAAATCTTTCGGATTCGGCCATGGCTAGACCACAAGTTGGTAGACCGACACATGAAGAAGAAGACAATCTAAGACCAGAAAATTGAATGTTATCTAATTGAAACTCTTTCAGTAATGATTTAATCCTATGTAGGTGTTGATCCTCAATGTTACTGATGATAACATGTTGGTTACCAGTCAATCTAAAACCACCAGATTTGTTTGTTTTCATCAATTCAGCAATCCTTTTCAAACCTGTTTTTTGATTCATACCGACACTATCCAAAACTCTACCATTCTCGATAAATGCAGTAAAATGATTTAGACCAAGTTCATCCTTAACCCAACCAAACTTGTCAATGTTGGATTCAATAATAAAGGATCTAGCAGGTTGGAATTTAAAACCCATTTTTTCTTCAACAATGTCCTTAAAGTTGGAAAACCCAACAGTATCTATTGTATATCTCAAACGTGCATGTTTACGATTTGTACGGTCCCCATTTTCTCTTTGGAAAATAATCACACTTTCGATAGCTTTAATCACGTCTGTAGGAGTAACAAATCCTAGGAGTTTACCAGTATCAGGCCAAGTTTTTTTGTTATTGTGGGTTGTACCCATACCACCTCCCGCTAGCAAATTGAAACCTTCGATAATTTTAGTCTCTTGGTTGATAATAGATATTAGGCCTATATCACTTGACCAGACATCCACGTCATTATATGGTGGAGCAGCAATATTAACCTTGAATTTTCTTGGTAGATAAACAGGACTGTATATTGGTTCAATATCAACTAAAGCATGACCGCTTACCATTGATTTCTGTTTTCTTGGCCCATCTGGTCTATTCTTATATATGGATGGCCAATTTTGGTAGTCATCGCGACCATCTACGCCTTCTAACCATATTTCGTGATAAGCTGTAGTTTTTGGTAAGAAATATTCGGAAATTTGTTTAGCGAATGAGACAAGCTGGTCGTGGATTTTAGAATTTTCTGGAACGGCAGAAATCATAACGTCTCTGTTAACATCACCAGACCCCGCCAAAGTGTCCATTAATAGGGAGTTCATAGCTCTAATAGTGTGTTTGATATCCTTCTTTAATACACCATGTAACTGGAAAGTCGCCCTGTTAGTTAACTTAATAGTACCATTACCTGTCTCGTTAGATAGTTTGTCGAGCAATAGCCACTGATCTGGTGTAGCAGTACCATGAGGGGTTCTCACTCTAGCCATAAAGGCATATAATGGTTCTAAACCTTGTGTTTTACGTGTATCTCTTATATCTCGATCGTCCTGCATGTATAACCCGTGGAACTTCGCAATTTGTGTGTTTTCACCCGTAATATTACCCGAAGTATTGTTGATCAAATCAGCAGCCAGCGTACCACGAAGGAAATTCGATTGGAGTTTCACATCTTCCGCTGTTAATTCTTTTGGTTCTTCACCGACATCTACGTTGTCAACTCCTAATGCTGTCCATAATTGAAGTTCCCATGGTTGATAACCAGTTTCATAACCGTCATCATCCTGATCATCACCTAAGCCTAAGGAAGTTAAAATTGTTCCACCTAATGATTCGAATTTAGAAAATAAATCTTTTGATGGTTTGTTATAGTAACGGGCGTCTTCTTTACGTGGCCAATATTGAGAGTCACCTAAACCGAACACAGAAAATTTAAGGTTGCTTAGATCTAAATCGCCAGCAGATTTGAGTTCTTCCCAAAATAATTTACCGTCTTGTGGAAATTCACCCTGACCAGCGGTTGATGTAATCAAAACAATATTCTCTTCGCCAGATAATGTGTCGATGATTATCGCATCCATGGACATCACAGATATTTTTAGTCCTCTAGCAGTACCCCTCACAGCTAATCTGTTAGCAATGGTAGATGCATTACCACCATCAGAAGCATAGTAAATGTGTAAAGGAGGTCCAGATAAACCGTTCATTAATTTATCTAAAGCAGCTTTATTTCTTAGTTCGTTCTTTCTTGTAATAGCATCGGACGCAGATTGTTGGATAAAAGGCTCAATTGAAGGGAATTTTTGTGTCAATAGCGTTAGCATGTTTTCACGATCTAAGAAATCTTGAAGTTCCTTTCTGATATTAGAAGAATCTAGTTTAAACACATCCTCATCGTTTTTAATGGAAGGATCATATCTATACAGTGGCCAGTAACCAGATTCAACAGCAATTTTTGACTCTTTGAGAATGTCAATTGGAGTTGCAGTAGTAGATAAATAGGGCAGATAAGCAACAATAATAGATGGACCTTTGAATTTTGCGGCTTCAATAACGGAAGTCAACAGTTGAGTGTATGATGAGTACACAGCAACCGATGCGACATACACATTATGGAAGTTCATCGCATATAAACCTATGTTCTTCTTGTGTTGGTTAATCCCATTTTGCCTGGAGGAAAATGGTTCAGAATCGATAATTAGCATGTTAACATTTTGTTTTGACGTCAATACCTGATGGACACCAGAATTCCCCAAGTCATACGACCAAGAATCAGATCCGACTAACCAGTGCGATTTAAACAGGTAGTCATCTAAAGTAGGAGCAATATCTAAGAAAGATCTAATTGTCTTGTTTCCTGGATATTTCTTGAAAATATTGAAAATTTTAGTGGCAACGTCATTAGCTTCTTCAAGAGGCACATCATTGTTGGATTGGTAATTAACCCACTCAGATAAAAGTTTAATTAGGTGTGTCACAACGCTAGTTTGGATAGCTACAAACAAAGTTGCATCGAGAGATCTCTTAATAAGATTAACCAGCACATTTCGTTTCTCCTCGAAATTTAATAAATAACCAAATCCATACTCCGGAGAATTAGCATTGACGGAATCGTTATTAAATTCATTCACAATTTTCAAGTTAGAAGCAAATAGCTGTTGTAAAATTTTTAAGTAGGCATTTTCTAAGGTTTGCGAATGTTCAATAGAAGAAAGAATTAAATCAGAATAAGTACTATCAATGTCGGATGTAGATTTCCCGATAAAGAGATTGTGATTTGGTGAATCTTTTCCAACGTTGGTAATAATAATATCCAAAGAATCTCTTATGGATGTAGAGGAAATTAAACCAACCCTTGTAAGGATTACTTGATCAATCTTTCTTTCTACTAACTCGTTAAAGTCGCTAAAAAAATCGAGAAGGAGTGGTTCAATACAATATGTTTGAGACTTATTATTTTCTTGAGAAGAACCTTGAACTATAACAATCTTCTTAATAGAAGATGGAATAAGCTTGAGTAATTTTTCAATTTTCCATGGTCTGTAGGTGTTAATATTAACTAGCGATGCCGAAGATGGTAAGTTATCCTTAAATTGATTCTCATAAGATGACAAATTAATGATAAGGACAGAAGGGGATTTGGTACTACAAGAGTACAAAGTGAAGTAATCAGAACCGTTTAGTATTTCCTCGGTGGTCTTTATTTGGTCTTGAGCAACAATTTCGACAGGACTAAATAAATTTTCTTCATTTGATAGATCATCAGTAGCAACTTCATAGCAAATGTAATGTAATACAGCAGTATGACACTTCGACGCAACAGTATTAGCCAAATTAGTGTTACGAATAGCAGCATTGGCTGTATTAGAAACGAAACTAACAATATTTAAATCCTTCAAAGCAGAAACCACAGAGTAATCTCTATGAATTAAATTCACGTTAATAACAATGGGAGTCTTTTTAAAATTTGTGAGGTGAGGTAACGCTCTCAACAAGGTGTATTCATCGGTAAATATGGTATTTAATAGATTATAAGTAGTAAAATCCTTGATAACACAAAATGGATCATTTTGGTTCAATAGATACGTACCTTTATCAGCAAATTGATCCTTAGAATTTACTGTCACAAACAGATTCGTTTTTTGGTCACATTCAGCACGCTGTAATAGCAACTGCAGCAGACTCTTCGTCATTATAAACTTGGTTTCTCGAAATCTTTTGAGTGCATAAATAGTTCCTTACAAAGAGTCAAAATGTATTTCAAATATAAGTGTATACTAAACACAAGTCAATTAAAAAATTATTCATCACCTGTCTCGTTATATATGCCGTTGTTCACTGTTGCAATGTTTTATATATTTCTGTTGTTTGATCAGTTTGCAACATCAGTATGATCATAAAGTGTGGAGTTGTGAGGCATGATAAATGTTAAGTCATTTCTACGAAAATTGACCCTAAAACATGGAACTGAAATGCCGAATCTCATTACATCAATTTTCTCAACATTTGAGCAAATATGGAGTAGTCATGCTAACTATTCGGTTGTCATTTTCGTGTATTCTCTTTAATAATTACAGATTTAGTCTTGCCTTTCGTATCTGGTGAATAAGTTATTTAACTTAATAAGCCTGTTATTTAAGGTCGGGTACGCATTTAGACAGCGAATTCTCGTATACCACACTTTTATTTCTTTGCTCTCTCACGGTAACTCGAATAATCTGTCAATACAATAGAGAGGAATAAAGTCAAATTTGTAACAGCACATGGTTGTTCCTGAAAAGATGATATAATAGTTCAGGAACCGAATCTAATAGACGTGTCTTGTACCTAATGGAATGGTGGGTTAAATATTGATTTACTCTGGCAGTACGAAAATTTTCAAAAAGTCACGTGAATTTATCAAATGTTCCACAACTGAGGTAAGTGTGAAGAGGTACAATTTTATTTCATAACGCTGAGCTATTTCAGCAGTGGTATGATATATGGCAGCATATATCACCTCAGTCGTATTAATAAGTAGCATCGTATTCAATAACTAATATCGGAAGAAATCGACTGGTAATATGACGGTATCAATGAATAATCATATTATGGCAATATTAGTGAATTTTAATCTAAGACTTACGACGGTTTAATTTTTTTATCTTTTCATTAATCATCTTACTGTTTCAGGATTTTGTAACTTGAATTCTTCTTTAATTATGTATACCTTTCTAAGTTATAGTAACCAATCAAGAGTGTATTATTTCTGTTTTGATACAATCAAACAATTCAGTAATTAGCAATTCTTACTTTAGTTTGGTCTAGAGAATATGGACATTGATTGCAGTTGATGTAACTGAAAATATGGATATCAACTTATTCAGACTGTAATATTTAATATAAAAAGCCTACAAATGAAACCAATTTTTTGAGGCAATTTAGGCATGAAGAAAGGAACACGATGTAACTCTCGTTTCAAATATACATACTTATATATATCTGAACTCGGTTAGAGAATAGAAAAACAAATGGGTGTCAATGATGTGACAATATGGAAAAAGATGCGGCTTCGTAGAAAAAATTGTTATCTTCAACGCTCGGAAAAGAACATTTGCTTAGTAAGCGTTTTATTTGTAATCAAGTTTTCTCTGATTGGTCAGATTGATCTAAATAGGGAGTCACGTGCTTTGATGTTCCTTATTTTTCCACCTACACACTTTTTCACTGAATAACCATTAGGAATAAGAAGTAACAAGAGTTTCAAGTTTATTTGTTATTGAGAGCTTGAATTACAGACAGAAGGAACATATATCAGCGTTGTTATTAATATTAAACAGAATTATCATGGAGGAAAAGTAAATTAAATTTAAGTTATTTCGCGATTCAAAGGAGGGGTATTGAGTTTATATATTATACAATGAATTAAGTATGTAATATTCTTAGATCATATTAAAGAACATGTTCATGAATGTGAACAACAAAAATGTTCTATTGATATTTAGATTAGTACCAAAATTCTTAGAACTTACGGCAGTACTGGAATTAGAAGAAGATGTAGTACTTGTAGATCGATCTACGGAAGATATGGATGAACTTCTGTTTGTTGTTGCAACGGCAGTAGTATTACTTATTTGAGTAGTATTAGAGTATGTGGCATTGTTGGATATAGTGGACGTGATATTAGATACTGAGGTAGAAGTGGTCTTAGTCAAGGAGCCATCCCAACAATATTTAGTGAAACATTTTTCACATTCTTCGGGCCATGTTAAGTCTTGTTGTTCTTGTTTACGTCTCATAACTGCACAACCGACACAGCTTAAGAATTCTGGATCCTTAGTCATATTACCCATTGTAGCTGCCTCAAAGGCGTTTTGAATTAGTTCCTTACGCTCAGTGATATCAAAGGATTGTTGGAAAGTACTGACATTAGAGGCATAGGTGTATTCTGCATTAGGTAAGTAGACAACCAAAGGAGGAATATATGCCAAATCAGTCAAATTGGTAGAGTTACAGCCAAAGAAAACAGGGCGCTTGTTTAAGCCGAGTTCAACAAAAGCGTCTACACCAGGAACATAAGGGAAGGCTTCATTCTTACCAATATCTAAGAATTGACGTTCGTATGAGTTAACAACGGACACCCCATTTGGATAACTATCTGAACCATCGGAACTGTAATCTAATGCGAATACAACATCCACATTACGTTCTTTTCTCATCAAGGGGGTGAATGGAATGGTTTGACCATCTGACCCACCATCAATCATTAGCAATTCTTCATCAGTGACAAATTCACTGACAGTGCCGTTTGATTTGTCGTAGAAGTTTGTTCCTTTGAATGGGTTTGGAGAATATAAGGACATATCACGTGTGGTACTCTTACTTTGGTTACCTAAAAATAAGGTTGCTAATTCATTAACAAGGAATTTGTATGAAGTGACATTAGAAGCATCGATGTACTCGATTAAATTACTGGATGTTCCAAAGAAGAAGTCTACATTGTCGAAACCTTCAACACATTTCCCTTCAACGATAGGAATACCATTAGTAACATTAGTACCCAAATATTTAACTTCACTGAAACTGTTGATAGATGGATCCCAAGAACCGATTTCAAATGGGTTGATTTCGACTGTTGGAGAGTTTAAATCAACTAGATCACCATTAGCCTTTTGAACTTTTGTCAATTCGATTAGGAAAGGCATTTCAGCACTAGTGAATTGTTCAATTTCTTGTAACGTAGACCAAGTGTAACCGACACCACCTTGAGGTAAAGTTGGAAAGAAAGAATAAGCAAAGGCTAGACCCCATACATCTGCTAGAGAAACAGGGAAACCAGCATCATATTTATCATTAACTGCAGAAGTAATGTTTGTATATCTTTCAGTAGTGATGGTGCTGTTGGTGCCACCTGGGGTGAAAGGAGATTGCACAGTGTTCCAGATAGAATTATCAGTATCACTCATTTGATCAACAATTTCTTGAACAGAGGTCCAATTATTGAATATAATTGTACTTGCGAACCAAGAACCACCAGATAGAGCAGATAGATATGTAGTACCTTGTAATAGACCGCCTAACCCATGCTCGTTGGCACCTTCAGTTCTATTATCCATGGCAGCGACCATACCAGCACTACCAAACATAGCACGATAACCACCACCTGAAGCAGCAATACCGACTCTAGGAACATCAGAAGAATTCTTGAACAAAGCTTCTAAAATGGATGTATCACTAAAGTTTTTAGTAGAACGAGTTAAAAAGGTTAGCAACGCATCCCTTGTAGAAGCGTCCTTCTTTTGTAACCAAGAGGATTCGGATTCGGATAAGCCAGAGGCAGCTCTGGTCAGATTAATACTTTTATCACAATTGACTGTAGCTGGTGCGTAACCATTTGTTGGAGACCAAGCACTTGTGACCTCAACAAGAGAAGCTACTGTGGCTAATAAAAGAATATCCTTCAACAACATTTTTTCTTTCCAATATAAGATTTTATTTTGGCAATAAGAAAATGAATATTGATTTCCAAATTACGCCTATCCTCAGCTGTTATTACTATGGTTTTATTTTTATAGTTATCCATTTTCTGAGTAAGAAAGTACAATTGAATATCCCAATTGAATTAAGTATGAATTGGTATAAATTGACAGCATCTTTATATAACCAAGAACTCACGGACGATTTTGTTAGAGGTATTAGAGATTTTCAATGTTGACGTTACATCCCCACGGTTTTCGTAAACAATTCATCAAAAAAATGCAAGCCGACTTCTCACTATGCAGCTGAAGTATTGTTCCCAAACCAACAATTTTCTGTTCGTCAAGTTCTACCTGCAACTGAAAAAGAATTGCCTCTTGTAATCATAAACTGGAACAATAGGGCCCATGAAATAACCGTTTAATAGCAAAGAATAATACGCACTGGAATCATTGCTCATTGGAGGAAACAAATTTACATATATAAAATATATTCAATACACTGCACCGGGATCACATATACGAGTCGTCCATGCAAAACCTGCAGCTCTTCCAAAATGTGCGATGCTCTCTTTCTTAATTTTTTTTTGTTCATCTTACTTTGTTGATTTTTTTTTTATTTCACGTTGAGTAATAATGTAAACAGTAGGCGCGACTGAAAGTTTGTTCGGGTATTTATTATGTTGCCAAAACCTCACGAAACGATATGATGATGGATGGCCAGAAGAAATCACGCAGCATATATGGGAAAAGGTGTTCTTCCTCAACAAAAATGAAAAAATGAGAAATGAAAAACCAGAGTGCTATTTCTGCGGGAAGAGCCCCACTCATTCAACTGAACGGTGGGGATGTCCTCATGGCGGATGACATCAAGTGATATTGAAGGCAGAGGGGGACAACCCTTAGGGATCAGGAAGCATTATCCTAAGACTTTGTAATACTAAGGACTCTGTGTTAACCGTTTAATTTTTGAAAATATTAACAATAATGTCTCTTACTGTATTAATTTTTGCTAAAACTAATTTGTTTTCTCTTGTTAACTCATTTGGAGTTTTATCAGTACAGAATGGAAAATTATACCGGGGTTTGATTTAATAATAAATTTGTATGAGAGTTGGTAGGTGTCATATTAAATTTATTGAGGGAAGTTCCTTTCCTCTACTGTCTCGGAACAATCCTCCGTTTACTAATCTCCCTTCAATAGTTGTGTATCTGTGCACTAATTTTTCTGAGATTTTTTCCCTTTTCACCTTTCGAAAACTGTGCGATAGAAATTGTGTATGAGTTTTTATCCTAACATTATAAAGTGGCAATGAACAGCAAACAAGATTCATGATACTTCAATTTCATTTCTCTTGTAGGGAGTGTAACAGTAAATTTTAAGATCGGTTGATTACTAGGAATACCTATAGGTATGATAACGACTTTGCTTTAGTGGGACATTGCAGCTTTTGTACTATATATTCGAAGTATGGAACGCATTAATAGCTCGTTAGATACATTATGAAACAACAAAATAGAAATTATTAGTGGTTAATCAACAACTGCAAATATGGTGACTCATTCTTAACTTGTGTTACAATTGGTAACATCTGTTACTTCATTTTTATTGTTAACTCAATGCGGCTGTGAATTTCGCACGATATCGCTTCTTGGACAGAGGGGCGTCATTAAAAAATATCCGAATAACTAGTCGTGCTCATCAAAAATACCTAATATTTCATTAGCACTACACATCTGTAATGCAATTTAAATGATTTATATAAGATATCAAGTGATGTTTCCATTATATATTTGAGCTGTACTTTCAGTAATTCTCGAGACTATTCAACGAAGAAGTAGGTGTGGCATAAGGAGTAGGTCATTATTTACATATTTTGTTGTCAGATTTCTGAGCAGAGATTCGCCGAGAACGATACTCTTAGTTACAAGGATTATTTCGAGATTCATATTTTGGTAATGTCAAAAATCATCACTATCGGTCCTTTATGAACTAATGTTGTTATGTTTACTGTTATCCAAGATGGTTCGTTAATAAGGCTACTGATTTGGGAATGATATGTATCGTGTAACTACTCGGTAGTATGACTAAGTAACGCCAATTTAAGTGAATTACAAGAGTTTGAATTTTTAAAAATGGGGTTCAAGATACAGTTTTTATTTAGAAAATTTCTATTCGGGACAAAAAAATTGTTTACGTTTTAAGGGACAAAAATTAAGTGATCTATGTTTTGCAACGCCGCGCCAATTGGCTTCTAAACATTACCGCAGTAGCAGGTTTCTTTTCATGGTTATTCATTTCATTGGCCCATATTCGATTCATGAAGGCTCTCCGTTACCGTAATATATCACGAAATGACCTTCCATTCAAAGCTTCACTAATGCCTGGGTTAGCCTATTATGCGACATTTTTCATGATTCTGATCATTATTCTTCAAGGGTTTACTGCGTTCGCACCTCAGTTTTCTACATCTGATTTTTTCGCAGCCTATATATCCATATTCCTTTTCATAGGCCTTTACATTGCGTTCCAGCTCTACTTCCGCTCGCCTATCCTTCTCCCGCTCCACCAACTGGACCTAGACTCAGGCAGAAGACACTTAGACGCACTCATATGGAATCCCTCTTAGACCCTCTCTATATTCATTTCTTTCTACAAAACTCCTGCGTTAATCGGTCCCATAATGTTTGTTCATTTTCATTTGAATGCCAGATTCTGGATAAAATATTTGACAATATGTTTTGTTTTAAACCTTTCCCAAATTGAGAATAGTAGATTCTGAAAGCAATGAATGAATTTAGTTTTTTATTTTTGCATATATCAGATGGTTGTTTTTTAACCATAACATTCATAGTTGAACCAGGTGGATAAACCACCAGGTCCATAATAAGTGCCTCGAGGTTATTTACATTGTATATATTATTGAATTTATTGCTTTGTTGTATATTAATTTCAAGTGTTAGTGTTTCAATAATATAAGGATTAGGAATAAAGTTTATAGATAGATTAGGACCCACAACAAATTCACTAGTAGAATAATTTAATTTCTTCTTGTTTATAATTCTTTGATCATTTATTTTAATCTTTGAGATTGTTTTGGGTCTTAATGATTTAGAATTCTTCTTGGTTATATTTACTTTGAACGAGGCTTTAGAACTTAACATTTTTGAGATGATGTGTTTTTTGATTGCTTGATTTATGGTAACAGAAATAAAACTAAGTGAATTAACTTTGTTTTAAAATAGATGTATTTATATACATCTATTTTACAATTTTGTTTTTCTAACCTCAAAATATTTTCATAGGATATGCAAAGTAGGAACTTTGAAATTAAAAAAAAATTAAAAAAAAAATAAATATAGATTAATTTAAAAACAAGGAATTATCAATATTTTAGAAATATATATAAAGAGCCAATATCAGATTCAAGTTTATAATAATATCTAAATAATATCAAACCAAAAATGACAACGATGAATAAAATACCTATTAGAGCCTTATTAAATCCTGCCACCAAAAGGAGACAGTATAAACCAGAATTAAAACAAATAAATACAAAATTGATATACATATGTTCCTCATTACCTGAAGGAATATTTAATAATATAGAGGAGATTAGGATTGATCTTCATGAGATAGTTACTAAACTAGGAATAATAAAGAGAGATGGTAGGTTAGATAACGAGGAACGCTATTTAATTAAAATATCATTTCAGTTGGCAACTATTGTTGCCAACTTTTTAAACAGCAATACTCAAGATAATATAAAAAAAGAAAAAGAACAAAAGAAAAAGAAAGTTGAAAAGAAAGTTCCAAAGGAAGATGATGTTGTATTTAATGTTGTAACACAAAACATGATGAACTTAGATAATGTAAAACAGAACTCATTTAGAGGACATAGGTTTTCTAAACAAAATGTGGAAGTATTAGAAGAATGGTATAGTATTCATAAACATAAACCATATCTAGACAAGAAGAGTACAGAAGCTTTACAATACCAAACCCAACTATCAAGAACACAAATTAAAAACTGGGTATCCAATAAACGTAGAAAAGAAAAGACAGTACAAGTTTCCTCAGAAATTCTACAACTAATAAATAGTAAATAAATAATGTATATATATATATATATATATATATGATATTGTTAGTAAAATGTAATGATGAGTAGTAAATGTATACAAGTAACAACATACCCATATTCTGACTTGTAATGGTGTGATACCACACTCCATTGCCACAATCTGTCTTTCTTCCCTGGTGATCCACTGTTTCTTTTCAAATACTTTTTCCAAAAATTCTTTAGTACTCTTACTAATAGTGGTTCTCTTACGTTTCTTTGGTACAACCAGAAGGTTGTAGTTATCGTACAACCTTTTTAAAAGTTCCTTCTTTTCATGCAAACTAAGTCCCGAATCAAGGATATCCTACTACAGTGTTAGTAATACTTATTCTCGCCCTTCTATATTTTCCCAAATTAACATACTTTGCTAATATAATTGAAATCTCTCTGTTGCACAATATCTATATTCATCTGATCCTTATTTGTTTGCTCTTTTTGTTTACCTTTTTTCAAAAACTTTTGCGTCTGCGCCGCACTTAACAAAAAGATTGACTGTGACGCCGCCCTCACCTTTTTGTCATCAAGTCATCGCTCTGGCGCCCGCCAGGCGCCAGCTATTATTGTTACATTTGATAAGCGAAAATTCACATAACAACAAATGCAAGCACTCTCACAATCATCCGATTCAATAATTTTAGTACCACTAGCAAATTATATTACAAATTAATTAAATCATTAAAGATATAGATATAGATATAGATATATATAATGAATGTAAAGACATAGACACTGAATAAAATGGTCCTAATCTTAACTTCTATTATGCTATTTAAATTATGTTTCTCACTATATATTGTTAAGCTTTGAACGTAATAATCATGAATTTTCAAATCTATATAGATTTTAATCTTAAAGTATGTTTTTCACCTTCGGAGAGTGTAGTTTCAAGAGGCATATTTTGGGTCTTCTTTTCGTCTTTCAATTTAATTAGGGTAGATTCTAGATCACTAATAGTATTAGAAGAACCACCACATGCAATAATTAGGATAACATCATCTGCTGCCAATTTCTTTCCTAATGCGTTTTCTAGGATATCTGTATGATAAGCTAAGTGGATTGCAGCACCACATGCAGGTTCAGTGACCATATTTGAGCTTAGAGTATATTTCAAACAAGTTTCAATCACATCGATATCATCTACCACAACTGACTTCGTATTATATCTTTTAGCATATTCAAATGTTTTATCTGAGATATTAGCTGTTCCTAATGAAGTGGCAATACTAGTAATTTTTTTGAATTGAACAGGTTTATTCATCCTTAAGGAGGTATTGAATACATGACAACCTCTAGTCTCGACACCTACAATTGGAATCTTATTAGCTAGGTTATATCTTTCTAGACCTTGAATGATACCATTATAAAGACCACCACCACCAACACTACATACTATCCCTTTAACTTTTTGTAAAGGAACATTTTGAGATTGTAAAGATTCGATCATTTCATCGACTAATGTGGAATGACCTTCCCAAATCTGTGGATTATCAAAGGGGTGAACATATATTGGTTCAATTGAATTATTATCAATTTGATTCATTACTGAGCTTTTTAAAAAAGTATCAGCTTCTTTCCAATGAGCACCATTAATAATTACTTTAGCACCAGTATCTTTAATCTTTTCAACCATTCTTTGTTTTGTCGCATTTGGAACCACAACGGTACAAGGTAAATTTAAAGTTTTACAAGCTGTAGCTGCAGCAAAACCTGCGTTTCCACCAGAACTAGCAAAGACATGAGGTTTCTTATTACCTAATTTATTAATTTGTGTAGCACTCTTTAAAATTAAATTACCAATACCTCTACTTTTAAAACTTCCACTTGGTTGTAAACATTCATATTTTAAGAAGAATTGAGGTAAATTTTGAGAACCTTGAAATACTTTCCTTAATAAAGGAGTCTTATTGTATACTACTGACATGGTGATATACTTTTTTAGGAGATAATAAGAAAGGTTAAAAAATGGAAAACTCAACTGGATATATGGAATTACTAAGTTTATTTAAAGACAACCGATAAAACAAGCAAGATATGAGAGACAAAAAAATTCATATTGAAAAGGGTTTTTAGTTTGTTTTGAAAGTGAATCTAATCCTCTTTATATACCCTTAGTCAAAAAAATAAAAAATCTAGGAATCTTAAATTTATATCAATGATTATTTTATCGATTTGAAATACGTATAAATTTCTCATCCCTTCATACTTTTTCTATTGAATCGGAGCAAAGGAATGAACTGAAAAACGTTCTATAGTAGAGTTTAATAATCGATAGTTAGATTATTGATAGATATTTTAGTTAATAAGGGTCCCATTCCCCTCTTAACTTCCCTTAGTTTACTGTAAACAAAACAGAAAAAAAGAAAATGTCAAAGAGTGGTTGGACATACATCTGATTAAAGAATGGAGATGTATTGCCTTTACATATATATATGTTTATAAGATTATTTACTGATCATGGTGAAGATAGATAGACACATAGACTTTGTCTCATTTTGGCTACTGTTTTGTCCTAGATTTCTCTGTTTGTTTCTCAATTTCTGATTGTGACAAAAAAAGAAGAACTATTGTAAATATATGAAATATAGTGGGGAAGGGTGATGGTGGAGATATATCTCCGTCAGATAAGCAATAATACAATATGAATGTCTATGTTTATATTGATTATGTTGCGGTGATACAAATCCACCAGCCGGTTTTTGTTTTTGTCAACTGTAGCCCGAGCTCATGTCCCATGACCTGTTTCGTAAAATGTTGAAAACACGACTCTGTGGGACATTAAGTTCGTGTTCTCTCCGGGTAACAATTATTCTTCAAAATTCAAATTTTCAATTTCTTCTGCATTGCAAGAAAAAGTAATAATGACACCACTTTTGGTAAAATTCGCATCGCTGTAAACAAAAGAGACACAAATAGAAGAATGAAGCGAAACTTTTTTATTTTTTGTTTTTGGCTGCGAGAAAAAAATATTGGAAAATAATAGCAACAATACCAGGAGGGAAGGGAGCAGATAGGAACAACAAAGATGCGATGTAATCAATATCGATACCTGTTGTTGTATTAACTTGGAAAACGAGTGAAAAAATATAGAGTTGGACTAGTTAATGAGTTTTACATATACCTGTTATATTATTTAAAATATTGAAACTTATATATTTGTTTGGTAAAATTGTCTATTCGAAGCTACATTCATATATATATAAAAACGTAGTACTGCTAGTGGACATAGATAAGTACTTTTGTCTTTGTTCCTTGTTGTACTATATTTATAAGACTAATCGATTTGTTGAAATAATTAGGTGTCTTTTAAACATTAGAATTAGTGAAAGAAGTATTAAAACAAAAAGATGACTTTACAGAACTTAGCAGATATATCTGATAAATTGGTAATTAAATCACAAGAGACTATTTTACAACTGGATCTTTGGATGAAACAACAAAAACGTCAGGAAGAGGTAATTGGGAATTTAGTTAACAATGATAATCTTTCCTTTGATGATGAATATACGTTATTTATTGCACAACTGAATTCGTTATATATCAGATCAAAATATGTTAGAGATAAATTGAATCAGCAATTAAAAAATTTTAATAATAAAGGATCTTCTTCTTCTTCCTCGATGATTGAAAACCCAGATGATTATGTTAAGCATTTGGTATTTGAATATAAAGATATTACAGATAAATTAAATAAATTATCTCAACGACAAAGGACATTCATAAATAACAATAACAACACAGATTCATCTCCAAGTTCTCAAACTACAGATCGTTCGAACGATTCATTCCAACCAAAACCTTTAAAAATTTATTCAAGACAAAGAGATAGTTTATTATTAGGAATAGATCAATCAGTAACATTATCATTATCTCCAAATGAAGGGAAAATATTAGATCAATTAGTAATACCAAAGAATACTTTTAGAAGTTTATCGTGTCATAATTCTTTACCAAATTCTCCAATTAAACAAAGAAATATTCAATCGATTATTGATACCACTAATGATAGTAAACCATTTCAATTTTTAAAAGAACAAACTTTAAGATCAACAAAATCTTATACCGATGGTTTAAATATTACAAAATCGCAAAAGAAGAAAAATTTAAAACAAATTGATGATGAATATCAAAGATTATTTAAACAGAAAAATAGACTCTCTTTATCATTAGTAGGTGATGAGGAAGAATATACAAGAACTAATGAAAGTCAAGATATATATAGAGATTTCGATAATGATGGATATAATGATTATGTTAATTATGATTCCGACCAAAATACAATTATGCAATGTAATAGTCCTCTCATTGATATGAACTCAAAACAACAACAACAATTAGAACCCCTAAGACGTTATAATTCTCATGAAAGTATACTATCAACAAGGAACTCAATGTTATTAGAGAAAAAATCAAAACCTTTAACATTTTCAATGTTTTCTACAAATTTTAATACTCCAACTACCGCTATTTCTGGAAGTGTTCAAATTAATTCTAACCCTATCTTTGCCAAGACCTCCATTGGTACAAGCGCTACTATACATTCGGAACCTGTCACCCAAAGGATACGATCAACAGATTTATTACACTCTGTTATGAAGGATATGAATACCCGAAGAGGATCTCCGATCAATGATAGACCTCAGAAGCCAACTAAAACATCGTTTTTCGATAATTGGAACGTTTTCAATAAGTACTCTATGTCTTTAACATCCGAAGTAGGGAATGATGATCTTAATAAGATTATTCCTTCAAATATCTCTAGAAAGAACAACATCCAAACATTTAGAAAACAAGTATCAAATGATACTATTGTAATATCAACTGTCATTTCGACAAAGCCGCATTTAAGGCAACTGAATCGCAAAAATCCATTTAGTAACGGCACATATTGTAATCATAATCAAAGGAAACCTAAAGATTCTACCCAGTTTTTATCTACGAACTCCTGTACTAATACTTCGGAAAATCATAAAAGTGTTAAATTTTCAGATTTACATGAAGCTTTAGATACAGAATTGGTTTTGTAATTATTGTTTCTCTTTTTTCAATAAGAGCATTATCGCATTGTAATACATATATATATATGTATATTATTATTATTATCTAGATCAAACTTAATATATATTCCACAAAGTCAGATAGCTTTTTCTTCTTTCTTTTCGAAGGCAACCTTTAAGATTTTAAAAAAGGTACTTACTTCAGAAGATATGCTTAACTATTCACGAATTCCTTTAAAGCTTCTCCCTCAAGTGCGGCTGTTGCAGCAATCTGTTGGGAAATCTTTTTTGAGGTCCCACGTCCTTCGCCGATAATTATATGTGTATTTTTCACGAGACAGAACGAATAGAAATCGTTAGCATCTATGGTCTGCGTCTCGTACTGTGGTTGGAATCCAAACTTGCCTAATTCAGAGTACAGGTTTGTCATTGCAAGTTTGTCACAAGTTTCATGTAATACAAGGTCCAAATAATATGACGATTGAAAGTATTTAGAGTTTTCTATTGAATTTGGATCGCTCAGATTTGGTTCAGTGATTGTATCTTCTTCGTCGTCAGTCAGTAAGTGAATAGAATCGTCATCGTCATCACCGGAATGTTCTGCTTTAAAGAATTTTTTATAAGATCTAGTAGATAGAACTTCAAAAGCTGCACATTGTTCGGCAATCTTTTTGTTTGTACCACGACCTCCACCCAAGTAGGAATTTGGTTTATTTAAAATATGACAACTGGAGTAGAAATCATTTGAACCCAGTTGAGTGGTAATATATTGTGGGTAGTGATTAAACATACCAATTTCTCTGTAAAGAGTAGCTTTATCAGTCTTGCTTGCAGTGTTATTTAAAGGAAGGGCTCTCATATCTTCTCCGGTTCTTTCAGTTAATGTATTACCTTTTTCTTTGTCGCTATTTTCTTTCATATCTTTCTTTATCTCTACCTCTACTTGAATATTTTCTCTCACATCCTCTTCATTCTGTAATAATGGATCTGGTACTTCCTTCTCTTCTATCTTTGAATCTTCATCTAATTCCATATTTTCTGCAGTGGATACTTCTAGGGAAGGTACATGTTCGACTTTTCTAGGAGTTGTCACTGCCTCTTTAATACCAGTGTTAAAATTTCTGACTTCCTCATCATTAAACGGATGAATTGAATACTTTGAAACAATAGAATTATTGTGTAAAATAGATGAAGCAGCACTTTGTTCAGCATCATGGACGTCAGAACCTTCTCCTGATGCAATTAATGTATTACTTAAATAAATATGGCAAGAAACGGATTCAGAAGTTTTAACTTCGGTTTCAAAATGAAGTTCCAACCCAAATTTGTTGTGTTCCATGAAGTAAGTTAGTTGTTCTTTGGCATTACCCGAGTATAGTCCGTTCAAATGATTGCATTGGGTCTTTTGAATTAAAGGTTGGAATACTGTCCGTAACCAAACAGTAATATCATTAACACTTATGTTATTATTTTCAATTACTAGTGCTGCAATATAAGATTTGAAACAATCACTTTTGATATGCGATAATTCATCTTCACTTAGGTCTTTGATCTTTGGATCGGCTAAAATGTCATTCTCAAATTTTCCGAATAATGGAATTTGACTTGTCCAAACAGATAGGTTATTCTCGTTTAATATTTCTTGTTTGATTTTAAGGAATGATCTTGTGTTAGAGAATGGAAATTTCTTGTAAAGGATATCTGATAGTAGGGCATTCAACCAATAATCACCTACATGGACTAGAATTTCATTATCTTTAACTCTTTCCGAAATAATAAGTTCCTTGTGAGCAAAGACCAATTCTTGTAAGTCGCTTTCTATTATCTCTGGTGCTGTAATAAAACTCTGTTTATCAAAGATATCGGAGTTGAACTTGTAATACTCAAATAAATCATATATATTAAGATTTGTTTTGGCATCATTGAGAGATGTTGAAATTAAAACAGCAGGAGAACTTGCAATCATCTTCTCCATTTCATTAGTTCCAGAAGCCAACTTATTAAGTTCTTCATTTGACAGAGAATTTTCGTATATTGTCTTGATTGAATCTTTGAGAGCTACACAAGCTGCTTGTAGTTTAACAAACTTATGCTTAATGTTTTTGTCACTTTGAATTTGGTCTGTTCCCATTTTCACCTGGAGTATAGTATATTGTGTATTTGACGGTGTAACGGTTTACTGTAATAGAAAAAGAGAAGAAATAATATAATTGAAATATCAATTTACGAAGTATATCAGCTCTTTAGAGGTAAAACTTTTTCTTATACTAAAGTCGTAAAGGTTGTAATGTGTTGTTTATTCTTTAGCATATACATCACCCATCACCTTTTCTTGTAGGTTTTACTGTGAGACTTATATGTCACAGCGGCGTTCGGCTTCGCACTGCTCTGTAGTAGCCCCCAACACCCTAATTGCAGATGGTGCTCCGAAGGAAAGAGCAAGGATCCTTCAATCAGGGAACTTATTCCTAGTTAACTTCGAGGAGATGTTATAAATCTATGTAAGCTGTTAGCATTGTTTAAATTTGAATTTTGGTGAGGGTATACTATTATGTGTCTACTTATTATTATATGTGTTCATTTTGCTTATTCCAGATGTCTTCCGTGGATCAGGACAAGTATGTAAGATTTTATGAGTTCAGTAATGCAAGCTTAGATTAACGGGATCATTCGAAGCTATCCGTGTGGCTGTTAAATAATTGGTTTAACTTCGAACGTCTATCTGAGCCAATTAAGAACCCTCTATTTTTCTTCTTCGGTGGAACTAACTTCCTAGTTTTACCCATATATGTAATAGAGGATTTATTACCACCAACTGTCTTGTATGAATTTGTTACCTTAACAGATTTCGTTCCCTCTCTAAACTTATCATTGACATCTGTTTTTGAGCCAAAGAGTTTTAGAATGGATGGATTTCTGAAACGCGAGATACTTGGATCACCACCAAATTGGTCAGGATTCCTTGTCTGGTTCGTTTCAGATTGAGGATCTTCTGATGCGAGATCTACAATGCTACTATGTGAACTGTTTATAGATTTGAAAGATTTGATAGAACTTTGTTTTTTTAGGGTATTCAGATCATCAATATCTTTCCCATGTTGGATTTTTGCTAACTTTCTGTCATTTTCTATCTCAGCAACATCTTTATTTGTCTCATTAAGAAAAGATAAACTTCTCTGAACAAAATCTTCGGATAAGGTAAATTTCTTAGAAGTGGTAACAATCTTTGAATCAACCTCGGGGCTTTCACTACTTTCCTTTTCAGGAACATCTTGTGTGTCGCCATTAGTGTCTGTAGATTGAGTATCATTGATTGTCTCCACATCTCCAAAAGGATTCTTTGAGTCAGCTATATCTTCCACCATACTTTCGAAGAAAGCTTTGGATTTGGGGTTCTGGAGTAATTTATCTTCACCAAGATCCAGACGTCTCTGTTTCATCATTTCTCTTCTTTTTATACGGTACTGGCGTAGATCATCATCCTCCTCATCACTTAATTCAAGATCAAAATTAGATCTACCACGTTTTTTCAGACCACCATTTTTCAAATCATATAATATCTTTTCAACCATTTTCATATCAGTATCTTTTTTTTCTTGTGCAATCATTTGACGTATTTCATCTGGATCGAAATTCGCCTTCGAGTAATCATCAATCATTTTTTCTACTTCAGAATCGTAATCTTCCATACCTTCACCATCAGCACCACCTACACCAAACCATTCATCTTCAGATTCTTCTGCTTCCTCTTCAACGAATTTTGAAATGCCTTTCTTTTTCATGTCTTCTCTATTCTTTTGTACCTTTTTTTCGTGTTCTAATTGTTTCTTTTTCTCATGTTTTATAAATTCTATTCTTGCTTCAGTATCATCTTCTTCTATATTCTTCGTTGAGGCACCATCGTTTTTGCCAAATTCTATTTCATTATTCCGTGTGGTAGGTCCATCTAAATTGCTCCCATAATGGCCTAAATCTATAGCGTTCCTTACAGAAGACAGATTTTCCTCATTATTTTCTTCGGCTGTTTGGACAGATTCAGCAGCATCGCTATCGTCATCAGATTCTTCCATATTTCTAATATGAGGTGTTTTGGGCTTTTTGGTCTTTTTTGAAGGAATAATGTCATCATCATCATCATCATCATCCTCTTTTTGCTCTGTATCGAGCTCTGTTTCATCGTAGTTATCCTTCGAGTAATCTGCGCTATTGGTGTCCATATCGGCTAGATCAATGTTATCCTCTTCTTCATTGAGAGATCGTTCATTATCAGTGTCATCTGAACCCTCTAGTTCGTTATCACTATAATCAAAATCCATCTCACCGTCGGCATTCACCATCTCTTCTTGTTCCTTCTCACGCTTCCTGATTCTTTTGTTTCTTAATATTTCCTGTTCTAACAGATTTTCTACTATGTCTTTCTCTTTCTCAATCATACTGATATCTAAACCTTTCGATTCTATTATTTCTTTTCGCTGTTCTAATATCTGTCTTTGATTAGCCTGGATTAAAGAACTAAACAACTTGTTAGGATTTGATTTAGTTTGTTCAAGCTTCTTTTTGTGAGTTGCATTCTTCGAAAGACGAACACGAATATTTAATAAGGATGCCTTTGAGACATGAGACGGTTTCGGTTGAGAATCAGAATCGCTGCTGTCATCTTCTAAGTTGATAAACTGATCTGAATGGATTTCTTTCTTTAGCTCAGTCTCATAATTTATCAATCCCGCAATGTGAAAAGGGGGCATATTTTTAGTATCGGCAGTTAATTTACTTCCAAAATCTTCCTCTTCATTCGTCTTATTTGCTATTTCACTGTCTTCAAATTCATCGAGTTCTTTCTCGTACTGTTCTTCCATATTTACTGTTTCTTTTTCAATGATATTTGGTTGTTCTGTTTCTGATGCATCATATGATTCATTGGCACTGTCATCAAAGTCGGCGAGGAAGTCATCCTTTGAGAAATTTAGCTTAACACATGTTTTTTTAATTGGACGGTTGTATTCAACCATTTTTGTTTGTTCCCTTTGTTCTTCCTCTTCTGCTAACATTTTCTGAATACTGTGCATTTTGAGTTTTGGATGGTCCATTTGAGTTTCAGGCTCAATTGGCTGGGTATCCATCATATCGTCATCAGCCTGAGTCTTAGAATATGTATGGCCAGATTTCTCTTCTTCGGATGTTGAAGCATTGTCCTGAATCTTTTGGGTTTCAGAAGCATAGGTAGTATATAGCTCTTCATCCTCATAACTTATTTTCTGTGTTTCTAAAGGAAGTGGTACTTGTTGGGTTCCCTGTGTATTTGATATTGGTTGTGTTTCTTCAATATGTTTGATGGCATCGTCACTGCCATCTGGCAAAATTATTTCATTGGATTCACCTGCTATATTAAATAATGATTTGCTAAAATTTTGGGTGAAATTTAATATATTATCGTTGTCATCATTTTTGGAACCTTCACGGTTAGTGGAATCTTTTTCGTTAGAGCAATCATGAGGAGCTATTAGTTGTGTTTCAGCGTCATCTGTATTAGTCGTATCATTATTTTTACCATCATTATCATTTTTCGTTGGACCAGCTTGTATCACTTGAGTTTGGCTGAGACTTATATGATCCTGGTCAACCTCCATATTTGTATTTTCTTCCACAATCAGTTGTGTGGATTGTAAAGGCCTATCTACCGATGAGATAATCTCAGAAGGACCAGTCTTATGACTTGAAGTACGTTCAATTACTTGTGTTTTCTCCATCGTATCTTCTAGGTCTTCACCCCCCTCATATAATTGTGAAATTAATTGTGTTTGAGTTGGAAATAACTTTTCAGTTTGGTTGCTCACATGAGTGGCATCTTGTGTTTCATCTGTTTCTTCTTTGTCGTCAAGACGAATTTTAATTTTATTAATAGCATCATTATCAAAAAGAAACCCAGAGCCAGAAATAGTTGGCGTTTCAGCATTCTCAGTATCGGTCGATGTCACCTTCACATAGGTGGTTCTCTTTTTCTTTTTGATTGGTAAAAGAGAATCAAGTAATAAATCCATTTCTAGCTAGTTTTTGTTATGATCTGGTTGATAACTGCTATTTATTTAATTCTTGGGTCACAGGGATAATTCAGAATTGTTCAAAGTATTATCTTTTATAGATAGATAGATAGATAGATAGATAGATATCAGTAGTGGTGGTAGTATGGTTGTTATTGTTGTTATAGCATATCACTCTCATTACTTGTTACGCGTTCAGTAAATATTTTAAAGTCTTGAGAATCGACGCGTCGCCCTAATTGCGAAAATAAATTTTCGGGGCGACAGATCTTAATAGTAAGTAAAAACAATAATGCAAAAATATACAGAAGTGATGAGATTAAGATATTCGACTAAAACTCTCCTTTTGTTATTTTATATGTATGTGTTTGTGTATATATTTTACAAATCTTGCTCCTGGAAAAGTGTTAATAAATGTATATAGAATGCTACCGTAAAAAATGAGATATATAGAATAAGAACGAGAAGGAGTAAAGTAGGTAGGGAAAATGAAAATGTCGTTACTTCTTAATAGTAGTAACTACACTAAACCGTCGACAGCAACAGGATTAAGCACTCTATGATGCTTTGTCAAAGGGAGGGTTCCATATTATTCTTCCATTGAATCCTCATCATCGTGATGGCTTTTCTTTTCTTTCTTGGCAGGTTTACCTATTGAACTTGAATACTTTTCTTCCTTTGGAGCTATGTAATCCTTTTGTCTCTCGGTGTCTCTCTCCTTTTGTTTCCCTTCTTGGTGCTCTTTACGTTCTTCACGTCTCTTGATCTCCTTTTCTCTCTTACTTAAGAAATACTCACCACTTTCAATTTCCAAATCAACCTTTCTAGGTAATTGTGCAGGTGGGAATGGAGTGTAAACCTTCTTTTCCTTTCTAATTTTCTTTGGCTTCTTACGAGCAACATTTCTCTTCTTAAACATTGGTAAAAATCTAGACCAATCTTCATTGGCTAGTTCAGGTTTATTCGCTAATTCTCTTTTAATCATTAATTCCTTAATATGATAGATAGGATGGACATTCTTCATACAGTCTTCAACAACACGACGAACTTCTTTCAAACCTTTGAATGGACCCATGGCACTTACAGTATTACCTTGCACCAGAACATAACATTTTGTTAGCAACTCCAATGCCTTTAATGTGTTACCGTTTGGACCAACTAAACGTTGTCTTCTCTTAACAAATCTCTCTTTGTTGGTAACAACATTACCAATCTTGATGACGTCACAAGCCATATCATCCTCTAGAATCTTAACTGCCTGTTGAAATGGAACTGAACGAGCTAAAAGTTTGATCAAATCACGAGCTTTTAATATAATAGATGGGTCATATGTCTTTCTAGTTGTCTTGACAGTCATAGAACCTTCAACAAGATCAAGTACACAAGCAATATGATGCTTGTCTAGTGCCCTCGTTACACTATTCCAGATAGATTTCAGGTATTTTTCTCTGTATTTTGGAAATAGAGTCATAAAGCTGGACTCTTCCATAAATGGCAACCCAGAAGCATTATCCTCGGGTTTAAATTCTTCGATGGTCCATTTATCGATGTCAGGTGTATCCCAAGGCTTTTCCTTATTGTTTGTGGAAACCATTACTAATTATAAACTGTTGGTAGCTTTTTGGTCAGGTCACAATGTATAACTAAGTTCTGAACTGTGAAGGTATTAACGTTTAACATCTTTATCTATTAAGTATCCATAGTTTTAACCTGAGAAGAAAAAAAAATTTTCAATGCCAACGCTAATTTTCAAAAAAAATTCTTTCCTCCACGATTTTACCGAGAAACTTTCGATGTGAGACGAGTGATGCGATGAGCATACAATAAAAGAGAGAGATGTATAATATATATATATCATAAGAGAACGATAGTGGTGTACTTGGATTCCAAGATAATGATTATTTGAAGGTAAAATCATATTGATTACTAAAGAAAAGGATAGGCATATTTCAATAATAATAAAATACGTGTATATATAGGCTAAGAATGGCGAAAGCAGTGAAGAGAGTGACAAAAGTTAGCAAGAGTTCTAGAACTAAACAAAAGGCAGTGATATCACAATCACAAAGGAAGAAAACAAAGTTCAAAGTAGAAAAGATGAATAAAGAACATGATACAGTGTCCTTGAGTGCTGGAGAGATGAATAAAGCATTAAAAGGTTCACCTGAGAAAGGTACTAAGAACAGTATATTGCATAAGAGAGATCTTCTTGAAGGTCGTGAAAAGGATCGTGCGATTACAGAACAATTGGATAAGAATAAAAAAGCAGCTGATGATAGTTTATTAAAACAAATTGAAATGATGTCAGGTTTTTCTCTTTGAATTTAGTAAAGGAAACTATGGTTGTCGTGCTGATGAACTTGAAGATTTCGCTTGAAACTGGTCATGCGAAATGAGAATTTAAATGATCAAAACTGTGCTTAGTAATTCCTGGCAAACAAAGGTCAAAATACTTATCATTAGATTGGAAAAGATTGGAACTATGTATTGTTGTGTTTCAATAGAAATTCAAGATGTGTACTAACGTAGGCACCTTGAGGCATGGGAAACTAATTTAGACGAATACAACATACGGAATAATCGTTGAATTCTTATTTATTTGAAAGACTGTAGTTACAAAAGGGAATAAGTAATTAAATATTTATATTTTATATAGGATACTATAATCAATTAATAGTACTAAATGATATGGAATGTTGATACTCTTCATCGTTCAAATTCGATAATGCGTATAGTGGTAGAAGAATCTTCTCTTTTTCTTTCTTTCTCTCTCTCCACTTTTGAATGGTAGGAATAATGTGTTTTTATTAGAACCTCATCCCTTAAACTTTTACTGTTCTTACACCTGCTGTAGAACGGAAGATGGCGTCACCTTCTGAGTAACCTCTACCAACACCAAAACCGATACCTAACCATACAGGAAAAGTACGACGTTTGAAGAAAAGAACAGATGCTGCAACACCTACCCCAAAGCCTAGCCCAGTCTTGACTAGAACGTTCGATAGAACTAGATCCCATTTATCATTTAGAATGGATTTATCAATAGAAGGTGAGGTCGGAACCATTTTTTGATCTTTAGGGGTTTGTACTTGTTCGGACATCTTTTGAGTCTTGTAAATATGTATATGATATAGATAGAAAATGAGAGACTATGGACCTCTTATAGTGTTATAATCGTTTGTTAATAGCACAAAATCACGTAAATCTATACTTTGATTGTGGATACTTACTTGAATGTCAAATTTAGATTTAAAAATTCGTTTTAATTGAAGAAACCGTGATCATGGTAGGGGTTAAACTGAGACGGTATAGCTTTTGGTTAAAATCACGCCTTAATGAATTTCCCGTTTAATTGTTATTTCATTATTTTTTTCTGCCCTTTCCGCCCGTAGTTCTAACTGTTATGATTATTGTAAGGACCGAAATATTTGTCAAGCGTTCCCCAATCTGATTGGTTCAAATAGTGGTTACTCCATAACTCGTTGCTGTGGTCAAAGTAAGTATAGTTGTAATAACTACAAATGATATGTATCTTAGTCTGTCTAATGTGTTCATTTTAATGAAGAGTAGGGAAGAAAACTAAACATCCTGATGGTTTAGTTTGGTCAAACCAAGGTGTACCAGTTATGAGAAAAATGACTTCATACATATCTCTTGTAAATGATCTACGTACTTAATTATAATTACAATTGTTAGTACAGTCATTCTATAATTAAAAGGAGCAAATTAAGCTCCAAAAAATTTATTATTTTCGGAGATTCCTGAATATTACTTATTTAGTGAAGCCAAATATCCTTCATCGTATTGTCTTGTGGGTATATCTTGTTACAATATACCAGTTTATAGATATAAAAAAGGTTTAATCCAGGTTTAAACACTCACTAAGGTATATTTAGGAATATACAAAATATACATTGTCAAATTTTATCAACTTCTATATTTTTATGTTTTTGTCGTCTATCGTAAATTCTACAGAGAAGGGTACTCCAGTAAACAAAAAATCGATAGTGATAAAAAAATAGGTGAAAGATAGAATCTCCATTACTAATTTAGAATATAAGTCTAATTAATCTAAATAATATTTAACCATATATAATAAACTATAATCTACAACAGAACCTTATGTTTTCTACTTGTGACATAACTTTGGGCTTCAGAATAGTAATATTCATATAGAACGTGACACAAATCGAATGATATTAATAGGAAACGACCTTAAAGACAAGATTAACTCATCCCCATATTTTATAAGATGTTTATTAGATTGATAGAATGTTAATATTCAAATTGTTGACCATCAAGGAGGACCATTTACTTGTATATTTAAAAATACTTCCCCTAATAAATTCACCACCTCTCTCTTCCTAACCTTACTTTTCTCGCGCCCCATGAACTAATACTTCACGACTAAATTTATCGAGGAAATAAGGAAAATAGGAACACTGGAGGACAAACACAATTTCAATTTGTTCTACCAAATTTTGTCACATTTTGAGATAACGAACACCGGTAGAAAAACAATAGCCATTGATAGCGTCTCTTGACACCTCTTTTTAAAACATCAAACGTTATCTACTATATTGCTTCGTGGGTATTATCAATTAGGATTGAAAGAAAGGGATTATAAAAACGCATAGCGAATATTGAATGTTTTGGAAAAGTCTGGTCTCTGTTAGTTCAACTTCAAGACTTCTTCTATCTCAATTAAATAATAAAAATACTATCATTTCTGCATTGGCAATAGGTACGGGTGCTATATTCTTTAACCAACATAATTTTAAATCAACAGTTCTAGGTATTAACCATTTCTCCACTATGACTGCCGCCAACTCAAGTAAATTTATCGCTCCTTCCAAGCCTTCAAGCTGGAATTGGAGCCCAAAGAGGCTGATATTTGATGCTGAATGTATTATTCAAAACGCCAACAATTTATTTGATAAACTAGCTGCCATTGAAAACCCAGATATTGGCAATTTTGTAAAACCATTCTTTGAACATGAGAACCGTTGCGGTCCATTAGTTAATCAATTATGTTTCTTACAACATGTTTCTGCAAATAAGGAAATTAGAGATGCCTCTATTCGAGCAACTGAGCTATTACAGGACTTTGAAATTGAAGCATCTTTGAGATATGATCTATTTACTCAAATGGACAAAATTTGGAAAGAAATTTCTCCAACGAAGGACGAATTTGTAAAGGCTAAACCAGAAAATTTTGAAATTTACAAATTTATTGAGAAATGTCACAAGGATTATGTTCGTGATGGTCTAAACTTACCAAAGGATAAAAGGGATCAAGTTAAAGATGTAAAGAAGAAATTGGCCTCCAATAGTCTACAATTTTCCACAAATCTTGGTGAGCAAAAAGAATTCATTGCTTTTACGAAAGAAGAATTAGATGGAGTTTCGGCAACTGTTATGGAACAATTTGAAAAATTTACTGAGCTTGAAACAGGTATTGAAAAGTTTAAAGTTACCTTCAAGTACCCAGATATTTTCCCAGTTTTGAAGACTGCCAATAATCCAGAAACTAGAAGATTAGCTTTTAACGCAGATCAGAACAAAGTTCCACAAAACGAAAAATTGTTTAAAGACACATTAAAATTAAGGGATGAACTTTCTAGCTTATTAGGTTATGCAACCTATGCCAATTACAATTTAGAAATCAAGATGGCCAAGAACCAAGAAACTGTTCTTGAATTCTTAACAGATTTAAAAGACAGATTGAAACCATTAGGAAAGAAGGAAATTGATATACTAAAAGAGCTTAAGAAAAAAAACTGCGAAGAAAATGACATTCCTTACGACAATCATTATTACATCTGGGATCATCGTTATTATGATAATAAATATTTGAAGGATAACTATAATGTTGATCTGGAAAAAATCTCTGATTATTATCCAGTTGAATCTACCATTAAAGGTATGCTAGGTATTTATGAAACTTTATTAAAATTGAGATTTATTGAAGAAACAGATGTATCCAAAAAGAATGTTTGGCACCCCGATGTTAAACAGTTGGCTGTTTGGAAGATGGACGATCCTGAAAACCCTGAATTTGTTGGCTGGATCTATTTTGATTTGCATCCAAGAGATGGTAAATATGGTCATGCTGCTAATTTTGGTATTTCATCATCATTCGTTGACGAAAATGGTAATAGATCTTATCCTGTGACTGCTTTAGTTTGTAATTTTTCCAAGTCTACCGCAACTAAACCTTCTCTTTTGAAACACAATGAAATCACCACCTTTTTCCATGAATTAGGTCATGGTATTCATGACTTGGTTGGTAAGAATAAATTGTCCAGATTTAATGGTCCAGGTGCTACTCCATGGGATTTTGTTGAGGCTCCATCTCAAATGTTGGAATTCTGGACTTGGAATAAACAAGAATTATTATCGTTATCCTCCCATTATAAAACCGGCGAAAAGATTCCAGAAGAATTATTGGATTCATTGATCAGAACCAAACATGTTAATGGTGCTCTATTTGCATTAAGACAATTACATTTTGGTTTATTTGACATGAAGGTCCATACCAACAAGGATCTAAGCAACCTGGAATTAGAAAAATTATGGAACGAATCGAGACAAGAAATATGTTTCGTCGAGACTGGCAGTGAATATACCAAGGGTTATGATTCTTTTGGTCATATCATGTCAGATTCTTACTCTGCTGGTTATTATGGTTATATGTGGGCTGAAGTCTTTGCTACAGATATGTATTACACTAAATTTTTATCAAATCCATTAGATAGTACTGTTGGTGTTCAATACAGAGATATTGTTTTAGCTAATGGTGGTTTGTATGAAATCAATGATAAATTGACCGAATTCTTAGGTAGACCACCAAAGAAGGATGCTTTCTTAAAGGAATTAGGTATAAGTAACTAGTTTCGACTATATATATATATACACACACTTTATATCAATGTTTTTAATGTAAAATATTTTTTTACTATTTTATTTAATGCAAAATTGTGAGTATATACAGTTTATATATACTATGTTATTTAATAATTCTTGTACTGGAGTTAAATATCCTTAATATATTTATAATATATGAAGAATATTCGCACCATGATTTCAATTTCTGATATTTTGAAGTCTTTAATATATCGAATATTATTATTACCATATAAAATAAATCTTGGAAGAAATCTAAGATTGTATTTATAATAATTCTTTCATAATCTTTTATTGACCTACCACCATCAATATGAGTCTTATTATTACTATAATAATCATTAAGATAACCAGAATTAATATTGTTAAATTTTTGTATTTCTTTCTTATATTGTCTTCGAACGATAATTGTAGACTTTAATTTTTTATATGACTTTCTTAATGATAATATTAATGTAATCAACCAAATCTTTGAACCTATTTGACTTTTATTTAATTTTTTATACATGAAATTTCTTTCACTGATTATTCCAATATTTTTCAAGAAATAAATATTATCAAACAATGCACATAATGTCTCTAAACTGTGGACAATAATATCTTCAATATTTTGTTTTCGTATAGGTTCCCTTGGAGATTTCTTTTGATGATTATCTAATGAATATTTATCAAATGGAATTCCAGTAGTCCCATCTGTACCATTCGCACTACTAGTATCACTACCAGCACTATTGTGAACATTACCATCAGAGCATTCAGAATTCAAACTAATTGGCTTAGAAGTACGTACCATCTTCTATCTTTTTGGGTGTCAGTATTTTCTTTATATCAAGTTTTAGAAGGGAACTGGGATTCAATCAAAGCAAAAATTGTTGAATAAATACTATATATATGTCATTAAGATGAATAAAAATAACAATGAAACTGTGATGACTATATTTTTACAGTTCTATCAATGTTGAGTTAAATATATAAACAGGTCTGATAAAATACACTATTCAAACCTTTATTTTACATTACAAAGTAGCTAGTTCATAAATAAAAGGATATACTGTTGCTTTAATTACCTTTCAATCATTACTCAATTTGAGAATATCCTCCATCGAATCCTTTCAAATTCCTTATTTGTTCGGTTGTAAGCGAAAAATTCCATTAATTAAATCGCTGTTAAGATGCCGACAGGCTTTTACCGAACTGACTCTCTCTGTCTCTCTGTCTATCTAGCAATATAACCGCAAAAGGGTAAAAAACAACAACAGACAGACAATAAACTTAGATATACGTAGAGAGAGATATAGACAGATAATGATGCAGTGCGACTTTTTTTTTTAGTAATTTTAATTTTGTAAAAGACAAAAAAACTAATCAGATTTATTAATGTTTTATATTTTAACAACTGGAAGATAGTCTGTTTCTCACTTATTGTAACATTAACTTAATTTTGGTTAAACTTTTTTTAATATCTAGATATGAAAGTACAAGTTCATTGATATTTGACGACAAATTAGATAGTACGTCTAAACATAGTTTATACAATTACTATGGTAAACGGTTTTTCCTCTTTTTTTGATTTCTCTGTTTGTTTACAAAAGATTTGATGGTTTCCTACCAAAATGATTAGTATTACAACATTCATAATCCAATATATGATGTGTGAACACTTACTTACAATCGCAGGTACTATGTTTACAAAAGGGTAGGGATGGTTAGGGACCAGCCTAGTTTACTCGACTACCACAGTATTGTCACTTTGTGATGAATGAGAAAACTAAAAATGAATTATTACTTCAAATATATTACAGTGGTCGAATTCTAGATTCAAACACTTAACCTATTAAGTAGATGCTGCTATATCTTTATACATTTTTTGTTTTGTTACATTGTTTTTGTTTCGTCCAATTGATTACTACTATACGTACAACAAGTTAACTACGTTTCGCCTATTAATGTTGATTCATATTTTCGCAAGACTTTACTTTAATTATTATTATCCCAGACTTTGCATCTCAATCACAAAGTTTTTTGAACTTGTGTATTGATCATGTTTCTCCCAAATGTTGCTATTGCTTAATTTATACTGTTATTAGTTACTACTTTGTTATGTGGAGATCTTTCCCTTCAATGTTTACAGCAGCGATGGGGGGGAAGCGCGAGAACGGAATTTCTATATCGATCTTATCAGGCAATCTTTTTTTCTTGGAAATAATAATATTGCTCGGTTGCGTCGCCTTGCACGATGAAATGGAACTGGTATTTTGGCATTTGTCTAACCCTAAATGCGGGACCAGGGCCTGAAGTTAGGGCTAACTGCGGCGCCGTCACAAGTTATGTGCACGGTGGCAAAAGGACGACGTTCATGGGATACTGAGATTTCAAGACGCGATTTATGGTATATAAAATTTCATATATAGATAGTGATTAGCATCATCAGAAAACTTATGATGAGGGCTTTCTGATGGTACTTTATTCATATTTAGAACCCTCTCTTTATAGTCATTCCTTTGGGTTTGAAGTTGTAGATATACTCTTATTATGGCCAGATTACCTCCTTGTCAAAATATGATGTCTGGGTTTAACAAAATTTTTCCCTTCCGAAATCGTCCGTTCAAGTGGTTACCCTTGGAAAAATTAGCTCTTAGCCAATTAAATGCAAGCATGGTTCGGGTGGTAAATACACAAAGATTTAATTTTCTAAAGTTTGTCCGGTTTATGCAACACTGCCAACCACTTTTTAAAAACTTTTCTTTCTGACAATTGTTATTTAAAATCACCATCAACGAAGCTATTCCTTTTTTTAGGGTTATTTTTTTTTTGATAAAGTCAGTAAGCAAATAGGGTTTATCGCAAAGATTAGGGTTCTCATTTAGGGTTATCCATATATACGTATAGACATTTCTTTCAATTATTATTATCTTTTGCTGCTATTTCTGCCTCCTCCCTATCTAGGTTAATTCATTAGATATTTACTTCTAGAGACTAACTCGTATATTCACACACTGCTATTTTGGGTTATCTCGGGATATTAATTTTTTTTGTTATTAACGACGACACACTTCATTTAAAGTTTTAAAAGGGACGTCACAATTTAATTTTATTATTATTATTGTTATTATTACTTCATTTTCTTACTGAAATTAAAGGTCAACTATAATATAATAAATTTTGTTTGGAAATAAAAAAAACATTATTTTATTCCATTCTATTAGTTCTTTTTAACTATAATCATTTGCATATTTTTTTCTTCCAATTTCTATTTCTATTTTGACGCCTTTATTGAGCTGCTCATTATAACATAAAAAACACAGTCATTTTTTTTTAAAAAACAACAACAACTAAACAAATACACATATTATAAACATTATTTTCCTATCATTATGCCATTTTCTACGAAAAGATCCTATTCTGATTTTGTTACAGGTTACTCATTTCAAAATGAATTAGGACACACGTCAGACATTGTTAATAACAATATCCCACGTAATTCATCATTTAGAAGTTCGAAATCTCCGAGATTTGATGATCATCATTTTGAAAATTTGAATAAGGACAATAATAAGCACAATACTTTATTAGATTCTTATTTTGATATAAAATATAGACCATCAAGTCTATTGAGTTTGACTTCTAAAGAAATTCAAATCAATGATTCTGCTATAGAAACTGCTGCATCCAGTCAAGATGATGACAATAATACATTCAACATGGAATCAAATTATAGAGTCAATTCTTCTAACAGAAGAAGTATCAGTAGACCTGGTTCAATCTGTTCATCCAAGAAGAATTCGATACCTAAACAAGATTTGATTGCCAGAGAACGTTGTTTTGATTATATCATTCAAGCTATCGATGAAGCCTGGGCAATGTACTGTAACACAACTTCTTCTGCTGAAGCTGAAGTTTATGGAAACTTGAACAACAAAATGAATAAATTTTCTAATCGTCAATCCAGAGAAAGAACGTCGGATGAAGAAACCACTGAATATTCTGACAGTGATGCAGACGATTTCAGTTACAATTACAATTGTAATGGTAATATTAGTGATGACGAAGCTACTGAAAGCATCGATGGCTTTGGTTATAAATCGGAAGCTACCAACGTTGCTGACGATGATACTGATTCAAGCGATTGTAGAACAACAGTCTCAGAATTACCAGACTGTGTGAAATTCCAATCTTTGAAATGTAGATTGACCAAAGCAAAAAATGATTTAGAAGATTATTACGATTCTAAAGATTATGAAGATTGTATAACTTTCTGGAATAGATGGGATATGATCAAGTACAGTGCTGTTGAAATTATGGAAGACGATGACGATGATGAAATCGTGGAAAATGCATTGGAAGAACTTGAAGAAGGGAGATGTTACCTTGATTGAATAACAAAAATCACAAACAACAAAAATGTAAATATCGGTATAAACATTTGGGATTATTAAATTGGGAAGAACAACAATACATTATAATTTTTTTTAATTGAAGATTCAATAAAATCAATTAAAGCTTCTCCAATATGGGTTTACTTTTTTTTCTTATTATTATTATTATTACTACTACTACTACTACAACAACTATTACTATTACAAAACAAACATATAGCATTGTATAACATTATCATTTCTTTTCTTCTTTTTTTCTCACTAAAAAGGAATTTGATACTTGGTTATACATATTTTAAAACAAAGAACACTTATATTATCAATTTACTATTCTTCTATAGATCTTATAAATGATATCTATGTAATTGTTTCAAGATGCAAAATTTACATTATCTAGTCCTGTCTTGCCACTGCAATACAGTGAAAATTCTGTTGCGCGATCATTGTTTCATCTTCGCGTTCAGGCGGGGAACGAATAGTTTGAGGTTTTGAAATAACAAGCAATAAAAACTAATGTTAATGATCCATCGTAGACTTCCAAACTTATTGAGGCAAGCTTGTAGCATTGAGAAATTGACTACATTTTATTACATTGCACCACCTATACCATCTAGGAGTGAGTATATTTATATATATAAGAGATCATTCGAAGTATCTCAAAAGGAAATTAGTCTAAATTGAACTACATCTCATTTTTTCCTCAACAGACTAATCAAAAATCACAAGCTTACAAAGGTTCAATTTAATAATACTGAATGCAACAATGATTAAAGTGGAATCAAATTTTAATAAAGATAATGAAATCAAAGGTAGAATCAATGGATTCCGTCCTTCTAGAGAGTTGCTATCAAATGATTACTCCAACCATTATATACATACAGGTTCAAACCCTCAAAGTCATGTAACCAACATCGAGAATCCTGTTGAAGGTTACCCTAAATTACAAAAACTTTTCGAAGAAAAAGAAAGACAAGTAGCAGAATATGCTACAAAACCATTGGGTTGTAAAGTTTCTATTGATAAAATGGTTCCAACGTTAAACAAATGGATTCATAAGGATAATTTATCATTCGATGTTATTATGATAGGATGCCTAACAGATAATCAATTCATATACCCTCTGTTAACACAGTTACCACTAGATAAACTAGTTTCCAAACCAGGGTTTTTGTTTATCTGGGCCAGTGCACATAAGATCAATGAATTATCTAAATTATTGAATAACGAAGTCTGGGCAAAAAAATTTAGAAGAAGTGAGGAATTAGTTTTTGTACCTATTGATAAAAACTCACCGTATTACCCAGGTTTGGTCGGGGATGATGATACTCTTGTAGAAAAAGTCCAATGGCATTGTTGGATGTGTATAACTGGTACGGTTCGGAGGTCTACAGATGGCCATTTAATCCATTGTAATGTTGACACAGATTTAAATATAGAAACATCAGAGACACAGAACGGTGCTGTTCCTCCAGACCTATACAAGGTAGCAGAAAATTTTTCAACAGCTACAAGGAGACTTCATATCATCCCAGCACGAACAGGTTGGGAGACACCTGTTAGAGTGAGACCTGGATGGGTTGTTATGAGTCCAGATGTGATGCTGGATAACTTTGATCCAAAAAAATATAGACAGAATATCGACCAAATTGGTAGTCACGTCCCTTTCAATGACGAAATTGAATCATTAAGACCAAAGAGCCCTGTCCAAAGGTAATATATAGATATATTACATAACCATGTTATTATCTTTTCCGACAATACCCAAACTAAACATATTTTAGCATTTTTGCCGCGTTATATTCAGGCCAATCACATATTATGAACACTTGCCACAACTAAGAACCATTACTATACCACACTCTATTAAGAACTATTCCATTTAAATTTATTGCATAAAAGACAAATAAAGCAAATTTCACCACATTAAGAGAAGTTAATCATGACGATTTTTGCTACAATATATACTAAACAATATACATCTATTCAAATATATATATATATATATATGATAAAAAGACAAAAAGACAAAATAATAAACAAATTTTGTAAATAAAAAGAGAAACAATCAATCTAGAAGATGAAGAATAGAATAGTAACAAATTTTGTTTACATTTTCATGGAAAATTTGTGTGGTAGGGTGCATTTTCCCATTTTAATTTTTCGTGATTTCTCGTGTATATATCCCGATTTGGATATATACACGAGAAATCAAAAAAAACTTGAATATTATTATCAATCATCTGCAGAAAAAAAAAATTGTTTACAGTACTTGTTACTTTTAAATCTTCGTTCAACTAAGGTAGAGTGGAAACTGTTTACAAAAACTGTTTACAAAAACTGTTTACATTCTACTTTTTGACTTTCCAATTTTTGTACATTTACCACTTTATAACTTGTAACAATATAATATTACGAAAAGAACCTATGAATGAGTATAATAATTTTGTAATTTTTTTCTGATTATTCCTTCTTTTGCTGCTGGATTCTTTTACCTATAAATTTGAATAAATATTCTTGCGGGCAAAGTTCAAATTTTCAATAACGATGTTTCTGACAATGTGTAACTCACTGACAAATTAACAACTCAATTTTCTAGAAAGACAACTAAAATTTCAAAGGAGTATTACCCTAGTAAGGAATGAAATAAATGATTCTCTAAGATTCAACTAAATTTGAACTCTACTAATTACTTTTTGGAGTTACAGAGTACTGTTTGATGACCTTCCTTTTCAATAAGTTTAGGAATAATATCATTTAAGTAGTATAAATAATAAATAATTAAAAAAACGTCAAGGAACCTTAGCAGTGTAATACCTAGAGAGTTGTGACGTCTCTTGTAGTAGTATATACCGTATCCTCGTCATAAATAATATTTGATCACGTGAAGATTTTTCTTTTTCTTTTTGGAATTGAAAATTTTTTCTTGGAGCGATGCCCATCGCTAAAATTTAGTAAGTTAAATGAGAGTTTAAGCTCACCTTTGTATAACATTAGTATTAAAAGTCTGGTATTTTATTTTGGAGCTCTAAGGTTAATTTTACAGCTGTAGAACACTAACAGGCTTGAAAGATGGGTAGAACACAAAAAAAGAACTCTAAAGGTCGTTTGGATAGGTACTATTACCTAGCCAAAGAAAAAGGTTATCGTGCTCGTTCTTCTTTCAAGGTTATTCAAATCAATGAGAAATTTGGCCATTTCCTAGAGAAGTCTAAGGTTGTTATCGATTTATGTGCAGCACCAGGTTCGTGGTGTCAAGTTGCATCCAAGCTATGTCCTGTGAATTCTCTTATTATCGGTGTGGATATCGTACAAATGAAGCCGATGCCAAACGTTATCACATTCCAAAGTGATATTACCACAGAAGATTGTAGATCCCGTTTAAGAGGCTATATGAAAACATGGAAGGCAGACACTGTTCTCCATGATGGTGCTCCAAATGTTGGTTTAGGCTGGGTTCAAGATGCCTTCACACAATCCCAATTGACTCTGCAAGCCTTGAAGCTAGCCGTAGAGAACCTGGTGGTTAACGGTACTTTTGTTACTAAGATTTTCAGATCTAAGGATTACAACAAATTAATTTGGGTATTCCAACAATTATTCGATAAGGTGGAAGCTACAAAGCCACCTGCCTCCAGAAATGTTTCTGCAGAAATTTTCGTTGTTTGTAAAGGTTTCAAAGCCCCAAAGAAGTTAGACCCACGTTTACTTGATCCAAAGGAAGTTTTTGAAGAACTACCAGATGGTCCACAAAATATGGAAGCTAAGGTGTTTAACCCTGAGAAGAAAGTCAGAAAGAGACAAGGTTATGATGAAGGTGATAATCTTTTATACAATACCGCTCCAATTATGGAATTTATTGAAACTGAAGATCCAATTACAATGTTAGGTAAATTAAACAAGTTTGACATAGATCCAGAAAATAACGAATGGAAAATCGTAAACAAGATGAAACAAACTAATAAAGAACTTTTATCATGTATTGAAGATTTAAAGGTATTAGGTAAGAAGGACTTTAAGATGATCTTAAGATGGAGAAAGAATGCTAGAGATTTATTAGGTCTTGATAAAAATGAAGATGATGAGGCTGTTGACGTAAATCCATTGACAGAAGAGGAACAAATCGAAAAGGAGTTAAGCAACCTACAAGAGAAACAACGTTTATCTAAGAAGCGTGAAAAGAGAAAGAAGAATGAAACTAAACAAAAAGAAGTTACCAGAATGCAATTGAATATGTTAACTCCTGACGATATTGGTATTGAAGCTGCTAATTTAGGAAGAGAATCTCTTTTCAATTTAAAGACTGCCGAAAAGACAGGTATCCTAGATAAATTGGCCAAGGGTAAGAAGAGAATGATTTTTAACGATGAAGAGTTAGCGCACGATAATGATATTCATATCGATGAGAAAATGGTCAAAGAACGTGATTCATTTAAGGATGCTGACGATTTGGAGGCTGAACTAGACTCAATGTATGACAACTTTAAACAAAGAAAATCGGAAAGAGATGCTAAATTTAGAGCCAGACAAGCTCGTGGTGGTGATAACGAAGAAGAATGGACTGGGTTTAATGATAAAAAAGCTGAAGAAGGTGAACAAGAGGAAAGTGATTACGAAATGGAAGATACAGGATCTGAATTATCTGATTCAGACGATGACGAGGCTATTAATCAATTGATAAGTAAGATAAAGACCCAACCATCCCAATCTAAATTGAGTAGTAAAGCATCTAGGCTCTTTAGTAATCCAATTTTTGATAACGTTGTCGCCGATCTGCCTAATAAATTAAATGCTGATGGCGTAGGATCAGAATCTGTTGGTGATATCAGTAAACTAAAACCAAAGTCGAATAAAAATACCGCTACCGTTCAGAAGACTAACGAAGAGGTTGATAGTAGTGATGCTAGTGATAATGAAGATTCAGACTTTGAAATTGTGGCAAACAACGAATCTAACCTTGAAGATCTTGACTCTGATTACGATTCTGAAGAAGAATCAAAACAAACAAGCCAAGAGAAACACATGAAGGAATTAGATATTGCTACTGTTGAAGCAATGACTTTGGCCCATCAACTGGCCACTGGCCAAAAAACTAAGACTGATTTGGTCAATGAAGGTTTCAATAGATACACCTTTAGAGATACTGATAATCTACCTTCATGGTTTGTTGAAGAAGAAGCTCAACATTCGAAGATCAATAGACCTATTACAAAAGAAGCTGCTATGGCTATCAAGGAAAAGATGAGAGCATTAAATGCCCGTCCTATCAAAAAGGTTGCTGAAGCTAAGGCCAGAAAGAAGATGCGTGCTGTTGCTCGTTTAGAAAAGATCAAGAGGAAAGCTGGTATAATTAATGACGATAGTGAAAAATCAGAAAGAGATAAGGCTGAAGAAATTACTAGGTTAATGAAGAAAGTCACCAAGAAACAAAGAACGAAGCCACAAGTTACACTTGTTTATGCATCTGGTGGTAACAGAGGTCTATCTGGTAGACCAAAGGGTGTTAAGGGTAAATATAAGATGGTTGATGGTGTTCTAAAGAATGAACAAAGAGCATTAAAGCGTATTGCCAAGAAACATCACAAGAAGAAATAGAAACTTCTTTGTATTTGGTTTTGCTTTATTTTAAATAATATGTACATTAAAAAATAATAATAAATACTTTGCGGTAAAAGGTTTTAGGGATTCCATGTAGTATTTTAATATTATATAAAAGCATACACAAGTTGACATTACTTAATTATCCTTCTTTTGCTTATTCATAGGTTTTGGTTTTGTAATTGATGTCACCGGACCAAAAAGTTTGTATAACAAATATATTATAGATACAATTATAACTGATGAAGTCAATAATTCAACGTGTTTGTAGTTGTCAAAACTTGGATAGGGTATTGGGACAACTAATGATTCAAATTTCAATGGATAAAAGACAGTATCTTTAGTAAAGTACGATTCATATCCCATTCCTTTAGCATAAAAAGGGTTTGTATCAATCGAATCTGATCCAGTATCACATGCAATTATAATTTCAGGTGTGAAGCTGACTTCTCTCAAACCAGGCCTTCCATCCTCTGGGGATATGTATCTAGAATGGAATGTAATTTCGTTAATTTCATCACTCTTCAAACCAAAGAGTGTCTCTGAACCCCATGAATTATTTAATAGTTTGTAGTCAGGGGATTCCAAGTTATGTTCACCAAATATAAAGACGGGTTCTGATTGGAATTTATCGACAAATAGTTCTAAAGGTAACTGAGAAAATAGGTAGTATTCACACTGGTCATATTTAGTTTGATGTGTAGTATTAGACAGATCTATGATTAATTTTGGATGTAGTCCGATTGGTTCCTCTAATGATACTTTAATACTATTAGATACACTAGTTTTCACTGGTGCAAAAGCAGATTTGTATAACAGTGAAGTCTTTAAACATTTTTCAATTTTGGAATTTTTCTCTCCTTCTTCCCATAAACATCTTAATCCAGTAAGGTTAATATTTTCTGCTTCAATTAAATCTACATAAAACATTCCGACTTCTAATTTATCAATTGTAAGATATGTGGCAGAATGATCCTTTGAAATCTTAGGAATAGCTGTATTCGGCTTAACTATAGAATATTCATTAATCTGTAAAGTTGAATTGACACTTACTATATCATACTGTTTATTTTTCCAATCCCAATCTATTAGATCATTTATATTAACATTCAAATTAAGCTCTTTGGAGAAAGAATCGAATAAATTCTTGACATCATCCCTGTGGTGATACAATCTATAAGTAGGTGTAAGTATACTATCTTGTTTGTCCATTGATTTCAAAAGTTGTTTATCACCACCAATATAGAGATTAGCACCATAGTTTAAATGAGGACCAATCACATACAACGAATTAGTATCGTTTTTCCAAGTAAATCGCATTGGTGTTTCATCGGCGTCTTCTCCTAGGGATAAATCAAATCTTCTTTGAATAATGTATGGTTCAATACATTCCATCAGCTTCAAAGAGGTCTCATCCTGCAACACGCATTCGTTCAGAGACTCCTCTGACTTAAACAATACAGTAACTCTTTCAGAAATCATTTTAAAAACTCCTTTAAATTGTGTTTAGGAATGTAGACGCCTATTGTCTATCAACAGGGTAACAGTAGATCAATGGAACTTCTAACAGCGTTAACGAGAAAATAAAAAAGAGAGATCTCGCTTCTAATACAGCAATAAGATTCAAACAATCTTTAATTCACAGACCTAATGTTCTCAAAGTCATGGTTCTCTTCATCCCTATTATATCTAAATTTATATATATATATATATAAATTTGTCCATTTCAACTATTTGCCCGTTTAGGCAAAAAAATGAGAAAAACGCCTAGAGGGGGAATGAAATTCTCGTGTCGTCATCATCATTTTTCTTGTTTCAGCAAAAGAACGCAAACCGAAGCAACTAATCTGTAAAAATGTACCAATTTAGATATTTTAATTGAAATAAACTAATCCTTTTATATGATGATATAATCTTACAGACAGTAGTACTCTGATATTTTAAATTAACATCAAAGAAGTGAATTAAATAAACAAAATTAATCTATTTCGTTTGCTGAGCTCGATTATCTTTTTTAAAATTCTAACAATACAAATCCTGTATTGTAGAGAAAGGGTCCAAAAATAGACAATTAAACTAAAACTATCTCAAAGGCAAAGAAAGTAGAGAAAAGTTATACAAATCAGAGAAGAGACATTTGTTAGAAAACCCATTACTTTACTCTTTCTACAAATATCAAATTTACTCCTTTTCCTATTTTTCGAGAACGTGTTTTTTTTTGTGTGTTTTGCAAACTTATTACACGTAATCTTTATACCATCATTTAAAACATTGCTTTCTATTGTAATTTTTACATTAAAAAACTGAAACCATCCAACTTTTAGTCATTCGTTACTTTCTTTTTACATTTATACTTTTTCGAGACACTATTTTTATTCAGTGAAATAGTCTAAGCATTCGTTGGTGTTTTATTTCATTATATTTTTTATTATTTCAATCCAAAATATATTTCTAAAAATAAGACTACCGTCACTAGCTGTTCATATTCCTTATAATGACTGAAACCCAACCTTTTCAATTTAATAGCGTATCTGCACCCTCAGCTAATAATTTGGCGACGCCGTCGAGAAGAGGACATTCACATAGAAGGTCATTTGCCGTCTCAGGAGACTTTGAATTCTTAAAACAACCTCCAACTGGGTTTTCTGGAACAAACTCTAGTTCAGTTCCACCTTTGCCAAGATGTGTATCTCCAGAACCTTCAAATAACAATAACCTGAATATTAATAAATTTAATCCACATGATTATGAGAAACCTAATGAAGTGTCATTTTCAAATGTGTTAACTCCCAGAAAAATCTCCAATGATATAGCATCGCCTAGTCCGAGATTCTTTATTAGTGAGGAACCTAGATTTACATCTCCAGTGAAAGGGGTTCCAGACGCTATCATCAATTTAGATGACGCTTTAAAGACTAAACCAAGATCATTTAAATCACATAGAAGATCTGAATCTGCTCCTGCAGATTTGGAAGTAGCAATAGATTTCAAACATGCGAGATCTATTCCAGATTTTAGAATTGATGAAGAAGAAGATGCTATTGAGAATCAGGATATTGATGATAAAGCCTCCAATGATTCCGATAATAATAATAATAATAATAATACTAGTGGAATAGGTTCAATGATAGAGACACGTCCTAATAAAATTGGAGAACCAGCACCATTTGGCCTTATGTCACCTTTACGACCATCATCACCTGCATTTAAGAAAAATTATCAAATGAATGAGACCACTAGTTCTCCAACAAAATTAATTTTCCATCCCCAAAGTTCTGGAGTTTATTCAAACGGCTCAAAGACTGATCAATATAATTCTTTAAAGATCAAGAGACAAAAACAAAGATACTATCATTATACAAAACAACTACCGACAAACAACATTACTGTTAATACCCAAAATCAGGCTCTTCAAGAAAAGAAATCGGCTACATCATTAACCTCAGCCACTTCAAAGACTCCTGTAACAATGGTAACAACTCCATCTAATGCTGTAAACTCCCCTGTAACCCCACTCTCCAATAAAGAATTTAACCCAACACCAAACAGTTGTAACATTATTAATAATTCTGTCAAATCCACAGCTAGCAATTTAAATATTGGTAGTTCTGATGGAAGCACCTCTTTAATCTCAAATTCAAATGAACAAAGAAGAGCCAGAAGCCCAGATTTTTCAGTTCATCAACAAATGTATCATAAATATCCTACTTTAAGTAATCATGTTTCGAATAATCTGGGATCTAAATTTGTCAGACGTAATAGTGGGCCCGCTGTACAAACTTCATTTAAATTTGAAAGTAAGATTTATGATATACCATTAAACGACAAATATAATGATCCATATAATGAAAATGCAATGGAAGAATATCCAATGAACGAAAGATCTGTAACACCGAAATTTGGAGAACGTTCTATAATGAAACAGGACTACGATCAACTGCAAAGATCTGAATCGCATGATACAAATAATTCGTTAGATGAACCTAATGGTAATATGACTCTATCAATGGATATATTAATGGGTGAACCTGGTGACACTGTCGATCTTTCTAATAATGGTAGTGAAGAGATTATTGGCGGTCTTCAAAACATCAGTATACAATCCCCAGAAAGACACTCTAGAGGTATTAACTCCACTAGCAAAGTCTCTTTATCAAATCTCGATAAAGTTGACAAAAAGATCTCAATGAAAAGTACGGATGATTTAAAAATAACTGGTGAAACAAGAAGTGCAAGTGACAGTGTTATGGAGATTAAATCCAATAGATTACAACATAATTCCAATGCAAAAGTAATGAACAATGGTATTAGTACAACAGTGGCTACCGGAAAGAAAAAACGGTCTAAATTGAGTATTTTTACGAACTTATTTTCCAAATAATAATAATAATAATAATAATAATAATAAAAGTTTGAAAGAACAAATTTGAAAAGGTCTGACAAAAAGAGACATTTATTTATTTACTCATCTTCCTCTTTCTTCTTCCTTTAATGAATAATTTACCAACATATACATACACATATTTTTCTTTCTTTTTTAAATATATATTTAAATATAAACATTCAATAAATATTCACAATAAGAAGATAATTCTGCGATAATATAAATCTTTTATTAAAATTGATTTGATATATCTGTATAAATGATCATTAAGAGAGATATGTATATAGGGATCGTTTAAACAACTGATAGACTAATAGTTGTATTCGTTAGGTTTAATACCGGCAGTGGATGGGAAACCACATTCTAATAATAAATCGTCGACTATAGTTGGAGTTTCAATGATCTCATCGAATGATTCCTGATCCTTTATCAATAGGATACCAGCATAGCCCAAAGCGTTGAAACCAACGTTCAAAGATTTAGCTTTAATATTAGAACGTGGTACTAAACAAATCCATTGTTTAGTTAAAAGTAAATTATAACTTTTAACTAAATCTGGAGTTTCATTTAACCAATCTTGGAAGAAAGTTAAAGTTCTTTGTAGAAGTGAGAAATAACACATAGCTAAAAGATCTTCAGTGACTTCTTCAGATTCTTCTGGTAAAGGTAAGACAAAATGAGCAAAAGAGACTTTATTATCTTGTAATGGTTCATCTTTAATACTTGGTAAGAAATGATCTTTACCATTAGTTAAAGTATCTTGGAAAGGAATGAATTTTTGTGGCAATTCAATTAATTGTAAATGTTTATGATTTTGAGAAGAACCAGATTGTGGACCAGAATTATAAATAACCATATGTCTTTTATTTTCATCTTCATTATCCATCTTAGTAATCAATTTATAACTAGTCATTAATTCTTCTGGAGTTAAAGCAGACAATTGATCCTTGAATTCATTTGTAATCAAAAGAGAATGGTTTTCTACTATTGGAAATTTATTTAAAACTAATTTCAAATGACCTGAACCATCAAGATCATCTAGAACTAATAATTCTGGTTCACTTGCTGCCAATGGATCTTCAGAGGCATCAGTTTGACCGAATTCTGGTTTTTCAATCAAACTTGGAACTAATGATACGGAGTAACGCATACTAGTCTTGGAGTCCTTTACATTTTTTGAGTCTAATTTTTTGAAGACAACATTGTTATTCTTTTGAGCTTCTTGAAATTTATCATTCACCAATTGAGAAACGGTAGCTGAAATCATCTTTTTTATATAATTATTCTTTGTGAATTTGTTAATGTTAATCTATTAATTACAAATGTGGTTGATCTTTTTTTATAAAATATAAGGTCAATTCATTAATACAATACAAACGAATCATCATGATCTTCGTAAATTGGCAAAACACATATATATGTGTTGTTGTTATTATTATTGTTATTTGACGAGAAGATGGTGGTAGCTTTCCTATTTTTTCTTTTTTTCTTTTTTTCCTTTCTTTGGAATTTTTCAATGCGTCTCTTTTTCAGTCATTGGGACAGGCCGAGTAAAACCAGGCGAAATGGGCAATAAAAGAACGCATAATAGTGAGAGTGAAAAAATGATATGAAATCCTGTTCAGTGTTATATAATATTAGGGTTGTTCATATATTGAAAAATAGGGCCTATCGTGTAGAGTGATCAAAACAAAATGAGATGATTCTTGTGAAAGGTATAAACATTTCATCATTTCACAGATACCATGACTAGAGAAATACACATAGTATCCCAAAATAATAAGGCAAGAAGTAGAATGTTGTACTTTCCTTATCTCTAAATGTTGCTACTATTGAGTAAACAAATGTTCTTTCAAATGTACATAATATTATTAACTCCACAATTCAAGTAATTGTTCGTATGTAAGAAATGGTATTTTTTTTACCTTCATCCCTCCATTCTGTCCCTTCAAAAATCACTACAACAAGAATACGATGAGCTTAAACTAATGCTTTTAGACCATTTATGTGTTGTGTGATGACGCGACGATTAATTACAAAATTTTGCCTTTAATTGCAAAAACAATAAAAAAACGCCAAAAATTACATCAATATTAATTACATAGATGCTTTTCGTGTGCGGTCCAAATAGATAAATAGAATAAAAACAGAGGATTGGCCATTACATTTCCTATTACGGTATGGGTATCCTTCTTTTCTGTCACAAATCAAAAAAGAAAAAAAAGGATATTTCTCCCCTGCAATAAATGATCATAACGTTCCCCTTTCAGGAAATGTAATGGTCAATCCAATCCATTCTATTATTAATTTCAATTCACAGCAGAGGTTCTCACGTAGAAGAGCCAAATATATAAGTTTCTATTTTCTTTTAAAAAGCTCCCCGCATCATATTATTAACATTTTCCTAATCATTCTAGAAAAAATGTGATTACGCTGTACTTTTCCCACTATGTATGTGCAAAATAAGGTAACCGCAAGCCTATTGATAGAACAATGGATGGGGCTGGACTCTTTTTGTGTATATATATATATTTTATTTAGGAAATGTTCTCCGCCCATCCCTCCAAACGTGTCAAATGAGAAGAAATCTTCGCGTTGGCAACACCGACGACGATACCCTTTCATCTAAAATTCTACTCAACTTCGTCCGTCACTGTCATCTCAGGGGTTCTACCCCCGCCCCTCTACTTAGAGATGCGAATGAGAACACCACATACTAGAAAGAAAAACAGAGTATTTGTGAGAGGGTAACACCACACACGAATACTTTGTTTTTCATTTTAGTGAGGAGACATTGTAATGTTTTATTATCAAAGCAAAAAAGAGGGGGAGAGAAAGGAAAGCAGACCTAATTTGGAGAGTAAATACAAACAAATACACGACTTTTAATAAAATATGCAAAACAGTAGTGAGGCAAAGTAGAAAATGAAAGTCCTTTTCCCGTAAATAAATAAGTTTCTAGTTGTCTGGAGAAATGGCTGCACAAACCGTGTATTATTTACCTATTGTTATGTGATTTGCACGGCGCATTACTTGTCAGTATTTCTTTCTCATAATGAAATTTGTAAAAAACTTGCGAGTTCTGGACCACCAGACAACATTGGTATTTCCTTCCGTCCTGCGCCGTGTTCTGTTTACCGACCAAATTCTGCTAAAAACCGGTTGGAATTTTCCGAAACGCGAAATTTTCAGCCACGACTAACAAAACAACAACAACAACAACAAGCCAACGCGCAACACTTATCCCCGTGAAGAAATACCCGCAGACACCACAATCACAATTCCCAAACTATTTAGAATAATTATTGCACCACTGTCCTGTTCATCCATTTCTCACACAGAAAGTCAAGTATTTACATATTGTTTGTTTTTTGTTTTTCGCCCCTCTCAGCCTACCAAAATTTTACAATAAAAAACCAGATGGCTGTCCTTATTTGTCACAGACAGCAGCGAAAAAGTCAGGGATCCGATCCGAGTTTCCATTTTAGGTCGTGCAACTCTACTTTGAAATCCCTTCCCATTCCAAAATAAAGACCGCTGGGGCGTAGTCTGACTCCAAAACACAAAATTTATAAATAAATCGAAAAAGTAAAAATCCGTGAAATGCAAGACATACCCTAATTGGGTAATCTCAGGGAGTAACACATTACAGGAAAGTGTGTTTGGGACGGTGGCAAAAAGCAATTTATCGCCCAAAACTGAAAGAAAGACTCTCCTCGCCATTTGTTTTTTTGTTTTTTTGTTTTTGCTTTATTTCTTTTTTTCTTCGCTGCTAAAATCCCACTTCATTCACTCATTATTATCCAAACGCGACAACACAAAAGTGGGGAGAGACCCGATCATAATCAAAAAAATGGCTATCTTTCTGCAGGGTGCTCTCTGTACACACTCGTGGCAAAGTGAAAAAAAATTCTTTATCTTGTTTCTTAATTTTTATTGATAAGCGGGTGGTAACCACTGATCACACCGTAGAATTTATCAAAAATTTAACAAAGTTAACAAATTTTCAAACTAAAAAATGTGTCTGGCTAATCTCTTCTCTTCTTTAGATGAGTGAACTGAAAATTTTTATTTTCAAACAATATTTGAGATAATAAAGATTAATTATCTCTTCCTTTTTCTTTATTCTTTTGGTCCGTTAATGACCCACAATTTATCAATTGATGATAATTTAATAATTATAAATCAGTCATCAATTATTATATAAAGGAGCATTCATTCATCAATACTCCTTTAGGTTAAATTTGTTCTTTTCCACTTTTTATTTTAGTTTATTTCTAAATTTATTTTTTTATATTTTCTTTCCTACTAGAAGTATACTAAAATATCAACTTTCATACACATAAATACAAATTTAAAAATGCAATTCAAAACTATCGTCGCCGCTCTAGCTACTGTTGCCGCTGTCCAAGCCGCTAACGTTTCTAACACTACCAACGGTACTAACTCTACCAACGGTACTAAGACCACTAAGATTTCTACTGGTGCTGCTAACGCTAACACTTTGAACGCTGGTATCTTTGGTGCTGCCGTCGCTGCTGGTGTCGCTTTCCTATTTTAAGAAATATGTTTTAATAATATAAGTTTTTTCTTTTATAATACTTTTTCATTATTAATCTCTTTTTCTTTTTAAATAAGATTAAAAAATATATTCCCATAATATCGCTTCACATATAAACAAACAGACTACGTCAAAGGTATTCATCTCAAAGACAAAAAAAATAAATAATAACAGACACTTTATCTCTTTTTTATTATTATAAGCTTTTATTTTTTCATCATTTTCATCATCATCATTCATCATTGTTCAGTAGCTAATTTAGTAATAACTTTTTTTTTTTAATTTTTTTTTGAAATTTAAAGATTGGAAAAGTATATAATACTACTTTTCTCTCTCTCTTTATTATTATTAAGAAAAAATAAGAAGATTGATTATACTCTTTTTTTTTATCTGTTTTTTTTCTTTTCGATGCTTTAATGCAATTATCAATTATAATATTTAAACTTTGGTTTTTTTCCATTATTTTTTTGATAATAGCTGTGTATTCAGCTTCAAGAAACTTTTAAAAAACAGTTTATATTATTTTTTTATAGATGAGATAATTGTAATATATAATTTATAATATTTAAGCAAAATAATATAATATCAATAATAATTAATTAAATTAATTCTAGTTCTTTTATTTTTTTTTAGTTTGATGTAATATTTAACATCATTATTATGTAATGGTGGGTCTTCTTTTATTTCCTGTTTTGGTGAAGCTTCTTGGATATCGCAATTCATTGGAAAGAATTACTAAATCTTAACAAAATATTAAAAAAATAATGTATTTTTGGTTTCTTGTTCAACAAGTACATTAATCATTTGTAATTTCACTTTTGTTTTATGTGTCTCCGACACTAAATTTTTGTCATTTTCATCTATTATTACTACTTATATATATATATATATATAGTTCTAGCTGATTCAATATCAAATTAACTAAATTCTTCTACTTTAACATGATAAAATACTAATAAACATAGTTATATGTACTACTTAGGAACATTTAAATATATCTACTTATAAAACACTGACATTCACTCTTTCTTATACATGGGCGACGTAAAAAATATTACTTTTCTTAGCAGTTATTTCGTAAAGAAGACAAAATAAAATAATAACTGACACAATAAAAAAAAAAAAGATAAAATTTTAGTGTTACTATTATATTTACAAACATATACGTTTGATATTCAAACTTTGATAATTTAATTACTAAAATCAACACTCTCATATATTCTAATTCAATTTTTTATTGAAAATATGCGTGTCTTTTACTGTTTACCACTTATCTTACATCTAACATTTGCTTTTTTAGTAAATTACAGACAATTACATGGTAATTCAGGACAACAACAATTATTATCACAAAAGGATGGTTTAGAAAACTTAAAAGTTCCATTCTCTGTCGAAAAGAGAAGATTATATCATACTTTAAATAATACTGCTAATGATTTATTATCAAATATTGAAGGAAAAGAGGTGGAACATGGTGATGAGAATGAGGATAATGATGAACACACTAAAGATAAGGACAACTATAAAGAAGAAGAAAATGACGATGAATTGGAAAACATTATAACTCACTACAGTCCAGCACAAGGTCCTCCAATTTGTAAAAACGATGCTCATTTAATTGAGACTGGCGATCAATTACAAGTATTACAAGATAACTGTAAAGAAATCATTGGCGATTTAATAATTTCACCAACATATGATAATTCTATAGTTGATTTGGGTAATATTCAAAAGATCTTTGGAAATTTAGTCATAGAACACTCAAGTGCTATTATTAAGATAAAAGCAGAAAGTTTAGTTACAATTACTCAAAATTTTATACTAAAAAGTTTAACATCACTAGTTGATATCAATGCTCCTATTTTAAAATCTGTCAATTCTATCGATTGGAAAATTTTACCAATATTAGGAACACTTTCATTGGATAATAGTATTATGGTAAATCAACATATTATAATTTCTGATACCTCATTGGCAAATATTGATCAATTTTTAAGAGTGAAACAGATTGACATCTTTAATATTAATAATAACAGATTCTTAGAAACAATAAAATCAAATATTGACACAATAAATGTTCAACTTACAATTCATGCAAATGCAAGAGATTTAGAATTGGATATGCCAAAATTACAATATGCTCAAAACTTGACCATTAGAGACACTTCATTAATCAACTTACCAAACTTAGAAAGAGTACAATCCTCATTTCAAATCATTGAGAATTTAATAACTTCTTTGGATATTTCAAATTTACAATACGTCGGAGGAACATTGGGGATTATCGAAAATCATCAATTAACAAAGGCAAATTTTAATAATGTTACAGAAGTTCAAGGTGGGTTGATGATTGCACATAATGGGAAATTGGATAAAATTAATTTTTTCCAAAATTTAAAACAGATCGGTGGTGCTATCCATTTTGAAGGTAAATTTAGTGAAACTAATTTTGAGAATTTGAAATTAGTCAAAGGGAGTGCTTTTATAAAAAGTTCATCACCAAATTTGGATTGTAGTCAATGGATTGCCTCGTCAAATGGGAGATCCATCATCAGAGGTGGTAAAGTAAAATGCAGCTCTGCTAGGAAATCAAATTTCTTAAATGTTGATAAAGAAGGTTTAGTATTAGAGAGTACTGAAAATGATAATGATGATTTTGATGACACAACGGGAAATTATGGTAGCATTGATAATCAGAATGCTAAACAAAATAGGGAACACGTTGCTAAGGGAGCAAAAAAGACCAGTTTGAAGAAAAAGTTTTCGAATGCTTCAAATACATTAAGAACTAGCACAATGTGTGCATCCTTAAATGTCCTTGTTTTGGTTGTTCTTAAAATTTTTGGCCTGTTTTAGCTTTCAGAAAACAAATGCAACAATAATAAATATAATTAAATAATTAAACAGAAGAACTTCAACAATATAGTTAGATATTTGTTCTGGAATAATATAGCTATACTGATCAAAAAAGAAATGAAATAATAATAATAAATAGAGCTGTGTATTTAAATAAATATTGATGATTTTGCTTTTTCATCATTAACCCTAATATATTCTAATATTCTATAAGGTAATTTATTTTCTACCGTTCGATATTGACGTTTCATTAAGTCTTTTCTTATAGATGAAGAAGAAATCGAACAATATTCATTTTGATTTACCTCGATTTTAATTTTTGATCCCCATTCTTTTGGAATTGTAGGTTCGCAAGCTCCGTTCGAGATGTCTTCTACATACTTACCTTGGTTAACAATATCCTGCGAATCATTTTTACCTTCTTCTCCTCGAGTTAGACAGAAGAATTCTGTATGTAGCATGAATTCTCCCATTGCTTCCTTTAATGTTTTCGGAAGATAATATTTAGGGTCTAGAACTCTTGTAATAGTGTCGAAGCCTAGTAAATAAACGATCTTACCAATTTCAAACAAATTTTTCCTAACGTCACTACTTTTATCAACAAATCTTGCCGATTTACAGAGAGCCACAGTGGGTATTAAGTTTTGAAATTCATCTTTTAAAGTTTTGGATAACAGGTACATCATGTCAATCCGTTTGTCGAATGCCGCTGGTTTCTCACCTTTATCTGCGTTATTAACAGATAACAGAAGAAGAACATGAACTTCAACATTAGGCTCCTGACCATATGATTCAATAGCCCGTTCAATTAGCGTATAATGACCCCAATGAGGTGGATTGAAAGATGAGTCAAGTATTAACAGGATGTGTTCTTTAGGATTTCTACATTTAATTTTAGGTGGTCCATAAACAACTGAAAATTGCAACTCTGTATCATCACGAAAAGTCTCAAGTTTTGTGAGACTTTCATTCAATTGCATTCTTAACTATATTGTATACAGGTGTATATGGTTCAAAAATTAACTAGTCATCTTGTTATATGGCCTGTATCTTTGTCTGTTAGTCACATTAACTGCTCAGACAAACGAACAAAATTTGAGGAGTACTAACTTCAGAGTCATAACTATATTTTTTATCCACGCTCATATATTCAAGTTTGCGTTTTTACATAAGAAATTTATCTAATATTTAAAATACATATAATAAATTAATCCTTAATCATCCATAATATCTTCAACTTTTTGTTGGCCACAGTTGGATGCAAGTAGTAGACTATAACAATAACAATAAAAATTGTCCCAAATAGTTGGAATTTCTCGAAGGATGGACTCATAACATCAAATTGACCTGATGGATAGATTCTAGAACAAAATACATCATTACCAATCTCACAAACAATAGTAGTCGATTCTAAATTTGTGGCTGAAGAGACAAGCTTTGAATCATCACCCATTATTAGTTCTCTTTGATGTGAAATAATGAAATTATCATTAATTGGAATGCTGGACATGTACGGACTTGCCATAAATTCCTTTTTGTCGTCATCCGACATGTTAGCTTCTTCTTTACTTCTTGCATTTAAAACAAACTTTGGAACAAAAGTAATCTGGTCATTTGCTAACTTGATAATAATAGCCTTTGATGTAATACTGAACTTTGTAGATGATAATTCTAAATCCTGAATAATCTCAGGGAAGTAATAACTCTTACTAATGACCTCCGGTTTGTTAATGTTACCCTTCAATGGACTATATTGCATATTTGGATCAGATTTCTTCACATTAGATTCTAGAGAATCATAAAGTTCAACAACTGTTATCCTCTGTTCTGGAATTGGTTCAGCACTTAAATAAGAATAAACATACCAATTTTCTCCAAAAACCAAATTGACAGGAGAGTTTATATCAACTTTCTCATTTGTATGTTTCTGGGAATGTAGTAGTTCACCAGTAATTGTATCTATCAAATTAATATACAAACTTCTATCCTCCTCATTAATAGTAGCATATGAAACCAAGTTTGGATACAGATATTTGTATAATACTGTTCTATTACCGAGAACATTACCAACGTTAACCACAGGATCCTCAGTTCTAGAAGCAAATGCTACAATTTTTTCGTTTGTGTTTAAAGTTATTCTCCATGTATCAACTAATTTGTTACCTTCTGAAAGGATGTAACCATTAATTTCCTTTGAATTATGGTTCGTTAAAAAGTAGGAAGCATTGTTTAAGGGTTGCATGTTGTCCACGCTCACAATCTGGTTTTCCCCATTTTCCAAAGACACAAAAAAGCAATTATGCTCATCATCCAATTTCTTGGTCTTAGTAATGATAGAACTAGTCGTTAAGTTAAAAGAGCCCTCGTTTTTCAAAGTCGGTGGAATGTGTTCATTTATAGAAGTGAAAACAACGAATGAACCTTTTTCATTAATAACAACCAATTCGTCAGTAAGAGGCGTATAATTGATAGAGACAATATTTTGAAGTCCAGTGTTAAAATTCCAAATAATTTTTCCTTGTTGTGAGACATGTAAAGCGGCCATTCTACCATTTTTTGTCACAACGATCAGTAACTTGGCTAGGCCAAAGTCCAAGTCTCTCTTATATGCCTTCTCTTCATTAATATTACCCATTAATTCATTTTCTTTTAGAAAACTTGTAATAACTCTACCTGGTGAATATTGGTGTTGTTTCAAATAATTTCTGATTCTGTTAAAGTTATTCTTCACCCTGAAAACATAAGCTGTGATAACATCATCAATATCCCTTTCTTCGGTAAGTTCTTTTCTTATTGTATCGATAGATGGATCTTTCAAATCGAAGAAGGTACTATCAACAATATCTACTAGTGATTCGTCCCTGACCCAACTATTAGTTAGATTCTTTCCACCCTCGGTATAATTGAAATAAGTGAATTGAGAATCACCATTGCCGACAATAAATTGGAGGTTCTGAGAATAATCGGTTGAAAGGTAGTTAATGTCTGTAAATGACTCTGGAAGTTCAATGTCAAAGATAGGCAAACCCATAGTCTTATCCGTCACCTTTAATCTTGGTTTTCCATCCTTATTCAAGATTTTATAATCGTTAGCAACACATGTAGATTCAAATGAAAAATCACTAGCCTGGACTAAGTCATTACTAGCATCGTCAAGAATCAAACCAGTATCGAGGTCAATAGACACATACTTCTTAGTAGAATCTCCAACCACATTTAGAATCAATTGATGAGAATCTGGCACAAGCATGGCATCAGACATCTTGAATGGAACGGTATACCTCAATAAGACATTCCCGTTAGTCTCGTTTATATAAGTCACTAATGTCTCAATTTCAGAGTAGTCAGATAATATAATTAATTGATTCTCTTTAGCATAATCACTTATGGTACAACGATAATCTCCTATTGTAGAGAGTTGCCAGTCAACATTGAATGCTTCATCACGATAGACAGCATTAACAAAAGTACCCCAGAAACATAATAGAGCCGATAACAGTCTGATATAAAACATTGTTGTCCAATCAGTTGATATCAATAACACTGAAACAGTACAGTAGAATGAAGTGTTGGTTAGCAATATAGAGAATAAATGATTTCTCTTTAAATTTTGCCCACATATAATTTTTTTCCACAGTTAACTCTTCTTTCTTTCACTTTGTCTAATTTTTTGCTTCCTCGTCATTGCAGCGAAGCGTTAACAATTTCTAAATTGTCTTTAAAATAAAGGTAGAAAGATATTGTTAATAATAGTGGAAGGGCATCTGAAGATATAATTAGTAAGTTATATAAACAATACTGTAACTACATAATTTATACATCATTTTCGGAGTCCATTGGGTGATCTTCTGTGGTGTCGAGTGCTTCATTAGAAACCAGTTCATCCATCGGGCTTCTTTCTAAGACAGTTGGAATAAATTTAATACTCAAGGAAGTTTCGAGACCTAGACTCATCCATGGATCGTAAAAGTTCCACACCTCATCTAGATTAATTTGTTGAGGATCTGTCAATTTTGGATCTAAAATTATACCTCTTATTGGTACCGTTAGATCTGAAGTGGGAGTCTTTCTCTGATATTCAGGTACCGGGGGAGAGGTAGCCGATGAATTAGGTTCCAAATCGCTTACCTCTTGATTTTCTGGCTGAGTAATGTTTAATTTGTTATTTAATATTTCATCATTAATCTTCTTATTTTGTTTTTTAATTTCTTGATACTCTTCCTCCGTATGTGATATTAAACTTAATAAAGATACAGGTCCACTTGAATTATTTGTATCTGCCGGCGTTGATGACTTTTTCTTAAATTGTTTCTTTTTTATCAATATGTCATTCATCTCTAGGTAGTATTCTATTTGATCTAAATAATCACTGAAGGACATCGGTTTAAATTCGATGGGACCATACCATCTGATAATTGGGTTTTGAGACTCTGCTTGTGCGCGTACTAAAGCTATACTTTGTCTCACTTCTGGAATATTAGTAGACATGATGTTCCCACTGGTAACATCTTTAACCTTCACTTCATTTGGATCTATCCCCTCATGGTAAAACCTCATAATATCGTTAAAGAATTTTTTATCCCTTGCTGTTCGAGCTTCTTCATACCAAGGGTCATATGTTAATACTTTCAGACGACAAAATTCCAGCATTGATTGAGATAAAAGGGCAGTACCCGATATTAGATATAGTACCTTTCTTAACATATTAAATCTACTTTTCCCATTTGTTCCCCCATTAGTGGCGGTCTTTTGAGCCACTGGAACATTGTTCATCACAAGTACTTTATGAGTAGTCGAAAATCTATTTAAAGTAGGAATATCCGCAATATTTTTCACCGTATTAAACACTTTCCCTTCTGGTTTAGCTTTATTAGCAGCTGTTATCAAAGAACGGTTCACTAATTTACGAAATCGATAGAAACAAAGTAAACCCAAGGCTGTCTGAACCCCTACCAGAGTCCAAAGACCCTTACGGTTATCAGAAGCAGGTACGAATGGACCCCATAACTTGAGGCCTAAACTGGGCCGTATATAGAAACGTTCTGTCTTCTGAGGCGTCTCTTTTGCCGATTTAGAAACATCATTGTCGTCATCGTCATTTGGTGGTGAATAAACAGCCATATTTAACTAACTTAATTGAATTGTAATAATATATAGAATGTGTATTTCTTTAGTAACAACCGTGATAATATCTTGCTGTCCAATTTAGTATGTTTATATAATATGGTTGTTCTAGGCTTATATAATTAAAAGTACCAAATACTCCATGTATGTACGACTTTTTGATGTACTCTTTGTTTAATAACGGTAAGACAGCTTCGCGCAATTATCAGATGAAAGGCGATCTTTCCACCGTTCAAGTTGATAAAATTCAACAATCAATCAATCTTTCAAAAAGAAGAGAATATTGATGAGCAATACTTATATAGTTAAGAACATAATATTTAAGTTTTTTAATTCTTTTTGTATTTCTTTTGGTAGATGAATTTACTGTACCTTTGAATGAAAAATTTCAGACAATGGCTTTTAGCAAAAACAATTATATACTAATTTATGAATAGGGGGGATGTGAGGATGTGAATAATATATTATGTATAATACCACGTTAAAGGTGGTAATTCAAAAACGATAACAGCATTCATTGATACATTAATGAATGCTTTTATTTTTAATTTTCGTTATTGTAATAAAAAAAACTATTGCAAATTATGATTACAATTCATCATGATCGTAGTCATCTTCATCATCATCATCATCGTTATCGGCTTCAGCTTGACGCTTAGCCTTTTGTTTAGCCTTTAGTTCAGTCTTGTATTCTTCATAAATGGCTGGACCATCGATCTTGTTAGCAGAGTTGTTCTTGATGAATTCTAGGAAAGCTTCGACGGTTCTAGCACTTTCGAATAGAATTGGTTCAGCGTCCTTACCGGCTGGGTAGAAGACGATAGTTGGGTAACCTGGGATTTCAACACCCATGATATCATTAACAGTGTCATCAATGTCAGCAATGACGATCTTATCTTGAGCGTTCTTATCAGTAGCTAGGATATCAGCTAATTCTTCGTAGATCGGAGCTAATCTCTTACAGTGGCCACACCATGGAGCATAGTATTTAACTAGGACATCCTTTTGGTTGTCGTAGACAATGTCATCGTGAGTCTTACCGACCAACTTGAAGACGTTGCTTTCTTGGATGGTTGGGATCTCTTCGGATTGAACGATTGGTTCAGCCTTATGATCGATGAAGTCAGTGATCAATTTAGTGATATCGGCCTTTTCAACAACAGGTGGGATAGTTAGTTCAGCGTATTCTTCGTCGGTTAATTGTGGTAGACCATATTTCAAGTTAGCAGTTAAATTATGAATGGCGAACATTGGGAATTGTTCCTTCATGTTCAAGTTAGCAGCATGTCTACCGAATTGTTTAGCATCGATGGAGACAAAGTTAATTTCACCACGGTATTTCTTACCTAATTCAGTGAAGTATTCCTTGTAGTCATCAATTTGATCGTCGGTGACGTAGAAGTAGTAAGCCATTGGTAATTCTGATTCAATGTAGAATTGAAAGATGGAACCGTCAATTTCACCGAAATATGGTAAAGCTTCAACTTTTAACCATTGTTCCAAGATCAATTTATCATCAACGATTTCATCGATCTTACCGTTGTAAACAATTGGTTCTTCACTACCAGATGGTAAGTATAAAGAAATATTTTGTTTTTTGGAAGATGGAACAGAGATAAAAGTATACATTTCATTTAGGGAGTCAGCAATAGATAAGAAGTTTTTATCAATCTTGGAGACACCGTAGTTAACGATGACAGGAGAAGTAGCATTAGCTAAAAGTTCATCTAATTCCTTGACATCTTCAACGGTGATGACGGCAGGTAGAGAAGCTTTAATCATGTATTCGACGATTGCATCAGCGGTTCTTTGACCTTGATAGGTTTGAGCAGCATCAGCGTTGATTTCACCGTTCTTGAAGATTTTCAAAGTTGGATAACCTTGAACACCTTGTTCCATACAAAGTTCTTGATCTTCAGTACAGTCGATTTGAGCCAAAGTGATATTATGTTCATCCTTTAGAATCTTAGCAGCTTGAACGTATTCTGGGGCTAATTTTTTACAGTGACCACACCATGGAGCAAAAAATTCAGCAAGGACTAAATCTGAACCTTGGACGACAGATTTGAAGTTATCGTTAGTTAATTTGACAACGGCAGAATCCTTTGGAGCGGTAGCTTCTTGAGCCAACACAGAAGCAATCAAATTGGAGACAGCAAATAGGGTCTTCTTATTGAACATCATATTTACTTCGATATATATATATATATGTTTGGGTGTAGTGAATATAAGTAATATAAAAACAGAGACAGAGGGAAATATATATAAAAAAGACTACAAAGAAATAAGAATAAAATTATTAAATGTATGACCTTTAATAGGTAGTCAAATATATATAGGAAAATTTATCAAGAAGTGTTGTAAAGAAAAAGAAAATAATCTAAAAGTATACGTAATCAATAACCAGTCAAAATCAGAATATATCTGCCACTACCATTTTTACTTAATGTAGCAATAGAATACAGCAATAGAACATAGAACATATAATTATAGTATTGTTTTTTGATAGGTGCCCTGTCGCGAAATTAGTAATACTGCCCTAACTAAGTTACGTGTTCTTTTTTTTGCAGTTATTGTTTGCGGTGCACGAGCAGCAAATTTTGTACACGTTGCACATTTTCTGTTTGGGCTTTTATTACTTTTCGTGTGGTCAGGTGGCGAAAAAGAAACGAGAGAGGGAAGGCGATTTGGGTGTACTTTCTTGTTGTCGTTGTCGTGGAAGGTGATACACGATTGCCAAGTCACGTGGGAAATCACGTGCGCAGTCATGTGGTATGGTCATGTGACACGAAATAGAGAAAAGGTGAATTGGCGCCAATATCAATCTCGCCACTTGCAGTTATATATTTAGCGATAATGAGGGTGATCAACGTTAGACACTCACACATATATATACTAATATTTTTAGAGGGAAATAACTCGACCATACATCCGACGAGATAATCTTAACATACTTCGACCCATCCCTTCCCGCTCCACGTTCTACTAGTTTATCTCCAATGCTGGCAGACGAAATAAAAAATTCGCATGCTTCATTTTTATTCTGCAGCGGCTAATCTCTTCTACTTTCTTTTTATTCGCCCCCACCAACTTCGCACAATCCGAGATAAACATTCCATATGCAAAAGAGTGGGGGAGGGGCAATGCCCCTCCCCCTTAAGGTTCCTTGTTTCACAGGACACATATTATTGAATAAGAAAGGCCCACAACTAAGCAAGAATCACACCAGAAAAATAAAATACTATCACATTCGCACTGATAAGATACTTGTGTAGTGACGTGTGTGGGGTAATTCCTGACACCTTATATGACCGAAGGTATTCACACCACCCACACATACAAGAAGCCCGGACACCTGTTCCGAAGCAAACCCCCCCCCCCTCCAACTGCACCAAAGCAAAACGCTCATTTCCTTTGCTGGCCCCCCTTATTATCCGCTGGGATAGATAGCTCTTTTTTGGATTTCCCCGCACTTTTCAGCCGACATATTAATATGGCGCCCCGCCATATTCACTGTGCCCCAAAAGAAAAGAGAAACAACATAGGGGGCAACAGAGCATCGTCTCTCTCTCTGCCCTGTTTTCCTTCCCGGAAGGACAAAATATTATGAAGATAGCGTAATCACAAACGCACAAACGCTCTCTCTCTCACTCACACACGCCACTTCACCCCCCCAATTTACACGCCGCTACATACAAACAGTATACATTAACGACGCAGATAAACCGGCCATATAAATTTATTCACCTTTAAAACACCGCTTCTCCCAGCTGCTAAACAGTCTGCTACTATCCACCCCACTATCCGTCTGTTGCTCACGTTATTTCATCAATTTATCCCCTATTTTACATATTTTTCTTTCCCTCTCTCTACCCCCACATACTCACATGAATACTATAATTTTATCATCATGTCATACTTCTTTTCTACTCATTATCACCAATTCGAATTGAATAAAAACATAATTCAACAACCACCTTCATTCATAGCATACTTCTTTTTCTTTTTCCTTTTCCTTTTCCTTTTCTCTTTCCCAATTTTCAATTAATATATAAACAAGTGAATTATTTTGGAAAAATGAAAAAACTACAACTCGACCACTCTTGCTTTGATAATTTTATTTTATCTTGTACTATTTTTCATTTCTTTCTTGTTTTTAATAGCAAATCATCAAGAACACTATACATTAAAACTTTAAATAATGTCCTTCGACGATCTACATAAAGCTAACGAACAACAGTTAACTTCCACAGTTGACAGTATTGTCAACGACTTCGAAGTCACTCCTGAAAAATTGGATGAATTAGTCGCTTATTTCATCGAACAAATGGAAAAAGGTCTGGCTCCACAAGATAATGACGATAAATCTACTAACAAAGGTTTACCAATGATTCCATCCTATGTTACAAGTACTCCAAATGGTACTGAAAAGGGTACTTTATTAGCTGCTGATTTAGGTGGTACTAATTTTAGAACTTGTTCTGTCACTTTAAATGGTGACCATACTTTCTCAATGGAACAAATGAAATCAAAAATTCCAGATGAATTATTAGAACCAACTGGTGTTAGTTCTGAAATGTTGTTTTCTTATCTAGCAAGAAGAACTCAATTATTCATGAAGAAATATTACGAAGCTGATATGCAAGCAGGTAAAGAATTTAGATTAGGTTTCACTTTCTCTTATCCTGTCGATCAAACTTCTTTGAACTCTGGTACTTTAATTAGATGGACTAAAGGTTTCCAAATTGCTGACACTGTCGGTGCTGACATTGTCGAATTATTCCAAGGTGAAATCGATAAGTTAGGTATGCAAAACGTTAAAATTGTCGCTTTAACTAATGATACTGTCGGTACTTTCTTATCTCATTGTTATTGTTCCGATAATACCGATTCAATGACTACTGGTGAAATTTCTGAACCAGTCATTGGTTGTATCTTTGGTACTGGTACCAATGGTTGTTACAAGGAAGAAATTTCTAAATTAACCAAGGTTCCTCAAGCCACTAGAGATAAGTGGGCTGAAGAAGGTAAGACTCACATGGTTATTAATACCGAATGGGGTTCTTTTGATAACGATTTGAAACATCTACCAACTACTAAGTATGATGTCGATATCGATCAAAAATTCTCTTCAAACCCAGGTTTCCATTTATTCGAAAAGAGAGTCTCTGGTATGTTCATGGGTGAAATCTTAAGAAACGTCCTTGTCGACTTACACACCAGAGGGTTGATATTCAACCAATACAGAACTACAGCTCAATTGCCTCACAGACTACAAACTCCATTCGAATTGGACTCTGAAGTCTTATCTCATATTGAAATCGATGACTCTACTGGTCTAAGAGAAACTGAATTGTCTTTATTGCAATCCTTGAGATTGCCAACTTCTCCAACTGAACGTAGAGAAATCCAAAGATTGGTTCGTGCCATTTCTCGTAGATCTGCTTACTTATCTTCCGTCCCATTAGCTGCTATCATCATCAAGACTGGTACTCTAGAAATGAGGTACCATGGTGAAGTTGAAATCGGTTGTGACGGTTCCGTCGTTGAATACTACCCTGGTTTCAGATCTATGATCAGACACGCTCTAGCTCTAGGTCCATTAGGTGCTGAAGGTGAACGTAAGACCCATTTGAAGATTGCTAAGGATGGTTCCGGTGTTGGTAGTGCTTTATGTGCTCTAGTTGCTTAGATTTCCTAAAAGAAACTACGAAAAAAAAACAATCACAAAAGGAGAGACATAATTTGAGTCTACCATTGTAACCTGTATTAATAAACGAGAATTGGAGTAGTTTTGTACGTTATGGCTTTTAATTGCAAAGATTATCGTACTTATCTAATAACTATTTTCTTCATAGTTACCCATTAATGAGCCCTTTTTTTAAGTTCAATCCTTTCTTGTGTTTACGTCTAAATGAAATATATATATCTACATAAAATAAATATACAAATTTATTTTAATCTAATTTTTCTTTTTAATTTTTCTTTCGACAAGCCATTGGTCTTAATCACTGAGATGTTATTGGTCATATTTGTCGTTAGACTTCCTCTTTATATGAAATTAATATTTACTACCTTCTATATTCTACCACCGCATCGCGAAAGCCCGAAGATATCATGCATATCCCCCTAAAAATTAATATAATCAAATTTGTTGTGAGAACAGTTTAAAACAATATTTTAAAACTTGATATGAACAAATTCATAAATATAACCATTCAGAATCTGCAAACAAGAGGAAAACCGTTAACGATATGAGTGTCAATAAACGCACTAAGCAAGGGACTGATAATCCAGTCTTGAAAACAGTGGGCAATATCTTTGATAAAGTACAACTGACAAAACTTTTGATTCATACATTAAAGGAACTGGGTTATAATACTGCAGCTGGTGCCTTGCAAGAAGAAAGTGGAGGCATTCAAGTAGAATCAAATGTTGTTCAAAGGCTCTTTGGATATATCAAACAGGGCAAATATGAAGTGATTAGTTTTGATCTATTGAATAGCTTATCATTGAGAACCACCAACCATGATTCCGCAAACAATGGGAAAAAGGTTTTTACAGATAGAGATACATCTATTAATATAAATGATATTATCTCTTCTGATTTGGATGTTGTAGCAATAACTGCAAATTTTGATACACAATACAAGATGTTTTATGATTTTTATACGAATACAACTTTTAATACAGTCAGTTTAAATCGTTTCAGGAATATTCTAGAGATTATGATTCTAATTAATAAACACTTCTTCACAGAATTGATATATGAAGTCAAGGATTTACCTAATGCAGTATTGTTCTTAAGAAGTATTATTAGAAAATATTTAACTCTATGGGATACTGTTTTAACTGGATTACAAACAAATATTATTGATGAAGATATTGTCTTCACTCCCGAAAAAGTGTTGAAGGAATTATCTTCCATTTTAACAATGCCTGAAGTGGTGATTAAAAAAAACAATAGTACTAATGATGATGATTGCACAGAGACACAAATATGGACGGGATCAGTAAAGAACTCAAGACAAGAGTTGATTGAAAAGATATCCTTTTATATAAATCCTAATGATTTGGTACCACAGGGGAGATTAATTGAATTACTCAGACAAGCTATCAAATATCAAAGATCATGTAACTCGTTCAACCTCTTTGATGACGAAATCGACGTCGATTATTCACAAGATGATCCAGTAACTCTGTTACAAAATAATATATCTGATTTCGAACGAATAAATTTTGTCGAACAAAAGACGTTGGCATCAAATATGGACGAAATTTGGTACTTAGAGTTTTCACCCAATGGTAAATATTTAGCAGCCGCAATTGCAAACTCGGTTAGTGATCGTAAAGTAACTGTTTATGATGTCGAAAATGACTTCTCTGTATTTAAAGTACTGAGAGGAAATTCTCAATGTATATTATATTTATCATTCTCTGAGGATAGTAAATACCTTGTGACATGCCCTTTCAATGAACATACAAATATTTATGACATTACAGCTGATGGTGAAACTATTGAATTGAACGTAGAGAAGGGTGGCTTTCCTCAAAATTCAAGACGGAGTTCTTTAGAAGGTGGGAAGAAGGAAAAATCCACAATCGAGACCCAAGTTCTTGGCCCGATAGATTCATTTTGTATACCAATATCAAGTCCTAAGGCACAAGAAAGGTCTGGTAACAGTATGCATAGTGCAGGGAATGAAACATACAACACAAGTTCACCATATAGTGACACACAATCTCCGTCATCTGCTCCAGATTCAACTATCTCCTCACGTGCTGCTACAGATAACCTAATTGAACAAACGGAAAATTCCTTAAGATCTTGGTGCTGTGATTGGTTTCATACAGAAAAACATGCTGGAAAATTGGTAATTGGTTCTCCTGATCGTGATGTAGTTATATATGACACCAAAACAAGATCAATTATTTATCAATTTTCACGCAACTGGAATCTTCGTTCAAGAAGGGCAAGTAGCTCAGCATATAGGAGTTCTCATGATTCCGATAATAATAACGCCTTAAGACGTATGCCACGAGAGACTCAAGCTGGGACTGTTGTTAACACCTTAATGGATGAACAATTTCCACGAATTCATGACTTGAAAATTTCTCAGGATGACAATTATCTCTTGTTGATGACTCACCAAGGTAGTATTAATGTTTTCAATATTTCCAATCTACCAACGAACGATGAATTAAAAGGATTGGATAGTTCTATATTATCCAACCATTATTTTAAAATGGAGACGAAATTAAAAATAGGGAAAAATATAACTTGCATTTCACTCCCAATGCCAAGTTGCGAAAACTATGGAAGACTATCATCTTTGGTATTAGTAAATTTACAACACAATGAACTTCAATTATGGGATTATAAAGAAAATATCTTAATTCAAAAGTATTTTGGTCAAAAACAAGAGCAATTTATCATTAGGTCTTGCTTTGGTTTCGACAATAAATTAGTAGTGAGCGGCTCAGAGGATGGAAAAGTTTATATTTGGGATCGTCTAAAGGGGAATATTCTGGGTGTATTGATGGGACATGCGAATGATCGCCTTCCAACAAGATCAGGAAGTAATGCTAGAAAATTCAGTAAAAACTGTAATGTAGTGGGATGGAATCCGAACAACAAATTTATGTTTGCCTCAGGTGGCGATGATGGATTAATTAAAATATGGAAGGTAGTCAAGGATTGAAATCTAATTTTTATTCTTTTTATAATTCTATATATTTAGAGATTTACATTTATCAGATACATATGTCCTATCATATCTACTCGAGTTTCCTCAATCGTTTTGCTCATGTTGACCCGCTGAGCTGAGTGGTTCTACACTAACCTCACGACTGCTGATAACATCCATCAATTCCTCTGCCTCACGTCTTCCTCTAGAAACGTCAAGTGATTTCATAACAGGGAGAGCCAACATTAGTAATCCAAATAATAAATAGAACGCATATCTGATTTCATGTGTTTTATCGGTGACCAAACCAATCAGGAACGGTCCAATAATGGATGATCCCTTATCTGTCATACTAAACATACTAAAGAAAGTAGATTCTTTACCTCTTGGAATAATTAAACTAAAAACAGATCTAGACACTGCAGAAAGACCACCAAGTGCTAAACCGTACCAGACAGCTAACATGTACATTTCGAATTTATGTTTTAGACCAATCGATTCAAAGAAAAACCCTAAGATTCCATAAAATGGGATAAAACTGGTCCATATAATAATGTAAACCAAAATTTGATCAGGTAATAAGTTAAATTTTTTGGCCAAAAATTGGGGTATAACGAATGCACCGATCATTGCATCAACCATTGTAATAATACTGATGGTAATCAAATTCAAAGTAACCATGTCCAGCTCAGTTTTTGCAAATAAAATTGCCGTTGAATTGATAGTGGTGACAGAATCACTGATAATGAACCATCCTAACAAGAAAATCATAACATCCTTTAACAATCTTGCATGTTTAAAAGCATTCCATAAGGACCTCCATCCATATCCCAACGATGTCAAAGAACAAATACGTTTATTGTTGTAATATGTCCTACTTCTTGAAAGTCTGGATGCTGTTTCTTCCTCAGTTTGTGGAATGTCATTGAACAACCATAACATAGGTGCTTGCCAAACCAACCACCATACACCAACAAAGAGCACAGCAACTTGAATATCCTGCTGAGTTTTACTCTTATGAACTAAATACATAGACACAATCTGAGTGAGAAGAGCACTTGAGTAACCTAAACTTGCACCACGTCCACTAATAATACTATTCAATTTTTCGACACTGGATTCGCTAGTGTCAGGACTAATTCCGTTGGAATATTTGCATAAATCATTAACAAAGATTGGTAACAAAGAATTACCAACAACATTGATAACACCAAAACAGGAATTAGCCAAAATATACAACAATGGTAAAGAATATATTTGAGACTCCTCTAATCTTGAAATCAATATTGTAGAAATGGCACCGATAATACTAAACAGGACCAACACGATACCTTTCAATCTAACTGAGTTCCACAAATCTACAATACCAGATACTGTTACAACAACAATGGTTTGGAAAAGGACACTAACTGAGAATGTGTATAATGCAAAACTTGAAGTGTCAACATAATATTTATTGAACAACGGTAAAACACATTTGTCTGATACAGATGTGCAAGGTAGAAGATGGTTGTCAAGTTTGACACCATTCGATCTAGCAAATCTTTCAAGTAGTAAAGGGATATAGGTTGAAACTGCAGAAACAACGAATGGTTCACTTGAAAAGGAATAGAAATACCAACCTTTTATATTTTTCTTTGTTAGTTGCAAAGCTACGTTTGAGTAGTCCATGTTTACTATGGAGTTGTAGGTCATTCAAAATAGCCCAAAAAATTGCAAAAAACCTCTTAATTAAACGAAATGTCAATAAAGTAATAGATTTGGTAAAATATTATTTATCTACATGTAAGTATGTTACTTAGTTCATGATATATATATATATATATATATGTCATTCTGATCATTCTTTAAGCAATATGCAGTTTCCCTCTATTCGTCAATCTTCTAGATCTTAGCGTGCACAGTACTAAACAATTTCCCCCCGTTCCTGCATGTGGTCGCATATATGGTGCGATGGAGTTCTTCTATGATAGCAATTGTAATCATAGCTGAATTAACGTAAAATACACGAATATATACAATTCTAATACCATTTACATATTAAATTCAAGTCGAGACATAGTTTTACAATGACTCATCAAATTTGCTTCTGTGGAATGTCCAAAATAGGTTTAGTAACCAGATGTTTCAAATTATATATATATCAACAATCGTTATTTGATATTAAATATAATCCAAAGTATATACTGATTAAGTGTAATTAATTATGAGTTTAAAGGTAGTTATTTAGACATATATGTATATAATTAAGTGGTTTTTAAAAGTAATGTACAGTGGTGGAGAAAGAGCAAAGCCCTAATCGTTTAATGAGAACAATAACAAAAAAATATAAAAATTATTGTTTGATATCCAGGAGAAGAGGGACTTTATCGACATTTTGGTAAGGCTGTATTGTTTTACAGCACAAATTGGATTTACTACCCCATGTAGTAGGATATAGAATCGAAACTTGTTTCATCTGCCAAACGTTATACAGTCACAACTTACCCTCTTCTAGATAGTTATAACACTAACAACCTACTTTTCAATGTACGAGTTGACTGAAATAATAATAATAAAATAAAAGTAAAAACGAATAACAAATATTATTTAAATTTCAAAATGATATTTATTTCGTGATAATGCAAGTAAAGAGAGAAACAAAAAAATGAAAAGTTATGAGAAGCAGGTAGATATGCTGTTTAAAAAAAAAAATAAACAAAAAAATCTAACACATCTCTACTTCATGCTAGTAGGTCTCAAGATTAAGCAGAATTTTCTTCAACATTACCATCAGCCTTCTCTTCAGTAGTTGCTTCAGCAGTTTCAGTTGGTTGTTCATTAGTCGAAGAGTCGGTTGAAACTGGTGGTACGACAGTTGATTGAGTTGGAACTTGAATGATCTTCATCATAAACTCATCCATGTCGTTACCAGTTAAAACTTTCTCGATTTCAATTTCGCTACCAAATTCAGTTGAGATCCATTTCTCCCAGTCGTGAGAACGGATAAAGTAATTATCTAATTGAGAAGGTTCGATTGGATGGACAACTTCACTTTCACCTTCTTTTGGATCCTCTTGTCCACCAACTAATAAGTTACCCCTGGCAATATCAACAGTAGCACTTTCATTGAAAACCACTTCTCTAATGGCAGCTAGGATAATATTAACATCACCTCCAAAGGACATGTTAACAACTCTATAAAATTGAGCCAATAAGGTCAATGGAACGTAACCGTCCTTGGAAAATTTTGATCTCAAATAAGTGTCGTTTATCAAGTTGTCGTTACTTAAATAATATTCTAACTGTCTAGCAATGTTGTTAACAGCCATCATTACAGGTTGTGCAGCATAAAAGTTGGATTGTAATTGAACCATCTGTTGTTGTTGTTGATGGCTATGACTATAGTGGTCATGTTGGCCGTTGTGTTGATGGTGACGGTTGTATCTGTTGTTTCCTTGTCCGTTGTTGCGGTTGAATGTATTATGTTGACCATTGGTATTACCTTGTCCATTCTTGTTAGTGTTGTTGTAGTGTCTTCTTCTTTGAGATTGATGTCTATGAGTTTGTTGTTTCTTTTGTTCATTTGATTGGGTGGCTTGGGTAGCGTCTGAGGTAGTTTCTGATGACTTATCCTCTGAGGCAGGGGCAACAGAAGAATCATCATTAGAAGTTGGTTGAGAAGAGTTATTACTATCCTTTTCGCCAGAGTGAGGATGACCGTGAGAGTGATGGCTTTTCTTCTTTCTGGATGCATTACTAGAAGCACTGCCGTTAGCATTGCTCTTTTGTGTGTTATTGTTATTTCCATGAGAGGACTTTTTCTTTCCGTTAGCGTTCTTTCTGTTAACAGAAGAGACAGTAATGGATGCCTTCATTGGAACCCATTTAGTAGAGGTAGATGAAACAGGAGTTCTTGTCTTTTTTCTATTAGATTCCAGATCATCTAAATTAATATTTGTCACTGGGATGTCGTTAGAGACAGGTTTCCATGGAGAGTTAGCTGGCAAAGGAGCTGGGGCTAAACTGAAAGTTTGTTCTTCTTTAGCTGGAGCTGGAGCTACTGGGCCAGATATTGGTGTGGGGACAGCAGCAACAGCTGGGGCAGCTGGGGCTTCTGAAGTAGCAGCGGCAGTGGAATTTGTTAATTCAGTATTTTCAACAGATACAGACATTATGAATTATTTTCTTTGGAACAATCTGTGTGATTTTTTAGCTTCAACGATAATGTTAAAATGAAATAGACGTACGTGAAATAGAGATATACCTGATGTCGATTCAAAAACAACTAAAACAGTAAAAAAGAAAGTTTGTTATTGTAAAAATATATTAAGATTTTCTTTCTTATTTCTGATCCTTTGTGTATCAAGGAGGATTGGGTATAATAAAGTTTATGAGATCTCTATTCTAAATTCCTTAAAGATTAATTTATTACTAAATTGATTAGATTATAAATGTATGTAGACTTAATATTTGAATTGAACAATAATATAAAGAGTGTTTAAAGTGATATAGAATTAGAAAAAGAATAATAGTAGTATTATATAACGAAGATGAAAAAAAAGATATCAGAACCTAGCAAAATAGAAGGAGGTATAAAAGTTCTAGTAGAAGAGCTGCGACCTCCAAACAGATTGAAGCAAGATTTCTTTGTCGATGAGCTTTGCAAATTTTGAAAAAAAAAAATAATTTTTCATTTTTTTTTGTGCGTCGGTCGATGGAACTCAAATTTGGAGAGCCGTCCAACACGATAAAGTTTGACAGCTTTAAATTATATCATTTTTTGTTTAATTAGCAAATTAATTCTACTCACTTGAAAGAACTCATCTTCATTATTTTCAAGAAAATCAGTTAACAACCTTCTGTAGCATTTGATCTAGTTTACCGCTTTTATTCAATACTTGTAAGTCGTCATTACCACCAACTTGAGCACCATCAATGAAGATGTTTGGCACAGAAGTTTGACCAGTGATTTCATACAAAGCATCTTGAATGTCTCTACCGTCGGTCATTTCATCTAATTCTAGGACCAACGCTTTACTTTCAGGGACTTTGTAATCTTTGAAAAGAGTACTCTTAGCTTTCTTGCAATATGGACAGTAAGATTTTGAAGCGATAAAGACTTCCTTTTCGTTGATCATTTCTTTGACCTTGTTGATAGTTTGTTGAGACACCATCCTGGAATTGATTGTAGTTGAGTTGAGATTGTTTCTTAGTAGAGATACTGATCTCTTAGTTAAAGTTAATGCAAACAGTTTGAAATATTTTTCAATATAAAACACAAAAGAAGCGTTATTCTTATAGGTATATATATGTGCTTTGGTTATAAAATTTCTTACTAATCAAGAGAGAAACAAAAAAGTAATCTAGGATTTATAACACGAATAAGATTTTCATTTTAATGCATTAGAATGTTTGTACATCGACTTCTATTCGAAGTTGTTGGTAGTCATAATCAATTTTGTGTGTTTCTCTCTGTCCCACTATCTCCAGACACCCTTACTACATTCGTAGTAGTAAACACACGGCCCCCTCTTCCTATGCTTTCCACCCCTTTACCTTGTAAATTAGTAAGGAATCTACAAATTGTGGTGTTCGGCCATAGCTCATGTCGAGAGAGATTACTAAGAACGAATTTCGTAAACCTTTTTTAGGGTTTATGTTCATATCTAAACCCTAACCCATTTCACTTCGTTCTAAATGATAACGGTTACGATTACAAAAAGACTAAACCTGAAATGAAAGCTCTATCATATTTTATTATAGTTAAATCATAGCCGTTACTGAATTGGAAGTCTATGGTGTGGAGATAAACCACATTTATAATGTAAGTCAATCTGTAATCGAATTCGGTTGAGACGATTTCTGTCCTTATTTTGTTGAATATTTACTGTTATGAACCCAAAACTTCCACCGTGAATAAAGTAATGCTCCTCACAATCACACCACAACCTCCCTGATGGTCCCTAAAAGTTAAGGACTTCAAGCAAAAGTTGTGGTAAGCTAAACTGGAGGTGGTCAGAATACCTATCATCCACGAGTGTAATTCACCGCTGAAGCGCGAAGGGCACAGATAGAAACAATAACAATAATAATAAAAATGACTGCGCGGAGGAAATGAAAAGGACCACAGCTAAGAATGCTATGCCAATGCACCGTACCGTACAGAAAATATAAATATTCCTTAAGGTGTGTACAGTAGGAAACGAGGTTAAACCCCTTCGGGCACTTCGTGAGGTTAACGAATGTGTAAGGGGAGAGAGAGATAACAATAGACGAGACAACACCATCAATTTCAAGATAATCTTAATTAAAAAAAGTCGTAAACAACTCTTGATTTAAAAGACTTAAATAGATATTAATTAGTTTTTCTTTTCTGAATTGTGAACACTACCTTTTTCGAAACAATAAAGATAATAAAGCAAAATTATACAGAGATAAATACAACACAATGGGTTTCTTAGGGAGCGACCATCCACATACCTCCATCACAGAGACTCTGAATCGTCTAACGAAATCTAAGAACCACGATCTAGAGGTTGAGATTGGAACTCTAGTCGATTTGATCAGAACTAGAGACAAATATCAGTACAATGAGAATCAATTGGAAGCAGCAAGGACTTTACGTAAGAAATTCAAATATGGTGACAAGACTCAAATATCGAGATCCTTTGATATTATGGATCTTCTTATTTCTCAAGGCATCAAATTATCAGTGATGTACAATGATTTTAAACTATTAGACTCTATGAACACTATCTGTAGCCAACTCAATGACAAACAAGGGTTGATGAAAAGACAGTACTCTAGTAAATTGAGTAAGAAAGGTGCTCAATATGCTATATCATGGAATGAATACATAGTGACTAACGGGTTAAGAGATACTAATTGTTATATGGGGTTATACGATATGACTATAAAAATTAAACAATCCTATGATCGTACCAAGAATGATCCAAATACATCGAATGATAATTTTGGTACCTCCCGTTCAAATACTTATGATCGTAATAGCTCTAACAGCAGTGATGATAGTCGTAGTATGGATCGCTACAATGCTCCTACAAATAGGCCTGGTAGACGTGGTAGAGGTGGCAGTAATGCCGGAAGACGTAACTTCATGAATGATACTGCTGATAATTCGATCTTTGGTGAATCCTCACAAGTAGTTAATAATCCAGATAGACTCTATAGAATTCCAACAATTAATATGAAGAAAGAAACCCCCAAGATTAAAAATTTGATTAGTGATGCCCTAGCGGCCTCTACAGCATTACAGAATGCATTGATCATGCTTCCAGATGAACAAAATGCTATGTTAGATAAGAATGCCACGGAAAGTTTTGTCAAAGCCAGAAATATTAGAAGAAAAGTGTTAAGATATTTACAATTGATCACTGAAGGTGATTTCTTAGGTAGTTTGATCCATGCTAATGATGAATTGGTCAATGCACTGACCCTATATGATGAAAAGAGTTGGGAAGAATCTGAGAATGACTCTGCCGATGATGGTGCGTATTCAGATACAGAGGATGAAGAGAGTTACAACAATAACAGACGTTCAAAACGTTATGATGATGACAACGACTATGATAGTGGTAATATTTACCAATCAGATAATAGTGATGGAGGGTTTTCAATGGCAGCCAACAACCCATTTGCTGACAATAATAAATTATAAAAGTAAAAACAAACAAACAGATAATATTAAATAATATCTATATAAACTATGTATTAGTAACAATATAAACTTGAAGACAGAGAAGAATGGTTAAGCATTATTTTTTTCTTTCTTTCAATCTTTTTTGAAATTAAGAGACAAACTGTTCACACAATGTCTTTCATCCTTCGGCAAACCAAGGAGTTTATCCCAACCTTCTCCTTTAAATACATGACCCATGTGTCCTCCACATTTGGAACAACATATTTCAGTACGTTCCATTCCTAATGTGCTATCTACATGATATGTCAAGGCATCGTTTGATATCTCCTGATTAAAGGCTGGCCATCCACACGAGGAGTCAAATTTAGTTTCGCTCCTATATATCGGAGCATCACAGTTTGCACAATGATATACACCTTTCTCTTTGACACTTAGATATATACCTGTCCCAGGTCTTTCTGTACCTTTATCTTTTAATACATTTAGTTGTTCTGGAGTCAAATTTGGATTCCAACCTTCTTGGTTCGATACCATTTTATATAAGTGAGATGTATATGATAGTGATCTTCTTTGGAATCTGTTTGCCAGTTGGTATTTTGATCTGGTGCAAGTAACAGCTATTCTAATAACACTTGAACCGGGAAGTATTCTGTTCATTTCAGTAACTGCCACTGAAACAAAACTCATCAAGCAACATCAATATACATCACTAATGTATGGTTTCTCAGTTGTAAATGAGTTTCTATCATGTAGATGTCCAATGGTAGAAACACCCTTATCCTATTCAAATTCATGAGAGGAACGATCTCCATGTTAGGGTATCCCATACTGTCTACTAATTAGGAAATGATCTTTCCCCATCCGGGCCCTCCAATTACGCTTTTAGGAAGCTGATGCCCTGCAGTTGCTTCTTAGAAACACATGTATATATAGATTTTCGCAACGCTAAAACGAGAGGTACAGTAAAAGAGAGAGAAAGAGAGGGGACCTCTCAGGCTAATATCGTCAACCCAAGATATATATTTATAATGATGCACGCTATATGTAGAGGAAACATCGAGAGACGGCGTGCCACAAACATACTTTTGAAGATCTAATAGGACGTTAACCATCTGCGAATTGGGATCGATAGCTATCCTTGTACTTTTCTTCTAAAAAGTACGTCTTTTCCTTCATATTACTTCCCATTTCTCAAGAGTTATAAATTTGTTTCCAGAGAAGAATAACAAAAATCAAAAAAACAAGCAACCCAATCATTGATTACTATATTACATCGTGTTTTTTCTGTTTGTATTATTTTGGAACCTCACGAGAATTATACTTGTAACACTTTTCTCTATATTCTCTACTTCTTCGTCTTCAACTTCATTTCCAAATGACTTCAACAAACCTTACAGAAGAAGAACAGATTGAGACCCCGGTTGCTACTGTACTAGAAAGCCACAGCGAACAATCTACCACTGAGATTTACCATACGCAGGTGTTACCTTCTTTTGAGACAACTATCAACAGAGCAAACTATGAATTATGGTCTGTGGACGAAGTTATTAACTGGTTTATCCCATTATTAAACATTACTGAAGATCATTCTTTGGTTTCAAATATACGGTTAAATAATATAAATGGCGATGTGCTTAATGATCTATCCTTTGAAGATTGTAAAGAATTATGCGATGGATCATTACAAGATACTATAAAATTGAGACTTTCTTTAAATAAACTAAAGGATAATAATTCTATCAGTTATGAAACATCTCTGAATAGAAATTTGGCAGAAAAGGAAGAAAATATGACTATAGTATTGAAGAATTTATGTACATCATTATCACAACGATTACAGGATTATTCTACTCAATATTCTAAATTGAGGTCAGAAATATTAGATATCGTAAAGACTAGATCTGCTATACCATCAAGGCATGGGTCAGATGGCTCAAATACTGAGTTCTATGAAGTCCCCAAAACACAACCTACATTTACTGGGAATATTACACCAAATTTGTCTCGAAAAAATACGATGTCAGGTAAAAGCTTAAGTCCTATTGCTCAAAGTCCTACAACTAGGAGTCCCACAACTCAGTCATTTCAACCACCTCAATTAAGGAATCATAGTAATAGTTCAATGTCTATAAATACACAATCCCAATTAGGACTAGGTTCTAATCAAAAACCAAAATTGGTAGCGACTCATTCTAGCACAAATGTCGAACAAGGGCAATCTGGATCATCATCCAACGAACCTTTGAAACAATTAAGAGCCTCAAAGGAAGATTCATGTGAAAAGATCTTGAAAAATGCGATGAAGAGACATGGACTAAATGATCAAGATTGGAGACAATATGTACTTGTGATTTGTTATGGTGATCAAGAGAGACCGTTAGAATTGGATGAAACACCTGTGACAATATTTAAATCCTTAAAACAACAAGGACTACATCCATCTATTATGTTAAGACGAAGGGGCGACTTTGAGGAACTGATGGTAAATGGAAACAACGTAGATGCATCATCATATCCCCATAATAATCCTACCCAATCTAGCGGTGGTTTTAATACTACTAATCCGCTGGAATACTCCGCCACCCCTGGTGGTAGATTGTAACACATATTCCCACAAAAAATAGCAACAACCTTCATGTAGAAATAAAATATATAAACAATATTATTTAACTAATTCATGAAAATTTTACTCTTAAGCACATATATATATCTATATATATTTCACTTTTTATTTTTTTGTTAAATTACAATTATGTTCTATTATGCTATACAAAAATATGGATGAAATATCTGAGGTAATAATCTATATTTATAGACTATTCTTATAAGGGTTGAACTTTCTCTTTTCTTTCATGACTTTAATTCTTTCTTGATCTTCCTTAAACTTACTTAGAAGTTGATTAATTTCTTGCTTCTTACGTTCTCTAACTTGGAACCTATAGAAATCTTGCTTTGCCTTCTTATCCACTGCAGTCGTTGGCTTAGAAACACCTTCAGAATCATTTTTTAACAAAGGATTTCTGTTCAATATCTTCTTCCTTATAGAGTTTAAGTTCTTTGTGTTTTTACCAACAACAAGTGTGAAACCATCTTCGTCAACAATCGAACTTTGAACGTCATCTTGTGCCTGTTGTTCTCGTTGTTCGAATAATGACAAATGTGTATGAACATCCTCTTTCAAATAATCTATATCTAGCGGTTTATAAAAATTGATAAATGTTTCAATACTTGGGGTATTATATTTCCATTCTAATAAATCAGATTTTGAAGATGTTGAATATTTCTTTAAAGCATTTAAACAATTGCTTAAACTTGATTTATCGATAAATTTGACTAATGCAGTATTTCTTGGAGTAAATCTCTTTTCTATTTTATCCTGGCTCTCTGCCATTAAATCTGATGTCAACACAGATAAGTCTACTTCGTTTAAACCAAATTCATCGTTGTACATTAGGTTTTCTATGTGAGAGACAGTGTCATATTTTTCACAGATCTGACTTGTTATGCTTTTAATACTCTCTAAATTTGTTAACAAAGGAAGGTTCATTATAAACAGACAGTTTTGTTCATTTTCGTTGTTTGAATCATGCTTCTTAGCAAATATATAGTGATAGCAACTACGTTTTGATTGTAAAACATCAAATGATGGTAGTTTGAATGGGAGAACGATAAACCCATTATTCATAGACGTTATCTTTTTGGATTTCTGCTCTGTATCTGACATATCTACCAAAATGTTTAGGCTTAGCTACCTCATCTGTAGTTTGTTAAAAACTAAAATGTCTTGTAGACTTTGTATACTCTTGAAATATTTAGTGTATTTTATCTCTTTTGCTCATTGAATCGAATGGCGGGAACAGACTCATTTTCTTGAAATTTTGTTTTCTCACAGAAAATTTGATATTCGTCTACAGCGATCAGGGTTTTACAGGAGCCTAGGTTATTATACTCGAATCAAATGTAATCAGAAATTGATATTGATAACAGATATCAAATATATGGATCAATTAATTTGTCTTACTTATGTATATATATTCTTATTTACATGTTATTATGAATATGTTATGTCATGTTTTGTCAGCTACTCGTTTTGCTCCTTTTTTATTGCTTCTTGTCTTTGGCATCTTCTGGTTTACCGGATAGGACACGTTCCGTTTCCTTCATCAATTCATATAACTGCCCTACTTGTTCAGGTGACATCTTCTCCAAAGAACTCTTTGATAAAGTGCCTTCTTGCCACTGACCATTAGTAATCATGTGTAGATAGTCCTGCCAGCTTGTCAGGAACGCTACAATATGTAGTGGGTTATCGATATCCTTATGAAGGTTGAACTCATTCTTCACATACTTGTCACCTATTGATCTTTGAACCTCTGGCAATACCCTATGGGCTCTAAGAATTCTTCTATACAACATTAAAGGAGGTAATAATGCGTCTTTAGTCTGAGCACTGTGGGAGGCTGCCCTTCTCATTACGATACGAGTTAACCCCTCGATTTGTTTATAAGTGACCTGGATATTCATAAAGTATAAAATATTAATGCGTATCTTTGCTGGATGTTTGTATATGTTTGCTATCTTTTAATTATCCATGTTACATTTGCTATAATCTCTTTAAATAACTTTTAACCTTCCTCTTCTTTTTCGAATTGTCTAAAATTTCGTTATTGTCCAAGGCGAGGTTAAGTCCGAAAACGTCTCGAGTCTCAAAAATGTCGAAGTTGTTAACATAATAAGATGTAACAGATTTCATAACTATATTTGAACAACAATATATATATTATCTAAACTATTCTTAATTTTAAAGTCATTAAAGTAATATTAGAAGCAATACATTAGTTTGTTTGCAAAAGCAATACACATTATAAATTTTATACAGGGGGTTATTGTCGTCTACACGAAATCCTTTGATATCAAACCCAGCTTACTCATTCTGATTTTCACAGCATTTCTGTGACCATCCAAACCTTCAACCTTAGCAATACACATAACAGCCTTACCAATATTGTCCAAACCTTCAGATGTAACTTGTTGGGCAGTAATGAATTTCTGGAATGTGGCTGTGTTAGCACCACTGTATTGTCTTGCATAACCATATGTAGGTAAAGTATGGTTAGTACCACTAGAGTAATCACCACAGGATTCTGGAGTGTATGAACCAACAAATATCGAACCGGCATTGTCTACTAATGGAACGTATCTGTCTGCTTCGTTAATTTGTAAAATCAAATGTTCAGGAGCATACTTATTAGACATGTCGAAGGCTTCTGTATAGTTATCACATAATATGATAGTACTGTGAGCAATACATTGACGCACAATATCGACTCTTGGCAAAGCTAAAGCTTGTTCGTGGACGGCTTCTTGGATTTGTTGAACCTTCTTTGAAGATAAACTTACACCAACCAAAATAACTTGAGAGTCTACACCATGTTCAGCTTGAGATAATAAATCAGAAGCAACGAAATCGACATCGGCATCTTCATCAGCAATCACAAGAACTTCACTTGGACCAGCTGGCATATCAATAGAACATAGAGCTTGAGTATCATTTTGGATGTACATCTTGGCAGCTGTAACAAATTGATTACCTGGACCTAAGATCTTGTCAACCTTTGGAACAGATTCCGTACCATAGGCCATAGCAGCAACAGCTTGAGCACCACCAGCCAAGACGATCTTAGAGGCACCACATTTCATAGCGACATAGACAACTTCTGGTGAGACTCTACCATCTGATTTACGTGGTGGAGAGGCGAAGACAATTTCTTTACAACCAGCAACTTGAGCTGGAACACCTAACATTAGGGCAGTACTTGGTAGGACAGCAGTACCACCTGGGATATATAGACCAACTTTCTCGATGGCTCTAGGGAATCTAGAACAAACGACACCAGGTTGAGTGGTAACCACCAATGGTTTCTTCTGTAATTGTGCTGCATGGAATTTACGTACATTTTCTATGGATAGATCAAGTGATTCCTTCATCTCTTCGGTTAGACCTTCTAAATATTCTTCTGGGAATGGTGCCTCTAATACTGGAGTCTTCAAATCGACACCATCGAATTTTTTGGTGTATTCAATAAGGGCTTTATCACCTATATTTCTAACGTTTTCAATAATTGGATTAACTAAGTTCATGATTTGTGATGTCTTTTGAATAGGTCTTGTGACAGCCTTGGTGACACCTTCGAGATCTGTAGATTGCACAACATCTAAATATATTTTATCATTAGAACATAAAGTTCTTTCAAGTTTAGCCTTCTTGGAAGCTGGTTCTTCAGTGTTATCTGTGGTCTTAGTGTCATTAGCCAAAAATTTCTCCTTTGCATCACCCTTTCTCCTGGTAATCTTTAAGTTTTTCATACCTAAGTTTCTTTCAACGTCAGCTAAACTAACGCCATTTGCAACAAGACGAACCATTGCAAAATAGAAGAGATCAGCGGCTTCCCAAGCCAATTCATCCTTAGTGGTAGCTTCGGTTAATTCCTCTGCTTCTTCCTTGATTTTGGCGTTTAATAGAGTCTCATCTTTAAACAATCTTTGTGTATATGAACCTTCTACAGCATTAACTTTTCTATCACTTAGAGTATGTTCTAAACCAGTTAAACCATAAGCAAGATCACCGAAACAGGTTTTAGTACCATTGTGACAGAAACCAGTTCCAACTTGAGATACAGTGAATTTTAGTGCATCTGCATCACAATCGATGTCAACTGCTAGCAAAGATTGAGTGTTACCCGAGGTTAAACCTTTCTCCCAGATTTCGCCTCTAGAACGAGAGTAATATACACCAACTTGCTTAGCAATAGCTTGTGTAATAGATTCAATAGAAGAGTAGACTAGGCCTAGACAACGTTCATTGTCATCTACCACCAGAGTAGTGTATAGACCATCTTTTCTATCAGTCTTCACTTGAGATAAAAATATTTTAGTGAAGGATTGCAAAGTGATTTGCTTAGTCAATGTAATATTAGCTGGAATTTCTAACACTCTAGTACTTGGGATAGAATCATAAGACACAGTTTTGTTGGTGAATAAACTAGATACACCGTTGTTTAACAAATTGATCAATTGATCCTCGTTGAACTGTTTGTCGCCAGTTAGTACTAAAGAGACAGTTCTAGCAATACCGTCTAATAAAAATTTAACCGCAGTAAGAACATCTACATCATTCTTGAAAGCAGAGGCATCAAGTGCAATATCACCTGCAAGTCTTAAAAATGGCTTAGTATTCAAAGTAGTTTGGTAATCATTACCAAACAATGGAGTGATAGGGAAAGTCATAATCAATTAAATAATCGTGTATGTGTTTGTATAGTTAAAGATATATGATACGATGCAGTTAATTGGAAAATAGATATATGGATATAAGAATAAACGCTCTCTAAATAGAACAAATAAATATTTTGGGAAAGGATCAAATCACAGTAAGATATAGATGAAGTATGTTTATATATATATAGGAATGTGGACTGTGAGAGAAGACATCATGAATTTCGTAGTTCCATCAAAACAGTTCAAGGTATTGCTCTCCCTCTTTTACTACATACACCTCGAAAGTGAAATTTCTGAATTATTCATTATTCAGCAAGATTATCTCACTGTGAAGTAATTTTGTGCGAGAACTGAGTCATCAGCAGCGCATTCGTATTGGGAAGTTTGTGTCTTATCAGGTAATAGTTACCGCATTGGGCCGACGGCAGAGTCAAAAAATTCACAACGAACAAAGTGCAAGATCTCCACTGTACGTAATACAAATAGACAAAGACCTTATATACATGAATCAGTCAAGTCGATTGAAATGACTACTACCGACACACATGTCATATCCATCAATGATAAAGAAGAAACCGCCAACTCATGATATCTACTCATCGCTTTACAGCTAGTTTTAATCTAATTCCATTCATTATATTAATTAAACAGATTAATATAAATTACATTAAAAATTTAACGTATTTTTTCACTCTGACCGCGCTGCCATACGAACATAGAAGGAAGAGTAGATGTCTCATTTTTACATAGTAAAGATGAATCCACTTGATAGACTGGGTTACAGAGGGAGGTAGTATTAAGTATCTAAATAATGTTTACATTTGTATGTGTCATCGTCATCACATATTTTTGTATATTGTCCAGGAGATGGTGGGGAAGGGAAAGAGGGGGTGTATGGTTATATTCCTTTTCTTTTGATATGTTTATTTATTAAGTTGAAGCATACTGAGAAGGACAATGCAATTGATCATGACCAGATTTTTCACATAGCACACAGTATTGAGACCTCTCTTCTTCTTGATGCTTACTTGCCTTCAATTCTTTGATTTGCTTCCTTGCATCAGAAAGTTGTTGTTCTAAACGGTCAATCTGTTTCATCAATTTATCAGAATCTTCGTTTTGTTTGGATGCACCTGCATCATTACTCATAGCCATCAATTCTTTATTTAACTCTTTGTATTCTTTACTTAGAGATTCATTATGCATACGTAGTTGTTCTTTCTCTTTATCCCATTTAACTTTTGCAGTTGTCATATCTTGTTTATACTTCCGAAGATGTTCTAACTCTTCATTGTCATTATTACTCGTTAGAACAGTGGTCACTGATTCGGAAGCTGTTGAATTTTGCGACATCCTTATCTCATTTTCTTTAATTTCTTCATTCAATTTATCGACAGCAGCCATCAATTGTTCTTGTTCTTGAATAAACTCAGCACGCTGTTTCTGTTGAGCAGATTGTTGTAACGTTACTTGTTCTTCCAATCTATTTCGTTCTTCTAACAATAGTTGTGATTTTTGTTCACATGCATCCATTATAGGTTGTATTTCTTCCAATACTACTCTTTGTTCATTAAGTAAGACTTCATATTTCTCAATAGTTTGTCGCTGTTGTTCTATTGTATTCATAGACTGCTGAATGTTTAACTTCATAACAGCATCCTCTTGCTGCTGTTTTTGCTGCTGCTCTTGTTGCTGCTCTTGTTGCTGCTCTTGTTGCTGATGCTGTCTTTGTTCCGGACTCAGTGGCTGATCTACCATGACAGAAGAAGAAAATGCATCTATTTCCATTGAATCATCGTCATCATCGTTGTTATTATTATGATTCTGTTGGTCCACCACAGGTATCATCTCTTGATGAGGTCTCAGATCAGGGATTGTCATTGTCTTTATATTATTTTTCATCATCATACTTCTCCTGGGGGTAGCTGGAGGCAACTGCCCCTCAAGATTCCTTCTAGGAGATTCTTTTACTACACTAGTGGTATTTCTAGTCACAGGTACACTCTCGAGCGCGACTCTCGATGCTTGCTCTACTAAATGAGCAACTTTTGGAAATTGAATAAATAGTCCACTTTGTGGATATTCTGTTGAAAAATATCTTGTCCCTAGGAATGAACCATCGTTTTTACCAATGTTTGCAAGTAAATCAACACCAACAAAATAACCATTTTTATTCTCTACTGGTCCGATATATTTAATTTTACCTCTACCAATATTGGGTATCTGTATAAAACAGTCTATCTTATCCTGAAACGATTGCATTCCTAACAGTACACAAAAGCAAAAACTAGAATAATGTTATATGGAGATAAATGAATGAATCCGATGCTCTTTCTTATGTATGATAGAATATATAGAATAAATTGTTGTTGTTGTTGTATGTCGTGATGAGGTTTTCCTTCATATATCAACACTAACAAACAATTAATTTTTCAGTGCAGCGCCGACTAATCCATTCTTTCTCTGTTTACACGTAATTTGTACGTACTGTCAAATTACCTGGGGGAGAGTCACACCATTCAGTTGTTACCAAAGAACAAGACTATGTTTATTGTATTAGATTGAGCGTAATTTTAACAATTGTGCTCCGTTATATAGGCATAATCTACTAGTGCACTTCGCAATACGCACTACTACTTACATATGTAAAGACATTTGCTCGTCTCGTCTCTTTCTGAAGCTCAATATATCGGATGCTCAATCGCGTTGGGTCAATACTTCTAAAACAAACTGCTACATAACATTCGACTTGCAATATAAGTGAACAGGCTCTTTTACACACTTGTAACTAAGAACAATAATGTAATTCTATCGGTAATGTCCACGTCACTGCATTGTAATAATAAACTTCTTGTTTCGACTCTCTGCACAGAATATTTGTTAATGTCTCATTTTCTCTACGATGAATGATTTCGGAAAAATTGTTCATTACGTTATTACCTCTAGTTACTACAAAGGATGCGAAGAAGAAAAGCGAGAGACAAAGAAACTGCCAAGACAGGGGTTGGGAAGTTTTGGCTGGTGGTTGAATCAACGATAGGCCACTATATAAATGGAACGAAGTATCTCGTAACGATACGGTCTGATCTGTTCTCCTTAAGTGACAGAATTTTTTATGAAAGCAGAACAACAAAGCAAAATTTGTATCGATTTATTTCTTATAATTCAAAATGGCAGATATCAATCAACTTATCTCTCAAGCTCAAAATTACTTCAATCAAGGTGATCATGGTCAAGCTGTAGCCTCTTTAACTGATGCCGTGAAGTCTAATCCAAACGATCAGCAAATGTCTTCAATTGAATCTCTGATTGGGAAGATCGCTAACTATATCATGGGTAATCAAACTGGTGATTCTAACTCACGTGGTATCAGTGATATGTTCATGAGTACGTTGAGTTCTAATAACAATGGTTCCAGTCAATCTCAATTAGGTAAATTGGCTTTATTGTCTACTGTTTTATCTGGAGGTAATAACAGCAACAATAACAACAGAAATGATAACGGTAGTGGATTTGATTTGAATTCTGTTATGTCAATGTTGAACGGTAATAACAATAGTGGTGGTAATGGTGCCATGAGTAGCGGTGGTCTAGCTTCTTTAGCTTCGCAATTTTTTGGTAGTCATGGTCAAAGTCAAGGCCAGGGACAAACCCAAGGCCAAGGTCAATCTTCCTTTGGTTCTTTGGCCTCCGCAGCTTCCTCATTTTTAGGTCATAAGAATAGTAACCAAAATCAAAATCAGCAACAGAATAATAACTACGGTAACAGTAACAATAACTCTAGTACTTATGGTAATAACAATACATCTGATTCTTATGGTAATTCTAGTTATGGATCTAAAAAAAATTCTACGTCTTATGGTAATGATAATGATGATAACAACTATGGTTCTAAGAAAAATTCCAGCTCTTACGGTAACGATGATGACAATTACGGGTCTAAGAAGAACTCCAGTTACGACAACAAGGATGATAACTATGGATCCAAAGATAATTCCAGCTCTTACGGTAATGACAGTTACGGGTCTAAAAAAAATTCCAGCTCTTATGGCAATAACGATAATAACAATGGTTCTAACAACAATTCTAGTTCTTATGGTAATGACAATGATAAATATGGTTCCAAGAAAAACACTAGCTATGGTGACAATGATAATGATTACAGTTCCAAGAATAATTCCAATTCTTACGGGAATGATGCCGATAATTATGGATCTAAGAAGAATTCTAATTCTTACGGTAATGATAGTTATGATTCTAAGAAGAATTCAAGTTACAGCAACAATGACGATAACGATGGTTCCAACAATAACTCTAACTCCTACGGTAACAATGATGACAAATATAGTTCAAACAACAATAACTCTTACGGTAATGACAACAAGAAAAATCAATATGGGTCTAGCAACAATGATAGCTATGGTAATGATAACAGAAACAATTATGGTTCTTCCTCTAACAATTCTGGAAATAACGGACAAGGTGGTCAACAAGAGAGCTCATTCTCCAAGTTGGCGAACATGGCCAGTTCTTATCTAAGTAACCAAAACCAAAACCAAAACCAAAACCAAAACCAAGGTCAAGATCAAGATCAAGGTGGGCTTGGTTCAACTATTGCATCGATGGCCAACATGTACATCTCAGGTAACAAACAAAACCAAAACCATAACAATTACTAGAGATAGCTGTCCGCGCTATCCTTTCGTCGTATAAATTGATAATATGTAATTTTATACTTTTATACCCTTATACCTTTATGCTCGTTTAAGATCAAGTTTACTATTATAATATCTATTTATTTCGTAATGGTTTCTGTTCAATCTAATTGTTCTTTATATGCTAGTATTCTTCCTTCAGCGTTCGTTATACAGGCGGTTCCAACCTCCCCACATCTCGGAATGCACTTTGGCATGAAAAATTCTTCGTTTTTCCCTTCAAACAGTCTGCCGACCAAAATCCGTGGGGTGAACAGCAGGGAGAGAAAACTGAAATAGTCAGCCTGTCGAGGGAGTAACAAAACAATTTTCCGTCATCAAACTGATGCTGATGATGATAATGGAAATAGATAAGCAAATAAGGAAACAGAGATAACCAAGCGATAAGGACTGTCAATCACCTACATAAGATACATACCTTGGTGGAATTACCTGCAAATCTCTATACAATAGTGCGAAAGCTTTATTGTTCTCTCAACTATTACTTCTATTGTTATCTTTTATAATTTTGTCCGTAGTGGAATACCATATATATTGGCAGGAACAACAATTTCCTTCAGTATAAAAACAATTATAAAGCCAAGATCCTGTTATTTTGAAACTAGATAGTTTATTTTTTTTAAAAATCCAAAAAAAACTTAAACCACTAATCTATACTAGTCCAATATATTAGGAATTATCTTTAGCGATTGAAAAAGCAGGATTATTATGACGGGGGAACAGATTATAGGCAGGTTTCCGAAGCAGATCCAAGAATTTATTAGATTATGGAGATATTACTTTCCTTGTGATAGAGTTTTGGCTCAAAGAATATTTAAATCTACCGTTAATAGTACCGTTGCATTTATATTTACTCTAATACCGAAAGTTAGAGCTCATTTGGGTACAGAACCTGCGATGCTTCCCTTAATTTCTGTAATAGTTCATCCGGGGAGGAGAGTCAGTGGTACGATACAAGGTGCCATATATTGCACAACTGGTCTGATATTTGGACTGGCATATTCCATTTTTGGTAGATTCTTAGCTCAAAAGTGCGTAGGAGATTCCTGGAATAAATTGACCGAAGTCGAACAATACCATCAGAATTTTAAAAGATTTGAAGCTGCACTTGCTATTATGGCAATTTTTGAAACTATAATGTTATTCTTTCATGGATGGATGAGATCTGTATCTCATCATTATTTTGGTATAGTGTTCCCATTGTTTTTGGTAACACATTTCGCATTGATGGCCTCTTTAACGGAGTCTCCGGGGGTCATCGCAAATTCGTTTGCAACACCATTTTATTTGGGGATAGCAATGTCTATATTTTGGAATTTAATATTGTTTCCAGAGTTTGGTAGTACATATTTAGGTACAGCTGCTATTAAAAGTATGAATGAATTACATAAGGATATTGATGCTGCAATTAATTTTTTCGTATCAGTTAGTCATTCCGCATGTGAAGATGATAAGAGTAATGATAATAGTGAATTGTCTGAGAACAACGACCTTTATGCAAAACCAATAACTACGTTGTCTCGACTATTGAAATTCAAGGCAACTATGTCCAAAAATCTAAGTACCTGTGAAGCAGTCTTACAAGAATGTATATATGAAATATCATATTCATATGTATCCCCAAATAGTCTAGAAAAGCCTATCTCCTTGTTTAAAGATTTGTCTATTTTCACAAATGGTATCATTAATGCATGCCAATTACAATTCATTGTGCTAGGTAGGTCAGAAAGTCTAGTTGATGTCTCTATGGATGTAACTCCTGATAAAGAAGTTGCATATGCTGATTCGGCAAAATTCTTACAAATTTTAGATACATTAAAAGTACCGATACATGATTTGCACCAAACATTAAGTGAAACTATGTATAAGATTAATGTTGCATTGGCATATGCTTACGACGTTGAAGTTAAAGATACTTATTACCCAACTATATTTAACAATTTAGGTATTAAGAAAATGGAAAATAAGCAAGATATCCCGGTAGATTTCGATTTTGAGAGTAATATCGCTTTATTAGAAGATGCATCAACAAGATTTAGTGAAATCTTTAGAGAACAATTACTTAAATTCAATAAGAATGCTATTGATCCTAGTGACGAGATGTTCATTTTATCATCGTTTTTAATGAATTTTAAAGAATGCATATCTGCTGTATCCTCAATTGCTAAACAAATTCAACAAATATATGAATATAGAATATCACAAGAAAAGAAAGGTTTCATAAGAGGGAAAAAAATATGGTTTAATTTTTTGACGAGTTTTGCTTCTTTTAAAGAATGGATGATCGGTAATTCATTGTCATTTACCGAGGGTGAAGCCTTGAATGGTGTTATATATGGTAATAATTTTGAACAACAACCAGAATTGGTAACCAGGCGTCCAAATATTCAAGAAGAAGATTTACTGCAACAGCATAAAAAGGATTATCAGCATGTTGACGAAATTAATAACAGTAAATTGACTCTTCCTGTGGCAAATCAATCTTGTGAATGTTCATCAAGTACCAAGGCACCGTGTAAACAGTTCAGTGCCACTGCGTGTGTACGGTCATGTATGACATGGTGTAACATGTTTTATAAGAAATATAAGGCCCATTTCCGTTTTGGAACTCAAGTAGCAGTTGCATTGCAGTTGGCATCTTTTCCGATGTTTGTTCCTAGACTAAGACATTGGTACATTAATTATCGTGGTACTTGGATCGGTTTCGTGTGTATTCTATGTCTAGAACCTTCAGTTGGTGGGACCTTTTGGGTGTTCTTCCTGAGAACAGTAGGAGTTGCGTTCGGGGCACTGTGGGGTCTTGTCTCTTATTACTCAGGGCAAAACCAAAGCAATCCATATCTAGAGACTGTTATTACATTATTTGGAGCAGTTCCAGGATTTTATTTCTTATTAGGGACTCCATATGTTAAAGCAGCAATTATCCATATTATTAGTATTTATGTTGTTATTTTGGCAGCCGTCTTACCAACTACAATACCGTCTGCTATTCCTGTAAGTTTTGCTAAGAGATGTCTAGCAGTCGGATATGGTGGTACTATAGCTCTAATTGTACAAGTCATTATTTTCCCTATTAAAGCGCGAGATCAATTAAATGAAGAAATATCGTTTGTTTGTGGTTGTATATCTGAAATGGTTTCCCTATATGCATCTGGATTAGAAGGTGAACGAACCGAGGAAGCTTTAACAGAATTAACTTATAAAAAAATAGTGTTCGTATCAAAATCAGCTAAAGAGGCTCTCGATCGTGCTCAAGCCTACAACGGTTTGACAAGGCAGGAACCTAGATTGAAAGGGGAGTTTACAGAACTTGAAAAAATATTTAGCCAAGTTATCTTCATTCAAAGACAAATTATTGAGAGATTAGATACAGCATCACTTTTAAGAAAAACCTATGGTAGTGCTATTATTGAAGAATTAAACAATGTAATGTATCCTTATAGACGTCAAATGATTGGTAGTATTACGTCTTTGATGAGAGAAATGCAGGAGGCATTCATCAACAAGACTCCACTTCCTCAGTATTCCCCTAGTGCAAGAATTGCGCACAGAAGACTGGTCAATAAAGTGAGATCTACTTTAGAGCTAAGGTATCCAAGTAAATCCAACTCTAGAGCAATTTCTAGATTTAATTCAAGACATGCAGGATCAATAGGTATGACACCAGCGGTACTAAGTGAAAGAAATGAAAGTGACGACTCCGATAACGAAGAAGAATTTATGATTAAGACATCGAATAGGGTACCATTTGGGAATATAAAATATAATAATGTAGATGAACCTTTATCACAAATGAATGAAATTAGTCATGGAGAAAATTTACAACAAGAATTCTTACTAAGAGAGAAATTTTTATCTTGGAATGCATCCAGTGCTGCCCTTGAAGAAATTATTGAATATATCGAAGTACTATTAAATTTAACCAAAATTCTTGTTGGTGTAAATGAATTTAAGTATGGTTTCCTCTCTCGTCCACTTTATGAAGACTGGACTGCAGAAGCTATTACAGGATTCGATAAATTTGTTAACGGAATTAAAGAACCAGAATTCAATGTCAATATGAGGAATGTTGCTTCATCACATAGTAGTGCTTCTATTGCGCCTGACGAAGTTATTGACACCGAATCCCATAATCGTGAGATGGCTAGTTCTTTGAGTAGTAATAGTGATGCTAGATCATCGATTGATTCTATCGAAGGTCCTGTTGCATTTAATGGTGAAGGTACAAGACAAAACAGGCGTCCTTCTGTAAATCTTGCAAAGATCGCATCTCATAAAATTAACCAAGGTGAAACTGTACCAAATAATTTTAGAGGGAGATTGAATTCATGGGCATCTGGAACCTTCTTTCAAGACGAATTATCTGCCATTAATCGTCAACAAACACTTGGTGATGCGAATCCGGCATTTGATGTCGACAAGGAAGATGAACATTCGGATGAAGATCTTCCGTTAGCTTTAAAAATGGTTGTTAGCCATATGAAAAAAAGAGCATAATAAACTCATGCTGGTTTTGAGTTTGTATAATTACTTATGAATTTTTAGACTTTTTTACGGATGTAATATATGTATTTGTGCGTTTTTGTTCGGTAACACACTGAATGACATGACATGCTATTTGTCTGTATGTATAAAAATAGGGAATAATTAATCGATTTCTATTACATCTGGACTCCTCGGGGCCTTGGTTGCCTTGGATGTGGAATGATCTTTCTTACCTTTTCTCTTGTTACTTTTCCTCAGAGATTGGCCAACACCTTTATACGCTTCTTCCTTCACTTCATTATCTTCCCCTTCAGCCTTTGGTGGCACTATTGGAAATCCGAAAAACAATTGATAATCTGGTAAGTCAAGTTTTTTGGGTTCACCTTCTAGAGAAATATTTATCTCTTTTAAATCATCCTCTTTGTTATTCCCATGTGTAGATTTTCCTGATAATTTCTCACCATCACCAGTAAATTTAGATGCTTCGTCAGATTTTGCAAGAACATCTGAGTAATTAATTCTATTTGACATAGAACCTTGACTAACAATAGAAGGATCAAATTTTCTGTTTTTTTTCCTTTCTTCTTTTTGTTTCTGGAGTGCCTTATAATCTGGTTCAACGTATCCTACGGGTGGTGCGAAGTCTGTCACTAAATCTGTTTCAATAACACATATACTATTGGATTCTGATTCTGGTTTAGCCTCTAATATCTTAATTTTATAAATTTTTTCATTGTAACTTATCTCAATAATATCATTAATTGTTAGAGTAGAAAAGTTTCTTAATACATTCTCTAATACAGCTTTTGGATCTGATATATCTAAGAAATCTACTGATTGTGGTTCCAATTTAACAAATTGACCTAAAGGTACATCTGTTGACGTAATCTTTAAAAGAGAGCCTGGTTGGGTATTTAACGTTTCTAACATCCACTGAGGTAGATAAGCTCTACCTTCTTCGGCAATAAATTCTAAGACACCACCATGTGTAACTTTACCACTTTCATTTGAAGTTAATTTGAAAAGCATCGGGTATCTGATATTCAACATTGATAATTTATTTAGTGCACTGGGAGGTAAAAATATTTTACCTCCAAAATTAGCATCATCTTTCCTGATTCTATCATCCATCATAGAGATGGGATAACATCTAAACAATTCTTCAAAGGTTTGTGGAATATTTATAAACCCACTACCAGGCATAGGACTAAAACCAGAAAACATAATGGAGGAAAGGCGAACTTCTTTTTCCTTTTGTGTGCAATTAAGAGAACTATATGATACTTATAGTAGATACGTTAAACCTTTTTGCTTCGTTCTGAGGTTCTGTTTCTATTTTATGTATCAGTTTGTTATTTAAATGCTTTTAAACTTCAAAGGGTTTTTGCCACAGGGGAAACCCAATGTACTAGAGCCTGTACCTACTTTAGGTAAAAGTTTCCCTAACCGGATATATCCCTGGTTTCATTTTCCGGAAGCGGAAATCTCTGTTATAGTAACCAAAACACGTAAGAAATTAAGAAACTAAAACTAAAATCAACAAACCCTTCTGCAACAAACCTTCAAGTATAACAAAACGACGACACATATAAGCAAAATTTACTGATATATAATTCAGGATATATATTCAGATAGTTCAGAAATTCACGGATTAAACTGTAAGAAAGATACATTATAAAATTGTTCTCTAATAAGACTCCCTGTGTCAGAAGGTCGCAATGGTTGGAAAACAAAGACTTAGAAGACCAACTTCAAAAGAGGCTCCGTCAGCTTCAAGTGATAGTAGTGATATAGAAGGAAATGACGATCAATTATATGGTGATATAGATCATTTACGTGAGATGGTAGGTGATAGTGGTAACGAGTCAATTTCAGACTTAGATATTGCATCCGATTCAGATGGGGATCATAACTATATTGATAACGACTATGATAGTGCCAGCAGTGGTAAAGACTCATTGCTCGCAGAATTTTCAGACTATGAAGAAGGATCAGATGAAGATGATGAACAAAATTTTATGGACGCTATCAGGGAAGCTAATAATTTCAAGGTGAAAAGAAGAAAGAAGAAAAATGGGAAAGTAGTAAGAACAAGAAGAGATAGGGTAATTGACCCAGAGGTTGCTGATATTTTATCTAGAGCTAATGAGGCATTTGTGAGAAATGATTTACAAGTCGCAGAGGGTCTATACAATGAAATCATTAAGAAAGACCCTCGTAATTTTGCTGCATACGAAACGCTTGGTGATATATATCAGTTACAAGGTCGTTTGAACGATTGTTGTAATTCCTGGTTCTTAGCGGCACATATTAATTCATCTGATTGGGAATTCTGGAAGATTGTCGCGATCTTATCTGCTGATCTAGAACATTATAGACAGGCCATATACTGTTTTTCCAGAGTTATTAACATTAACCATGAGGAATGGGAATGTGTCTATAGAAGGGCAACATTATATAAGAAAATTGGTCAATTGGGTAAAGCTCTTGAAGGGTTTCAGAAATTATACAAAAACCATCCTCTTGACGCTACCTTTTTAAGAGAATTAGCTATCTTATATGTTGATTACGATAAAGTTGATGAAGCCATTGAATTGTATAAGAATGTGTATGAAACAAATATTCATAGGAGATGGGCCATTGAAAATGCTATGGAGAATGCTATGGACTCTTCATCTTCTTCGGACGAAGAAGACGAAGACAATGATGATCAGCTTTCTCCTAGTAATAAAGAAAAGAAAAAGAAAAAACAGAAAAGTAATGAGGATGAGGATGTAGATGAAAATCTTGCAGATGAACATTTGGAAGAGATGGAACTATATCCGGAAATAAATTGGAAAAAAATTAACAGAAAATATAAATGTATTCCTTTCGATTGGTCTTCCCTGAATATTGTTGCAGAATTATATTTAAAGTCACCATTAGGTGGTGTAGCTGGAATTAAGGTATTGAAAGCTTATGCACGTTGGATTGAAAGAAGAGAAAATCAAACATTTTGGAATGATGTTGTTGATGATTCAGAATACGATATGAGAAAAACTAAAAATAGTCGATACGATGCTTTACCAAATAGTGAAAAGGAAAAATCATATACTTTGCCGATAGATATTAGAGTGAGACTTGGTTTATTAAGATTGTCCAACGATAATTTCACTGAAGCAATGAACCAATTTCAATTTTTATATGATGAAAACTTCGAAGATACTGCTGATTTACATTTTGAAGTGGCCGTTGCCCTAACAAAGGCTGAGAAGTTCCAGGAGTCGATAGATTTCTTTTTGCCACTATCTTCAATTGAAGATTTCCAGAATGTTCAATTATATGAATGTCTTGGTAAATGTTACAAAGAAATCGAAAATTATGAGTTTGCAAAAGATAATTATGAAAAGGCTATAGAGTTAGATCCGACTATCCTTGAAAATAAATTAGACCTAGCTGAAGTTTATTATCACATGGGTAACAATGAAATGTTCAAATCATTGTTACAAGAAGTTACTGAAATACGGAAGAAACAGGATGCTGCTCTCTACGGTAGTATAGAAAATGAATCAAAGCAAGAAAAACACAAAACAGTGGATGAGCGAGACAAGTCTAGCAAACCTTTATTAGAAGATAGTATGTTTAGACAATATAACTCAAAAAGAAAGAAGACTCCGCAAGATATTGAGCGTGAAAAGATCGATCGTGAAAGGAAGATTACCACGAAGGTTGTAGACAAATATAAGAGTTTAGATGATTATGAGAAGGAAATTAGTGAAGGTAATGAGAAATTAATTCGCTCATGGATTGACACAGTTTCGGATCTTGTAGATGTTTTCTCAAGTATCAAAAATTTCTTCGTCAGAAATCGTTCGAAGAAATTTGTGGGTATTATTCGTAGAACTAAGAAATTTAATACTGTTTTAGACTACCAATTAGAAAGACTGTCCAAGTTATCAGAAGGTGATAACCTTTCAGACGGGTTGCCACTAATGGAAGAGCGTGTCACCCTTACTTCAACAACGGAGTTGAGAGGGCTAACTTATGATCAATGGTTCGAACTATTTATGAATCTATCCTTGACGTTAACCAAATATCAAAGTGTTGAAGATGGACTAAGTATTATTGAGACGGCCCAAGAGGTTAATGTATTTATTCAAGCTCCTGAGAGGGCCAAGATGATGAAATTTGTCAAGCTTGCTATCGTTCTAGAGAGGAACAACGAAGAAGAAATTTCGGAAAATTTAAGAGGGCTATTAAATCAATATCAATTCAATAGAAAGGTTCTTGAAATATTTTTACTGAGTTTATCACAAGGTCAAATGTCTTCAGATATTATCAGTAGCACAGTTCAACAAAAATTTTTCCTAAGACAAATCAAAGCATTTGATAGTTGCAGATTTGCTACACATGTAAACGGACAGGCTTCTGTCACTAATAAAGAGGTCGTTAATCCGGATAAAATAGCATCCCCGTACCTGTACTACATATATGCAGTCTTACTTTATTCGTCAAGAGGTTTTCTATCTGCTCTACAATATTTGAGCTGGTTAGAGAAAGATACACCAGATGATCCTATGGTCAATTTATTAATGGGTCTTTGTCACACCCATAGGTCGATGCAAAGATTGACTGCTAATAGACATTTCCAATTTTTACATGGTCTTCGTTATTTATACCGTTACTATGATATTAGAAGTACAATGTATTCAGAGCTAGAAAGTCAGGAGGCAGATTATAATGTTGGGCGTGCTTTCCATTTGATGGGTCTTACGTCTATTGCGATAACCTACTATAATAAAGTTCTAACAGATTATAAAGATGATAAACTGAAGAAACATGCTGCGTATAATAGCATAGTAATTTATCAAGGAAGTGGAAACATAAAATTAGCGAACCATATAATGGAACAATACCTATCCATATAACGTGGATAAAAATAGACTGATGTAATTAAAAGTAAATAATATATCCCAATTGTAATAGTATAGTATGTTTATTTAAGATGGTTGATGTAATCCCTAGAGTCATCATGTCATAAATGCTTTCACGCATTGTTTTTTTAGTTTCAGCGATGTCTGATCTATTAATATACAATTTTATGTGGGAAAAAAAATATTACATAAGAACTTGAAACACTCTTGAGACATATATGAGAATGATTAAAAGGAGAAAATAATAAACCACTAAAAAAAGTATATAAACATGAGTCAATTTAATATTTGATCTGGAATAAAAAAATTGTACCCTGATATGTCCCAATTGGTTTTCTTCAGGATGTTATATTCCGAATTTGGTATAGCGAACCGTCAAGTTTTTGCTCTAAAATATCCACAGTTGTTCCAGCAAAAACTATAATTAAAACCTCCCTCATGAGTCCTACCTTATCAGCCATTTCTCTTACTAGTATATCGTCTACAGCAACTGTAAGGCAAACTGAATTCACAACGGAATTTTTGAATCTACCTACTTTTTCCTCGACTTCTAAAACATCCTCTAGTACAACTATAGGATTATCAGTCGGTGTCCCTGTTGGTATATTTGTGTTTTCGTTAATTATTTGTCTATTGTACGTGTATATTAAGAGAGAGAAATTACATCGTTTTGATAAGACTTTATCCCCTCGATATAGAAATGATGCTTCCAAAGGGTCACCTAACTTTCTATCTATGTGTTTTGTTACAGAAAAAAATAATCCATATGATTTAGAACAAAATTCATTTCTTGAAAAACCTTGGCTATTTGAAAATAATAATTTCTCATCGAAACTTCATTATGATATACCTGGAGTGTACCACAATGTAAGTGACATGGTCCCTCATGTTCTTACGCCCGCTAAGGCCACGACCATCGATGACAGATATAAGCATCAAAAAAAGAAATATATTATTCCATTTGATAAAATGGAAAATATAATAAAGCTTAATTCTACGAAACCGCAAGTATTAGAGGTGAATGAGGGAGTTAAACGGCCTATAACTACATTCGGTAATCATTGGAAATATAAATCTCCTTTATCAAAATGGTTCTTAAATTCCTCGAACGATTTAACTACTGAGAGTCAAACACCTAATGCAAGAGTGAAACGATTACATGTACTTTCAAAGGTAGATAAAGGTTATGCAGATGATGTGTCAGAAGTTAATGTTGATGAAAAATCTCCGATATTACAAGTGCATAATCAATCTTATAAAATGTTGGTTGGATTTGACTCCGTAGATGAAACATCACCTGAAAATGATATGTCTTTGGCTGAACATCACCGGGCCTCTGTTATATATGATGAATTAAAAAAATCTATTACATCAACATCTGTGGTTATCGACCCTGTGATATCATATTCAACCTCTACCATAGATGTAAATGGGAGGAAGAAACGAAGAGATAGTCGTTTCAAACAATGTGGTAATGATACGGTGATAGATTTAGTTTCTCATAGTGAAGAACTGATACGAGAGGAAAACATAAATCCAGAGTCCCAGATTTTAAAAGGTGGTATATGTATTGTTTCCAAAAGTTATTCACCTAGACTCACTGACGAGATTCAAATAAACAAAGATGGATATGTTCGGGTCCTTGCGACGCATACTGACACATGGTGTCTAGTTGAAAAATGTCAGAGAGATGGGACAAGTATACCCGGTGATGAAACTTTAATGAACAATGACATAACAAACTTGCATTATTTAAACAAAAACAGGGGAATTGTTCCAGGGGACTGTTTACAACCAATTTAGGATATACTAAAAAAAAATTAGAAATCTTTATTATGTTATTGAATAGTAGTTATATAGATGGATATATTTGTTTTTATAAAGAGGAATCGTAAAAGCCAATTTTAATGTTTATTGGGAATACCAGTTTATTCCAAAATATCAACAGGATTTTCGATATAAGTTTTTTCACCAGCTGGGGCAGCTGGGGTACCAAAACATAATTGAGCTTGAACAGTCCAATTTTCAGGAATTTTTGAGCCTAATGCAGCTTTTACATAACCGTTATAATGTTGTAAATGAGCACCTAGACCAGAAGCCTCCAAGGCAGTCCATGAGTCAATTTGAGCAGCACCAGAAGAGTGGTTAGCAAAATCTGGGAAAGCAGAAGCAAAGGCAGGGAAGTTTTCTTGTAGACCTTCAGTGACTTTGTCATCTGTGAAAAAGATAACTGAACCAGCGGCTTCATCCCTAACAGATTCAGGTCTCTTCTTACCAGCTGGAGAATCGATAGCGTTAGCTACAGAATCCCATACAGCTTTATGGGTAGCACCGGTTAAAATGACAGCACGGTTACCTTGGGAGTTGAAAGCGGTTGGAACATCCTTGATAATGGATTGAACAGTAGCTTGGACATTTTTAATAGAAAGTTCGGTTGGTAATTCTGGTTTTAGAGCATAGATAGTTCTACGGGAAGCAATTGATTTTAGAATTTGAGCAGACATGGTTTGTGAATTGTTATATAGGGATATTTGTTGTTGGTATATTGTTATTTGTTATGTAACACTACAATGTATATATAAAAGTAAAGGATAACTAAATTGAGAACTTGTCAAAATTGATGTTGATATACTTCTTATATAGTCCAAGATTATATGATGGGAAAAGTGAACTCTATCAAAACAAAACAAAAGTAAGTTATAGATATATAGGGGTGCCAATGCACCGGATAATTCATTTAACATTTACTAATAGTTTAGTAACTGTCAATAGAAGTCACCTTCGAGAAAAGGAAGTGGTACTATGTTCTTCTCGAGAGGTTTCTTTCTGTCAGAATATGATAGTGGTCGTTTGTTTAACTAATCTTCGTTTATAGTATTGTTCCGTTGGGTTTCTACGAGGTTTTGTTTGTTTGGAACGGATCCCCGCGGATATAAAACTCGATTACTAAATATTTAGTAAGTTTTATAAATCTACGCTCAATTGTCTGTGTACGTTGGTATTGTCATGAATAAAATACATGTAAGAAGAAGATAATAGCCAATAGTATTATTTTGACTATTGGCTATATTGACTACCGATATAACCATGGGGGCTCAATAGTAAACTTGATTGTATAATTCATGATATTTCGATTCTATTTGGGTTTATAATTTATCTATATTACATATAATATATAACAGGGGCTAGTTACATAATAGATTTCATAAGACCCTGGGAGTTTGTTTGTTTTGATTAAAGAAAAAACAAGCTATGCTAAATGTGTAAAATTAAGGACAGATTTCCAAGAGAATATCTCTGAATTTATCCTGATTGGTTGTATCCGACTTTAAGATATCAATTGGCTTAGTTGTAGATGTTGACTGGGTTGTCAATGAAGGTCTTCTCACCAGCTGCGATAACTTGTGTACCGAAACACAATTGAGAGTTCACGGTCCAGGATTCTGGAACCATATCACCTAGAGCAGCTCTAACAGCATCGTTGTAATGTTGTAAATGACAACCTAGACCCATAGTTTCCAAAGCGGTCCAAGAGTTGATTTGTACTGCACCAGTGGTGGCAGAAGCAGCAACAGGGAATGCAGAAGCGGCAGCTGGATAGTCTTTTTGGAACTTCTTGATGGTGTTTTGTTCAGTGAAGAAAATAACACAACCGTAGGCTTCATCTCTGGCAGAGGTTGGTCTCTTCTTACCATTCTCACCTGGGATGGCATTGATCACAGCATCCCAGATCTTTTTGTGGGTGTTACCAGTGACGATAATGGCTCTGTTTTCTTGAGAGTTTAGAGCAGTTGGAGTGTTCTTTATGATGGATTGAACGACCGTTTGGATGTCGGAAACACTGACGTTTTGTGGTAAAGCATCGGTCAAGTTGTAGATAGTTCTACGGTTAGAAATAGCGTTTAGGTAAGTTTGAGTAGTAGCGGACATTTGTATAAAAGATTTGTTTGTTTGTTTGTTTGATGTTCTGCTTCTGATATTAGAGTATAACTAGAACGAAACCAATTCAATTTTATTCCTTCTCATCTCCTTCATCTTATATACAATTTATATTGATATTTCAGTATCCATCTTCTATTAATTGATTAATAATTCAGTTGTTTTAAATGAGGTGTTTCTACATTATGGATTACTAATTCATAATTCAGTTACTTTACTACCCTTCAAAAGTCCTTAAAACAAAGAACACCTCTTCTTAATCAACATTATCGGCACCTTAAAAACTTGGACCTGGTGACATGTAGCTTTACATACTTGAAGATCGATTCTGCAGATTTTGTTTATTATATCACTTCCACCATAAAATTGATTTTGTAGGCAGGATTTGGTGTTCTGACATATTGGGCAGAAAAACACCCGTATCACTGCTTAGTAATTAGAAAATGCCAATTCAAGAAAAAAAAGAAATTTGTTTTTTCAACGTCGTGCAGGCAATTAATGAGCGTAATAAACATATCAGAGAAGAGAACAAGCAAGTTAATAGCAAAGTTTTGCGAAAGTAATAAGGTCTGTGTATCAACAGAGTCGGGGTGTAAGGTCTACGACTGATTATTGAGGTGTCTAGTTAGTATGTGGAGGTGTGCCACCTTTATTTTTTTTTAATTGGCTAGTCGAGGCAATGAACTTAAGAACTATAACGTAGATTAGAAGACTATATAGTAATAAATAAAAAGGTTAGAGAAAATAATGAAATAATAATAATACTAATAATAATAATAATAATAAATATAAATGAAAAATGCTGGATCATGATGTTATTTGAATAACAATTTAATTTGAAAGTTATTGTTTATGGAGGGGCATTACGTCTTCCCTTTGAAGGGAGACATGTATGCCCTTACCTCATAGAAGAGTTTTGGTTTCATAAGAATTGTAACATAATGGATAGATATATCCACAGAATAAAAATGGGAATGATAATACTAATTTGTTTTTCAAAAAAGAGAAATATGACGAATGAAGAAGAGTAGTGGTCAATAGAAGAGAGGGAGGGACGAGTAGAGTTCTTTTCCCCTCCATATATCTTTCGAAATATGATATCATATTAACACCAGAAGTCGTAGACTCTTCTCCATTTAGGACCATTTCTTAACCGTTCTTGGTATTCTTCTCTCTCTTGTCTTAATAATTCTTCATCGTACAAAGTTCTACCTTTATTCAAATCGATCTTGTCGGCTCTAATAAATAGAGTCCAGTCTTTCTTCCAAATCTTGTAACCGAAGTACAATGCTATCAGGATCGGCATAGCCAAGTAACTTTCAAAGAAGGCCTTAGCATCGAGCTTCCCTTCGCCAATAGGAGCAATAGCCACCCAGAATTGACCGATCAAGATCAGTAACATGAACCCACCGGCGTATAATGAACCCCAGACACCGACTTGAGACTTGAACCCCAATTCCGCTGTGGTTCTACCTTGCACAGCCATGGCTCTTCTGAATCTCACGTGACTTAGACAGATGGTGAACCATGTAAACACTTGAGATAGACCAGAAATGGCCAACAACCAGACGAAGACTTCGTCTTCCTTTGGAGACGTGGCACAGAAGGCAATGACCGCAAACAACATGGCGGCTAGAATACCGATAGTTGGTCTACCTGCTCTATCGACATATTCAAAGATCTTTGGAGCCCAACCTTGATGTGCTAAGGTCAGTAGCATACGAGATGAAGAGTAGAAAGCTGAGTTGGCGACGGATAGGACGGATAACAAGATAACTGCATTAATGAAATGTGGTACGACACGAACACCATGAGTGGATACAGCCAGGACATAAGGAGATGCCTTGACACCACCACCTCCTGAACCTAACAATTTGTCGGAATCCCATGGGACAAGGAACCCGATCAGGATGATGGATGCCAAATAGACACATAACGCTCTATAGATAATTTTTTTGGCGGCAGAAGGGATAGCTTTTCTTGGATTGGATTGTTCAGATGCAGTGATAGCAATAAATTCAGATTGGCCAAAGGAGAAAGCCGCGGTGACCAAAGTACCCACGACACCTTTGAAATGATCGATTGGTTTATCACCTCTGAATGCACCTGGATTGTGCCAGTATCTACTACCAATGTAACCGTCACTACCTGCACCACCACAGATGATAATAATACCTAGGATGAAGAACCCTGTCATCATTAGAATCTTGCATGAGTTGAAGAAGAATTCTGCTTCTGCATAACCTGCAGCACCACCCAGGACATTAATACAAACGATTAATACGTAAAAGATTATGACAAAGACATCAGGATCCACTTTCGTTGTCCAATATTTGATAGTCATTGAAGCAGTGACCAATTCCAAGGGGCAAACACATAACCATTGCAAACAATAAACCCAAGCGACCGAAAACCCTAACGCGGGATCCACAAGGAATGAAGGGTAAGCATTGAACCCACCGATCAAAGATAGATACGCGACGGCCATTTCACCGACGGCTTGAATGATACAATAAATACACGAACCCATGATGATATACCCGATGACCAGCGCAGCTGGACCACCATTAGCCAAACTTGTACCATTACCGACCAATAGACCTGTACCGATACCTGTCCCTAAGGAGATCATGATGACATGACGAGGTTTAATAGTTTTCTTTAGTTTGTTGTCGACTTCGTCACTGTATCCGGCATTAGCTTCACCATTTGGTCCTAAGCCATCGATACCGACTTCTGTATTTGATAATTCTTTATTCAAGTTAGTGATGGTGTTTCTTGATACGGCGACGTCGATATCTTCCAATTCCTGTTCTAGTTGAGGTTCTTCCGCACGACGAAAGGAGTCGATGAAATTTTTAAATTTTGTTCTTGGATAGGATTTAGCGTAGTGTTTATTTTGAAATTGTTCATTGCTGTGATTTGTGTTAACCATTTCAAAATATTCGACTTCGTTATCTTGTTCTGACGATCTAATTTCTGTAGTCCCGCCATCTTTCATTTCTTTGGATTCGTACTGAGACCCAGATTTGCCAACTTCCAAAGAGTTAGGAGCCATCTCTAGTTAGTTTGTATGTATGTATATATACGTGTTTAAAGTGCTAACGTTTTAAAGACAAACCTAATAAAATGGTAGAAAGAAAGAATATATAACGGTAGTAATACTAGTATCTTAAAAGTGAGAAGATGAGTATATATATATATACATATATGAGGTGAAAATCCAAGAATGTAATTAATAAAAAAAAGAGGTAAAAAAAAAAGAGTAAGAGTAATAAATAATATAGAGATAAACGCGATTATCAAATAGTCAACGAATAGATAAAGAGAATTAAAAAATGAGATAAGCACACAATGTATAAAGAACAGAAAAAAAAACTGAAAGATTTCATTGAGAGAATCCCATATGGGAATGATTACGTTAATTACGAAATAGAATATCCAATCTGATATCAAAGTGATATTCATTATCAATTTATTATCTCACTGATTCAATTCGCCAATCTCTCTCTCTCTCTCACGTAATTCTTCAAGCTTGAATATTGAAGATTGAGATTTTTCACCTTCTAATGAGTAATATGCTAAAGTTGTGGTGTAATTGATGAGCACTGCAACACAAATTGCACAGAAAGAAAAAATTTTCACTTTATTGTACCACACATTCTTACTTGCAGAGCTGCTCTCTCTCTTTGTCTGTAATAACAAGAGTGTGTGCGCAGAGTTACGAAGGTACCAGAGAGAATAGAGACGACGGTACTTCCCTCCGCACTCGCCGTTATACCATAACAAAAACAACAGATCGCGGTTGCGGTTACTGCCACAGCCACAGCAAGAAAATGGTTTTGTTATTGCTCACAGATTCAGGCCAGCTCGTGCCGAGTGACACGCACGTATTACCTATTGTCATATACGTGTGCACGTACGTGTGCGATAGATAAGTTTTCGTTGCCGTGTAGCACCCAACCCGCTGCTTTCAATTCTCCCCGTTTCACAGGTAGCGAGGGGCATTGAACGGCACCGAACATTGCCAAATACGCATGCCGCTCTCTCTTCTATTAGACAAAGTGAGAACGAGAACGAGATTGAACAGCGAGATCAAACGGCCACGTGACGTGTCACTCTCCACGACGAACGGACGGACGAGATGATTATGCGCATGTTCTCACTGCAACAAGACAAGACAAGACAAGAAAAACGTATGCGGGGCTCCCGCCGGGCGAATGCATGAAGGACCTTCCGCCCCCTCCCCCTCCCCACCCACACTGAAACAGACGAACAGCGAAAACAAGGGGCTAACTCTATAATTCCCAACTAAAAACATACTAAACTTGCTGCTGCTGCGGCTTTCAGTTGGGGTTGGCCGCCGGCAAGCACGCAAATACACAAACGCAAATAGTGATGGGGTTAGCGTACATTGTTAAGATGTCTATCGCTTTCTGTCTAGTTGAGTCGGTTGCCCCTCGTCTCGGTGTCTATGTTTACTGTATTGTATTATATTACATATATATCTCAGCGCTATATATATTAATATGCTACTACCAGGGCAAAAGACAGAAAACCATGCTGTCTCGTGCCAGTTTCTGGTTTACATCAAGTACAATATAATAAATATTAACTGCTTATCAAAAGGAGGAGTATTCAAAGATTTATTGGAGAATAAATTCTTTGCAAAGAAAATAAGGGGATTTACACCTTTATCAATTATATAAATATAAAGGACTCATTTATCTAAGTTAGTGATTGATTCCTTTTTTTTACCATTGCGTTTAGTGGCTGTTGTCTTTCTTTTTTGCTTTTTACTTTTTTTGGCTCTTAAGTCGATACGCATATATTTTATTCAAGGATAAAAATATAAAGAGTACAGTAAATACTTTTTATTGAATCCTTTCATACAGAATAGAATAAAACAATGACACTGCACAGTATGGAACTCCCTTCGATTAATAGTACGACTAGTATCTCCGATAATGCAGAATTAAGAAATTATTATGATAACTTATTATTTAAAAATAATAGTGGAAGATCATTAGCGGATTTACCAAGAAAATCTCAAGAAAAAGATGTTAAGCAACAACAACAACAGAATATATATCCAAAAGTCGATTTCATTAAAGGATTCCAAAGACAGCAACAACAACAACAACCAAATATAGAAAATGAAATGACTGACTCGTTTGCACAATTTAAATTGTCGAATATGAAAGATTTCTTACCTCAACAACAACAACAGCCACCAAGAAGACAATCGATTTTTAATATGAGCAATGAAAATGTATTGCCTTTGACAAGTAATAATAATAATAATACCGCAAATAATGGGCCTTTAGCGTTCAATTTTAGTACAAATGCTATACATAATAGTACTGTTAATAATAGTGGTGGTGGTGGTGGTGATTATGCCGTGGAAAGAAGATCTTCGTATATATCAGATGCACTGATTCATAATAATCAACCTAATCTAATCAATAATGCACAATTTATTCAGCAGCAGCAGCAGCAGCAGCAGCAACAGCAACAGCAACAGCAACAGTACTACCAACAGCAACATGTTTCGGCCCAACAGAAATACGGTTATTTGAATTATGTCAGTGGTCAAGTCTCTAAAAATAATACAAATGATACTCCTGTGGCTATGACTACTTCCAATATTATCCCAGTTACTGCAACTGCTACAACAAATAGACTACCTCTTATCAATATGAATAATAATAACCTTAACAGTTCGAATTCCGTCATTAGAAAGGACTCAAATAACGGTTTGATGCTAACAGAAGATAAACAACTCGCCTCTTCGGAGATTTTGGCTAAATTGTATAAAGACTGTGGTGAACATTATTTCTCAAGTACTCAAGTATATGAATTTGCAGACTATTTGAAACAATCTTTATTGTCTAATGATATTTCATCTCCCTCATTGAAACAAATTCATGAGCCATTAAAGAAATTTTTAAATTTCTTAAAGAGTTGTAACCTAAATTATAATCCCCAATCTGATGGTTTCATTTCAGGTGATAGACGTACTAATAATAATAGCAATAATAATAATGGAGCTATACGTAGAAATAGCGTTCCTTTACAATCTTCCTTTGGAAGAACCTCTAACACAGGAAATAGTGCCTCGGCTTATTTACATTATCGTCCATTGGTCTTGGTTTCTTTGAAGAATGGGAAATTGGAATTGTTATCAATGCCTGCAGGAGCAAATATGTCAATGAAACGTGGTGATTTAGTTCTTATTGATGGTGATAGAGGGAAAGATTTGACTTTAGTGGTAGAACCTGTAGTTTCGTTGGATTTAGCATTGATTGTCAATTTCTTAAAGAAGAAAATACATTTCGATTCTTTAATCACTAGCAAGACACAACATTATTCAAATGATAAATTCATTGATGCTTTAGAAAAATGTACTAATGGATTAAGTGATTCATTAAATCCAAAACTTTATGATATTATTGAATTAACGCAATTGATTGTACCATCAAAACAAGTTTTAAGATTTGCTACTCCATGGGAATGTAGTACTAATTTGCATAATAAGTTTCAAGATGAATTGAAAGCATTACATATTGCACAATTGAAATTAAGAGCATTGAATGGTTCATCATTACCTGATGAGGATAATCATAACAACAATGATTTGATGATGTCTCGTGGTTTAAATATTAAAATTTTAAATGCCGAATTCCAATTTGATCGTAAGAAATTAACGTTTTATTATTTATGTGAAGAACGTAACGATTTCCGTGAATTGATTAAAGAATTATTCAAATTCTATAAGACAAGAATCTGGTTATGTGCTATACCAAATAATTTGGATATTGATAAAAAATATTATGATTCTGAACAAAAAGAATTAAAAATGTACCAGGATATGATGCAACATTATTCACAAGAAGAATTCTCAGATAATAGCAATATTAATAGTAATAGTAATAATAATGGAAGTGGATTTGTTGTAGCTCCGCCATTAAACGAATTGCAATTAGATAATTTCCAAATTGCAGTATATCAAGAACTAGTACAACAATTGTTCTAGAGTTAGAAANAAAAAACAAAAAAAAAAAAAAAGAAAAACTAACAAAAAAAAACATGAAATTATATTATAATAATAGAAGTATATATACTTATATAGACGTATAGACATATAGACATATAGATAGATGAAACAAAACAAAACAAAAAAATGTATTTATTAAACAAATTATTTATTTTCGGCTAAGAAATAGTTAGCAGCAATCAATTTCAAATTGTTTTCGTTACCCCAACGCTCGATACCAACACCTGGTACACCATAACCCCAATTAAACCTTTCTTTAACTTCAGAGAAATTTTTAACGGATGAGTCTTGTTTTAGTAATAAAAAGATGTAACGATGTAGACCGGTACCCTTTGGAGGACCTGGACCAATGTAGCTATGCAACTCGACGTTATCTTGGCCTGGAACAATAGCACCGCCTTCATTAGCATTAGTAAATTTAATATCAGTGACTACATAATGACAATATTCAGAGAATTTCTTATCGGTACGGGATGGAGCATCTGGATCAGTCATCACCAGAGTATAAAGTGAGGAAGTGTCGACATTATCGAAAGGTTTGTAAAAGAAAGTAGGAGCGTCTTGAGTGGTTTCAGTTGGTAAAACGTTACCTAGGGAAACAGTAGTGTTTGGAGTAGAATAATCTACCAACAAAGAACCTTCTGGGATGAAAGTAGAAGAAGTGGCTCTTGCAGGAAACAAATCCCCAACTATATCTTCTTTTTGTAGCGCAGCTGTGATACCGGTAGCGGTCTTGGCAGATACAGACATTGTTGTGGTTATATATATGTGTGTGTATTGGTTTTCCAATTCAAGTGACTAGAAATAAAATAAAACTACAAAAATTTACGTTGCTATGTGGTAACAATTGTTGTTACCTCATCTCTTCTTATATATGAGGCATATAATGGTGATCCAACCTCTCTGGAATTTATTCTTCAATGCCCACTCCTTTGGGGTGAGTATATCCCTGGCCCTTTTTTCCAGTCAAACCCTTTCCTTCTGGGCTGTTTCCGCGCATATATTGCCGGACAACGCGAGAAAGGAAAAAGAAAGAGTATTCGCGGTCACGTGCTCCGGCAGGGTAACACCCATGCTTGAGAAAACCTTCCAGGACGTATCACTTGTCACGGAAATGCCACAGTTTTCACATGTCATGTGACCCCAATCTTTTTTATGAGTGTTGTCTCACTTTGGCCGTTCCCACATAAGTTATGGGAAGTGGCAGTAATCTGTTGTCTACTTCTATGTATATATATGTAAGTATATGTGAGTATGTCATCAAAAAATGCCACATAGGCGGCAATAAATAATAACCATTTATCCACCTATGTGTAAAACCTATACACTACGACTGGAGAGAGTCATGCATTGGACGTGCTGATTGACTACAATTTCTTCTTTTCATAAATTTGTAAAATATGCGTGCTTGCTCGGCCACCCCCAATAATTCCAATTCTCGGTTGATATATCTCTCAATTGGAGAACATACCATAATCAGCAAGCTCTATTATCAGCAAACTCTTCTATCGACCAGTTTCTTATTTGCCTAATATCCGTATGTCTATCAGCTATGCTAAGCTCAACTCAGCTTAACTGTTGCTCGTTCCACCGGAGTTTGCCGGACAGACCGATTGGAGGGGAAGGGAACGAACAAAAAGAAACGCATTGCTCCCCCTGCGTACGTTTGTCAGTGCTGTCTCTCACACCACTCTCAGACTGTTCTCGTTTTGCTGCTGAAATTTTTGTTCACTTTTTTTGCCACACTTTTTGGCTGTTTCCACCTCAGAAGTCACAGTTTTTCGTATTTCACAGTGTTGCGCTGTGCTGTGCTGTGTGGACACATTGGGCATCGGGAAGCGAAACAGTGAAAGAGTGAAAGAGTCGTTTGTTACTGCTCATCGAGAGAGCAATAAGAGCAACTACTACCTGGTGCATGTGCTAATTTGAAAGAAGAAAAAATTTTCTTAATTTCTTGGAAGTTTTGGCTGTTTGGATATATATAAATAGCTAATCGTCGTTATCAATTTCAGCATTCACAAATTACTATTCTAAAGCTTAACTAATTTATTTTTATTTATACAGTTGTTTCTGAAATTCAATTACATATATCAACCCGTTTTGTTTTAACTTTTAATTACTCGTTCTTACAACAACAACAACAACAATAATAATAATAATGGCTGGTACTTTTCTATTTACTTCTGAATCTGTCGGTGAAGGTCACCCAGATAAGATCTGTGATCAAGTCTCAGATGCTATTCTAGACGCTTGTCTTGCTGAAGATCCTCACTCTCGTGTTGCTTGTGAGACTGCTGCTAAGACTGGTATGATTATGGTATTTGGTGAAATCACCACTAAAGCTAATCTAGATTACCAAAAGATCGTTAGAGACACAATCAAGAAGATCGGTTACGACTCTAGTGATAAAGGTTTCGATTACAAGACCTGTAACGTCTTGGTTGCTATTGAACAACAATCTCCAGATATTGCTCAAGGTGTTCACGAAGAAAAATCTATTGAAGATATCGGTGCAGGTGACCAAGGTATCATGTTTGGTTACGCCACTGATGAAACCCCAGAAGGTCTGCCTTTAACCATTCTTTTGGCTCATAAGTTAAACATGGCCATGGCTGACGCTAGACGTGACGGTTCTTTGGATTGGTTAAGACCAGATACTAAGACTCAAGTCACCGTTGAATACAAGAACGACCACGGTAGATGGGTTCCATTGAGAATCGATACAGTCGTTGTCTCCGCTCAACACGCTGAAGCTATCTCCACTGAAGATTTAAGAAGTTTGATTAAATCTGAAATTATCGAAAAGGTTATTCCAGCTGATATGTTGGATGAAAACACTAAATACTTCATTCAACCATCTGGTAGATTCGTCATCGGTGGTCCACAAGGTGATGCTGGTCTAACCGGTAGAAAGATTATCGTCGATGCTTACGGTGGTGCTTCCGCTGTCGGTGGTGGTGCTTTCTCCGGTAAGGATTACTCTAAGGTCGATCGTTCTGCTGCTTATGCCGCTCGTTGGGTCGCTAAATCTTTGATCGCTGCCGGTCTATGTAAGAGAGTCGAAGTTCAATTCTCTTACGCTATCGGTGTCGCTGAACCATTATCTCTGCATGTTGACACTTATGGTACTGCTACTAAGTCCGATGAAGATATTATTGAAATCATTAAGAATAACTTCGATTTGAGACCAGGTGTGTTAGTGAAGGAATTGGATCTAGCTAGACCAATCTACTTGCCAACTGCTTCTTACGGTCATTTCACTAACCAAGAATACTCTTGGGAAAAGCCAAAGACTTTGAAGTTTTAAGTTTAAATTTTTATCGATAGAAATTTCACACACACACTCACACCACTAAAAACCCTAATACAAGATACGCATATTCTAAAATAAATAAATAAAAGCTTAATATCTTCAATCCCCCCCCCCGCATAATACAACACTGATAAATATTTTTGCCAATACTATCAATAGAAAAAAATTTAGAAAACATGGAATTTTGATTTCCTTTGGGTTTTTTTTACCATATCATCTTTCGTTTCGACTTTTAATTTGTAAATACTGTAAATTCAGGAGTTTTAAGTCTCGTTTCGTAATATTATCTGTTTTTATGGTAGAACAGAATGTTCCATAACATCATGTTTCTGATATGTTTTTATTTTTTTTTCTTTAGGGTAGTTGTGTTCTTATATATATATGTATATTATATCTCATAATTTAAAAGAAAGAAAGAAAAAATTTAGAATGTTTATATAATATTATTAAGATAACGAATCCAATAGTTTCATAGCTTTCGTGAACTCATCTTTAGCTGTACCTATATCCTCGTAATTTAATGCACTAATTGCATATTTCGCACATTTTTGTGCTTGTTCAATCTTTTCAGAACGGTCCATCATCCCATTCAATTCTTGTGTTGTATGTTTCGTTTCTGAGTCTTCTACTATTTCATTGCCTTGTGGAATCTCAGAATCAGAATCAGAATCAATAAATGTTGGCTCAGGATGTTCTTCTAGAGACATCGATGCAAGTTCCTTCTGAAGATCGTCATCAAGTATAGTATCATTTTCTTCTTCTTCTTCGTTATCAGATTCGTGAGTAGAATCATTAATTTCGGCTCTATTTTCATTATATTCGTCTATAGCATCTTCAATACCTGGATGATCTTGTGTGTGTGTGTCCTGATTATTATTCGTTTCTTCATTTCCAGATATTATATTCAAATTCGTAGTAGTGGTGTCTTCATTCGACGGCTGTATATGATCTTCTTTTTTATCATTTTCATCTGATTCAGCATTATCTGGAGGGCCAATCTCTCCCTTGACAATCCTACTAATATAAACTTTACAAAACTTAATACGTTTTGTTAAAGTTTGTCGGCTTTCATCATCGCTAGACCAAAGGTGCATGATACAATTTAACAAATCAATACAACACCACAAGGCACCCACAAGGTCACGATCCCACGGACCCTTCTGTACCCTCACCAGTTGTTGGTTGTATAATGACATTGTAAAATTCGTCACATATGTTTTTGCTCTTACGTCATCATTTACAAGTGTGAATAACGTCTCTTTCTCCCTTGAGTCATCAGATAACTCATTAATCGATTGTTTGAAACTCTCAATCTTATCTAGAATATCGGACGCTAAATGTGTTTGTTCAGCAGTTCTATCATCTCTCTTTAAAAGTACCTCCACAATGTATAATCTCAAGTAATAACTGATGATACCCAATCCAGCCGTATCGAATTCCTCGGCCCTCTTAATCTCTCTTTTCAAACGGTTATTAAAATCCATAATTTATATATATATATATGTATTTTTTAAGTCTTATAAACTCTCTGAAGATATACAGTCCAATACAGTATTCTTAACATAATCCACTTTAAATGGATAGAGGTAGATATATACTTCTTTACCAATATCTTGTCTGCTCTTAGTTCATTCTGCCTCTATAAATTAAGATTATCAAACCCACGTTGAGCCTCTCTTGCTACTAGTTCACAGTATTAAATGTGAGGTGCTGGGTTTTCCTCACAAATTACGGCGCGACTGTCGAAAGAGAGAGGAAAACAGACAAAACTGAGGGCATTTTCTTTTGTTGTTAACACGAGAGATAATCACACGAAATTTATTTATTTAAATTTGAGAAAGGAACAAAGGTCTGAAGGGAATATTGAGATAATTCATTTTGAATCTACACAATTTGACATTTGCTACAAGGTTATTAATCCTGACACATACTTGAATTGAGTATTTTTCGTTGTTGTTGCTAAAGAGTAAGATAAATAGATTATATTGAACCACGAAATATTTCTGCTTTTCATCCGTTTCTGAAATAAAGTTTTGTAAAAATTTTAAAGAAGTTCTAGTTCTTATAGCATGACAGTTTCAACAGCCACTGGTTACATTACATCCGAGAATGGTTTGCAATCACATCCAGTTACTCTGATAAGGAATGCTGACACGGGTTATTTTTTGTTGAAGCCCCTTTTACCATTATTAAAGCAATTGGATGAAGATAAACAATCTGTAGATGTTGAAGAATTGCGTCAAGATACAGAAACTCTATCCCAATATGAAGATCCGGATACGCTTGCTAATATGTTGTCGAGATTACGATTGCTTGTTGATACAGATGAAAATGATGAAAAATGGATTACTGGAGAAATGGCTCATAACGTCTTAAGACGTTTGAACATTTTATTTTTGTTTGAAAATCAATTTGATGAAACCAGTGACGATTCAGGAAATAAGACCCCCAAGGATGAAGATATTACTCAAAATGAATCGGTATTGGACGATCTGAAGAAAGAGGATTCTACAGCTACTAGCATGACTACCACTCATCTGGAAGAAAAAACTGGTCAGTCTGAAGTTAATAATAATGAGAATGATAATACACATAGACAGTCAGGAAACGATGGTAACGCTAACGATCCTAGTACACAAAATAGACATACTTTGGAAGATGAACGATCTAGTTCAATTAAGAGAACAACTAATGGTGATGATGATATCAGTCTTGATTCTCATAGAGAATTGGGTTCACCTTTGAAAAAATTGAAATTTGATGCAGCATCTTCATTAAAAACTACCCTTGATAACTTGGGTGAACAGAAACCAGTAACGGATACCAAACCAACACCAATGACATCATCAGATGATGATGATATAAAACCTATTGCGATATTCGATCATGATTTGAAATTAAATAATGAGATTTTAAAGACTCCATTGCAACTGAATAAAACAGTTAAATTCGATGACAATGCTGATAATAATCAAAGGATTAAACTTGAAACTTTTTTACAAAAATTGTTATTCCCTGAAGCACAAAATGCAGAAAATTCCAAGGAATCAGATAATCCATCTACAACTACATTTGATGCTCTATTGAAAGAAGTGGACGACTCTTTCCCAAACATTGATTGGAATCTAAACATTCCTGTTGATGAACATGGTAATACTCCTCTTCATTGGTTAACATCCATTGCTAATATAGGTATGGTTAAAGAACTGGTGAAACATGGTTCTGATAGGTTGATAGGTGATAATATGGGTGAATCGGCTTTAGTTAAAGCTGTCAAATCTGTAAATAATTATGATTCCGGTACATTTGAAGAACTGTTAGATTATTTATACCCTTGTTTGATCCTTGAGGATTCGATGAGCAGAACTATCTTGCATCATATCATTATCACTTCTGGTATGACTGGTTGTTCTTCTGCTGCCAAATATTATCTCGATATCCTGATGGGTTGGATTGTTAAGCAACCTTCAAGACCTCCAAAGGGAAATAAAGAAAAGGATATGATTCTAGATAATTTGACCCTAACCTGGGTTATTTCAGCAATGTTAAACGCCCAGGACTCTAATGGTGATACTTGTTTGAATATTGCTGCCAGATTAGGGAATGTATCTATTGTTGATGCATTGTTGGAATACGGTGCTGATCCACGCATTCCAAATAAATCTGGTCTACGCCCAATAGATTTTGGTGCCGGTACTTCTAAGTTAAACTCTCAAGAGAAAGTTACAGATACTACCTCTGAAATTAAGGATGAAGATATGACAAATAATGATGAAAATAAAAACTTGATAAGTGGTCTTAAGAATATTAAGAAGCCAGACACTGATGGTCTAGTCAATGACATAAAGACATTGTTATCGGCTGTCTCTAAGGACTATGAAATTGAAGTCAAACAACATAAAGAAAAACTAAATATACTGCGTACAGATCTAAGTGAACAAAGAGAAAAACTTTCGACATCTAGAGATGAGTTGGCCAAATCAAAAGAGATACGTGACCAATATAACCTTCTCAAAGAACAATTAAAAAATATTAAAGATGGTATAGAGGTAGAGGAAAGAACATTCCTTGAAGAAAGTAAGAAACTTGGTATATCACCGGAAGAAACATCTGGTATAGATTGGGATTCGAATGAATATGATGCTGATGAGCCGTTCAGAGTTGATTTTATATATGGTTTATTGGAAGACAAATTAAATAATAAGTATAATGGTGACATGGATAAGTTACTACAGGAGACGAATGTTGATGCTGTTGTCCAACAAATTCAGGAGAATTATGATAATAATGAAGACAAAATAAATGATATGTTACCTCCTACAGTTTTATTAAATGCAAGAATTAGGGCATACAAAAGAAATGATAAGCATTTGGATGACACATTAAACGCAATTAAGGATAAACAAAGCAAGCTGGAGGCAAAATTTAGAAGGGTATTATCGTTATGTCTAAAAATTGATGAGGACAAGGTTGATGGAATGCTTGATGGTTTACTGCAGGCTATATCATCAGAGGACCCACAGGATATTGATACTGATGAGATGCAGGACTTTTTGAAAAAGCATGCTGTATGACAGATAAACGGGCATATTAGATATATAATTTAAATTATACAGAACTAGATACGTATTTAAGATGAAATGTATCATTGATTTAGGTTTATTTGAATATTTTTCTTATATTTGTGATTTATAAGGCATTAAAATATGTGTGTGTATGAGTTTGAAGTGGTTAAGTTGTTGTTAGAGATAAATTAATTGATGTTGGTTAAATCTTCTAACGTTTTTATTAACGTTACGTGTGAATAAACGTGGATTTTTTTTTGACTCCACTATTTGGCGGGCCTTTTCCAGAAATATTGCTTATGAGTCCTCCTACAGGATCTTAGACCAGTTCTGCCACCTTTCATTGAAGTAACAAGGCTCTTTCTTTGTTCATCATAATCGTTTTCCATGTCATAGAAATATTCTTCTTCTAGTGGTTTACCTGCAGCATCCTTACCTGTTCTAGTAATAACACCAATACATTTTGTTTGCGTTAGGATCATGCGTAACTCTTCCTTTGATAATGTCTTAATAGTAGAATTGGTATCTGTTAATTGTGAAAGTGGAGTTTGTTGGATGTTAGCAAAAGCCAAATGGTTGGCTAAAACATTTTGTAAGCCTTTTACATCGATTCCCTTCTGTTGTAAATCTTTTAAGATATCCTCCTTGGATCTTGGATGAGGGTATTTGACACGCTTATTATTGGATGTATGAGTGACAGTTAATGTGCCAAGTTTCCGTTTATGAATTTGAGTGTTATCATTTCTAATATTATGAATATCCATTAAGTGGGCATCCGTTAATGCATCATGAAGATTAGAAGTGATATTTTCATCCTTTGATTCGACAAATGATGCCTTCAAAGAAGAATTATGTTTCTTGGTTGGTGTTTTTGGCTCCCTCGTAATAAACGAGGACATTGGGGTTATTGTATCTTTAGTTGTTGGAGAAATTTTTTTATCTTTAGATTTCTTAGGTTGAGAACTAGTTTCTAATTTTCTAGTATTACTGTGTAATACACTGGAAATGGAACGCTGAGCGATACTTTCTTCCGAATTTGTTCCATAAACTTTGTGTTGATGTTTCATCGATAAAGATGTTTTAACTTGTTTGAAGTCTATCATCGTATTATTCATGAATGGCATAAAAATAGTCTCACCTGGTTCAAGGGTAAAAGCAGTCAGATTCTGGCTCTTGATTAGTTCCTTATCTACGTTAGTATCAACCTGCTGGAATTGTTGACGCATCTTGATGGTTTCAATAGCACATAATTCATAAACATTCTTTTCATGAGTAGGTTTAATTAGAAAACAATTCAATTTTCTTGGTAAAGAGACAATTATACCATTGATGCCAATGCATTTCAATCTTACTTGGTTTCTATCAGGGATATAATTGATTACTGCGTGAGTTCTAGAGATAGTTCTCATACCAGGTAATAAAACATCACACATATCTTTCTTACGTCCAATGGTCAATTGCATGTTACTAATGGGATCAATTTCGATATCGATAATTCTTGGGAATACTTTGTATTTGACATGATCCTTAGACTTGGATTTATCCGTTTTTCTTGATGGTGAAGAGATGCCACGAATCTTGTCGTGTGGACTAGTAGCAAGATCTTGAATACCAACAAATGAGGAATCAGGGCTTTCGTCACCACTAGACTCGGCATTACGAGCAGAGGCTTTCACAGGGGAGGACGACCTTCCGATACTCGAGGAAGGAAAAGGAGATGGATATTGAGTATTGTCATTCTTAGTGACACCACCTTTGAATATTAAAGGCGAAGGTTTAGATCCATAGAAGGAAGAGTTTGGCGATTGTTTGTTATTCTTTTCGAAATTTAAACCGTTAGAGCTAGCAAGGGGCGACGAAGGTGGAAACATGTTATTCATCTTGGTTTAATGCTATTGTTGATGATGTTTGTGGTTGTATGTATTTCTAGTTGCAATTAAATAATTTCTGAAACTTCAACGGCGAGGCTTAAAGAAAGAATAAATTTTCCTTCTTATATAAGTAGAATAACACGAAACAATGATCCAAGTGAAATGGGTTATAAAATTAATAATTGCAGATAAATATTAGTTAGACACCTGTTTTTAATTATTTTTTGTTTTTTCGTTTCTCGTTACTGTTAATTGGTTATATTTATTATAACTATTTTAAAAGTAAAATAAGCAGTAAGTATAGGAATTCTATTCGACAGTTTCTAAAGTACAACAAATGTATGAATTAATAATTTCAGATGACCAAGTCAGATATGGGATGGGAGTTGTGTTGCTATGACAGTGAGGATTGAAGTTGAATGTTTGAAACAAAGGGTGTGCAGAGTTGATCATTCCCATCTTAACAATGGCCTAATACGCGAAAAATTAAACGCCAGAAATTTCGTTTTGTTTGTTTTGTTTTTTACAAGTTATTTTTCACGTGTTTGTAAGACTGTCTTCTAACATCCAGACATCTTTTATACCACCCAGACATCCAATGTTTCTAAATTTTTCAAATTTATTTTATAAGAGTTTTTTTGGAATAAAACAAAATAAAAATTCAGGAATGTATCATTGCTCGATAACGCTTTTGAAGCAAAAAATAGCACCAGGTACCGAGCGGTCTCGTCTGTCTATCTCTAAAGGAGCGGACCTACATTGTGAGTGGAGCCCGAAAGATTCGCACAGGCTAGACACCTGATTGGCTTCTTTTCCCTTTGGGGTGTGGTAAGGCTTGGGGGAACACTCAGCCTGGTTGGAAAAAGAGTTTCATCCCAGCGGATGCAGTTGGGTTCTGTTTCCCATCTCATCATTTTCCGTTCTGCTTTGGTAAAATCTAAGGAAGTGATTGTAAATCAGAACGAGTGATAGAGGGAGAGAGAGACTCGTCATACCAATCGTAGTGTTGTGAATCTTTCACTATGGGCAAGTACCATCAACTAACTTTCTATGCAAAGGTTGATGAAACTGAGTTAAACCATATATCTAAAAGGGTTGTTACTTTTTTTAAACTTGGGTTACATTTTCTTACTTATCATTGTAAAATAACCACATAAATATAAACGATTAAAAATGGGTAGTATGTAGTACTAATATGATTGCAATTTTGATGTGAATGATAAGAATGATAGGCGAGATTACAACAAGATGATGAGAAATAACTTCACGACATGAGATACTGTGATACATGATAAGGATGAAGCGACTGATTAATGATTGAAAGTTTTGAAATGATATTTACACGTTAGAGTTCCGTATTGAATAGTTAACATAAGTTTGATTAGAATTCTCCTTTGACGATTATTATGTTTCTGGGATATAGAGTGCAACACTTCGAATTTTTAAAGAGAAATGAATAACTATCAGTATAAGTATTAGTTTATGAGAGTATGACTTAAGGATAACATATTCAGTTGTTAGTTGTTAATTAAACCATAATAACATATTTAAGTTTTACAAATTCTTTCTCAGTTCTAGGAAATAATCATGAATGTCCCAATTGATCTTCTAAGAGATAATGATATGAAGTTCTCCTATTTCACATTCTTCACATAATTGGTGTGTAATTTAAGAAAGCCAGATATACTAACGATTTTTTTGATATTTTGTTAAAATTAATTATTGTAACATAAGTATTCCTTACTGAGGAAGTAGACAATAATATTAATATTAATATTATTGTGCCTTATGTTGCACTAGTATTTTAATTGCACCAATTTTATAAACAGAGGGTACTCCATCTTTCGGTAAGCGTCACAACAAATCCCATACTCTGTGTAACAGATGTGGTCGTCGTTCTTTCCATGTTCAAAAGAAGACCTGTGCTTCCTGTGGTTACCCAGCTGCTAAGACTAGATCTTTCAACTGGGGTGCTAAGTCCAAGAGAAGAAGCACTGTCGGTACTGGTAGAATGCAATACCTAAAGCACGTCTCCAGAAGATTCAAGAACGGTTTCCAAACTGGTACTGCCAAGAAGGCTTCCGCTTAAATTATTAAAAGTCTGTAAATTTCAGAAATAATATATATATACATATTTATTGTATTTTACCGATCTTTTGTATAAGTTTAAACTATATGTCTACTATAATAATATATTTTTAAACCCATTATAAGATAACAAATCTTATAATTAAATAAGATAGTTTACTCAGATAGCACTACACAAATCCGATCATGTTGCAAGGCGTCATGTTCATCTATAAAAAGTGTCCAAATGTGGAGGTAGAAGTAAACATTGTATGTTTATAGTTTAGGTATTGTATGAGGGTTAAGCCAATATTGTTGATCCATCTCTCAGTAAGGTAACTTCGTCCCTTGCTACATCTCATATAACAAAGTTACAACACACCCTTTCTTCCTTCGGTTAAGACAATTACTCCTGTAAGCTGAAGAACTGAATACCATTAGAAGTAATCTGTAGGTATCGTTTATGGTCTTGACCTCTTTGAGGGAATGGGCTTAGATCCAATTAGGTCTTCATCCCTAACCCTAACATTGATATTTTTAGTACGTACGCTGTTTTCTGAGCAAGCGGGGCAGAAAAGTGTATGTAAAAGAGCTTAAACCAACAAGAAGAAAGGGCCAGCAAAATTACGTAGCTCGCGGGTCACTCAAACATTGACTTCTGAAGGATATAAATAAACAAGCCATTCTTTAACATCTTTTACTTTAAACAGATTTTATCTCCACTTTAAATGCTAAACGGATCAGTAAGTCATCTGAATCATTATCTAGGAACTGTCTAATTTGTTAATTTTTTCTGTTCAACGTTCGTGAATTTTAAAGGATTGTTGAAATTGGGATATTTTGAGAGATCATCGTTATTGTTACCACTTCATAATTTACATCCAAAGTTCAGACATATCATTATTCAACCAACCAAAACAAAGACAAATCATTGGTCACTTTGGTACTTAGTATTATAGTTATATATATATATTACCATGAAAAGACTGCTATCTAGTTCTTCTAATCTCTTTCGCAGAGACTCCAGTGGCTCAACCCCACCAACTCCCAAACAACGTTCCACCTCTTCTTTTGCTAAAAGATTAGTAAGTGGGGACTCTACACCAAATATTCCTGAAATGATCCCTAATGAAGAATCTGGTTTATCTCCAGAACTTGTCCCGATCGTAACTTTAATATCTGCACATACTCATAGAAGATACCATAGAGGTACTATGTTGGTTTTAAAGGATTTGAAAAGTGATGGTACACCAACTGGTAACTCCTGGGAGGAAGTTTATGCTGTTTTAGTTGGTACACAATTAGCATTATGGGATGCTCATGAGCTTGCCGACTGTAAAGATGATGCACGGGAAATTAATAATAGATTGAAAAAATTGGCCTCAAAACCAGCTTACTTGAACTTAACAGATGCATCAATTAGAGCTATTGGTCCGAATGATAATTTTACTACAGATGGCGGTCAACCATTTGAGAATGCTTTGGTCATATCTACTACATTGAAAAATAGATATTTTTTGAAATTTAACAATTTGGACTCATACAACGCATGGTACGCTGCCATTAGGTTGAGTCAATACGAATCAGTAACATTACAATTAGCATACACTGGTGCATTCTTGTCTAGTAGAGGTAGAAAATTAGGTGATATCCAAGTTATTTTAGCCGATAATAAATTTAATCATAGCGAATGGGTTAGTGTAAGGTTTGGTACAGGTATGCCTTGGAAACGTTGTTATGCTGTCATTTCACAAGCTGGTGATAAGAAGAAGAAGAAAAATAATATTGGTACTATTACTTTCTATGAGAATGAAAAAAAGGTTAAGAAGACAGGCATCATGGCTACTGTTAACGACGCATCCGAAATATATGCAGTTTACCCCTCATCACCTAAATTAATTGATACTTCGACAATTATCAAATTACGAGGTACAATTACCTTGTCAGGTGAAGATGGCGAAGAACAAACTAATATCTTCATAATGCCTGAGAAGCATCAGGGTGTTCCAGGTTATGATACTATTATTAGATTTCTAGTTCCAACAATGAACGCGTTTAGATTGTATGGTAGGCCTAAGCGTCTCCTTGCACGGAGGGACGACACAGAATCATTAGTTTTTGCGCTACCAACTTTGCCAAATGTCTATTATCTAAATTGTAATGACGTTATATCCATTATTGATTCTGTAGATCAATCATCAATCTCCGCATGGACTGAACAAGATTGGCGTCATGAAATAAATGATGTTTTACTTGGAAAGATAAGAGATGGTTATACTGGTATAAGTTCAGATCGTAAGGATAACTCTATATTGACATCTCCAGTCATTTCTCCAGAGGAACTGTTTAGAGGGACTAACACAATGGGTGATTCTCCATTCGCAAATATTGTATCTGAAGACACAAGTAAGTCAATCTCTATTGGTTTCCCAGAAGAATCGAGACAGGATGATGTAATGCTAGAAAATCTGTCATCTTCTCCAGATGATAGTTCGGTAAACCATAACGATTTGAGTCAAAATGTAAATGTAGAACAACTTGAAATAACAAAATCACAAGAATTAAGAGAAGTTACTCCAGCTGATAGATTAATCATTGGAGATGCTCCTAATATGGCTAGAAAATCTGAGGCCGGTTTAGGAGCTATTTATGATAAATACGCGGTGTTACCTTCTAGTAGAACGAGTAAGGAAGTTTCTCCATCAAATAAGATATTAGAGACGCCAGGTATACATAAAACTGAAAGTCCATACGAAAAATATCTGGGCTCCAATTCGGAAAGCAGGATGTTTGAAATTTCAAATATCAGAGATTCTAGCAGTAGTATGAACAGTAATGAAGGAGAAGATAGTAGTGTTTCAGGGAACAACTTTCAAGATGCCTTTAATGAGACAGAGGCTAGCGAAGATTTTAATGACTTAACTAAGAAGATCGGATCTATTGAAGTTACTAGTCGTCAATCAGAACATACCGAAACCAGACATGATATAGATGATTTAGCTGACGTTACTGCTGATCTAAACTTTGAAACCAGTCAAGATATTTCTACAACTTCGGAATACACCAGTAATTTCCATGAAGAGAAGGACAATGCTAAGGACATTGATGTATTTGATCCAGATTATATCGAACAAACTGAAATATTTAGCTCGGCAAATCCATACAGTACATCCTCGAATCGTTCTTTTGGGTCATCTTCCTCTATAAACAAAACCACTTCATCAGGGACTAACCATGTATTACCTACCGATCCGAACACTACAAATTCCTCTTTTCCTCATTCTTCTGGGACAACAGATTTGAACGAATATGCTAACATGCAACACCCTCAACAGTATCAGCAGGTCGACAAAAATGGTGCAGGTCGACAATATATGGCTCAAAATAATCAACCAATGAACATAAACAGACCAAACAATAATGTTAATAATATTTACCCACAATATGGCGTAAACCAACCAGGTGTCGGTAATCCATTTGGCCATCAGAATGTGAGGATGGGACCATTACCAGCCCAGCAAAATGTAAATGGTATGCAATCGGGATCCCCTGTTAATCCAAATTTTGGTAACCCATATCAAAAAAATCCAGCACAAAGAATGCAATATCCTCAACAACAAATGAACCGTCATATTCAGCATCCACATCAACCTCAACCTCAAATGCTTATGAGTAATGGTATGCCTCAACAGATGATGAACGCACCTCAACAAAGAATGAATATGCCTAACCCAATGTACAAGAATCCTCAGTTTTCCAATTCTGGTAATTCTATTAATAGTAACAGTAGTAACAAAAGACCTAACGTCAGAACTGGGGGCGGGTTTTCTCAGTTCATGCCTTCCACAACCGCAAAGAATCCATATGCAAACTAATGCGGGACATAAAAATGAAACAGGTAACACTTATCGCATTAACTCCATTTTTTAAAATTATAATGGATTGTATTATATATTAAATATTACTACATAACTTAATCATAAAATGAATTTTGGTCCATTGATTTGTACTTAATAAAAAAATTAGACCTTCGAATGACATATGGTAAAATATGGTGTTTTGAAATAGAAATCTTGAAACGATAAGATTCCCCTACAAACATGTTTATAAAATAAATAACTATAGCGCGGATCCAATCATTACTTTTGAAGTATATCACAACACAACCCAAGAATCTTTGTCGGAATTGCCTCCGATCATGGCATAATTAGATTTGTCTTGGTCAATGTTAGGATCGTCATCCTTGTTCATTGATGTCAAAGCTTGACTTTCAATTGCAGGTATTTTTGAGCTGGGTGGATTTTTCGCATATATTAAACTCCTTGCATATTCTAATTCGCCATAAATACAATTAATAGCTGTTGCCACCCCATCCTCCTTTAGTATTCGGTTCTTTATCAGTAATGCCTTTTCTTTGTATTTGTTCTTTGTGGTTATCTCTATAAGAGCCTCTGACAATGCTTTTGTGTTAAAATGTCTCAACGCCACGCCAACACCAATCTCTTCTACTCTGTTAGCATAGAAAAATTGATCACCGAAGAAAGGCTTAATAATAGTTGGTAGGCCAGCTCTTAAAGTGGCACCAGTTGTTCCTGAGCCACCATGGTGAACTGCCGCTTCTAATTGAGGAAACAGCCAGTCATGAGGAACCGTACCTGAGTTAAATATACAATCTGGTAATTCTATTTCTACAATTTTTGCCGACTTATCATTAAGTCTTTCAGACCAACCCTTATTGAGAATACAATAAACATCAGCACTTACTACGGCCTCGACCAATGCTTTCGTCATTTCACTGGCATTTGAGACAACAATTGATCCAAAGCCGATGTAGACTAATTTTTTCTTTAATTTCCTTGCCCTTTGAATGAAGTCTGTAAGCTCTTTTGGGGGAGTATAGTTTAATTGTTCGTCCAAAAACCAATAACCCGTTACTTTGACCCATTCGTTAAAATCTACTGATGGCGGAAAGATTGTTGGTGATACATTATACAAAAACGGAACTTTGTTTTGTTGAAGTTGTTCTAAACTTGTTTTCCCCAAACCTAGTTTTTCTGTTCTCCATTTATTGATAGCTCCACTAGTTCCCCTCCAATAAATATTTTCGAAAAGAACATAGGACAGATAATTGTAATTTCCTCCTCTTTTTTTATCTGGTACAACAAATGCATGAGGATATGCTCTTGTTCTTGTCCAAGGCATGGTAAATGCCCTAAAATAGGCAATTCTTAGAGCTTCGGCAATATGAATACCAGATATACAAGATGGAGATTCGATCAATATGTCAAACTTTTCGTCTTTACAAGCAATCCACGAAGTTTCCAATAATTCTTTTATCCAGCCACCAAATTTTTTAGATGCTTCACGTAACATACCTATATTCATTGATTCGTGCTCCACCATGAGAGACATCAGTTCCGCTGGGTCACCAGCAATGCTCTTGAATTTAATTCCATGTTTTTCGACAAACCCACGGAACTCCTCGTGAGTGATTATAGTGACTATGTGGCCCTCCTTAATTAATCCCTTACCTAGTGCAATGTAAGGCTGCACATCTCCTCGAGAGCCTATTGTGAGTAAACCAATTTGGTATTGTCTCTTTGTTTTGATACTCACCTTCACGTTCGGATTTTGATCTATTAAAAGGGGTACATTAAACCCATTCGCAGATATTTTATCCTCAAAGAATTTCAACTTTGCTGAGCTTGGGTTATTTTCGATAAATGCGTCGGTACTGACTAGTGTGTCATTTAGTAAATTTTGAGAATCAGAGCCAAACTGATCATTTAGACTTGAGATGCGGTCTAACAATATAGATTCCATATCATTACGAGACGCCTCCGTATAGAATTCTATAAATAATTCTTCATGGCCACGTACTACTAATACTAATGCAAAATAGCTAAATCTAAAACTCTTCTCTGTATAACAGGTGTCTATCTTTGAAATTGGAAGAATCATTGTTGTATGTGATCCAGGTATTAAAGATCTGAAGCATAACACGTTGTCCGCAAGATATAATTTTCCATAGGTAGGTACATTTTTGTTTAAATAGCCATAATAAGTGGAAAGTAATTTCTTCTCCTTCACTAACTTGAAGTGATTAACAAACCGCTTATTGGCTTCAATTGCATCTTTTCCGCTAATATAATTGGCCTCTTTCTTCTCATGTTCTTTAAATATGTAACAGTTGTTCTCATAATGTTGTGGTTTAGCTTTCCACATATCCGTTAGATTTTTCAACGGTTTTGTAGTCCAATCTTGTATATGTTCTCTTTTTGAGTGTGATATTTGCTTTATATCTTCATTTGTAACTGCTCTAATTAATTTCGGATCATTAGATGATTCGGTAGTAGGCATATCAGATACACTCTCGATGACAACATTTTCTTCCACTTTTGTATCCTCCCTATTTCTATTAAGTAGAAATGAGACAGGTCTTGTATTATGAATCCAATCACCACTTCTGGATCTAATTCTATTAATTTTAGATATAGGTTTTTGTAGTAAGGTTGTTTTAGATTCAGAAGTTGGAAAACTGATTGGAGAACTCAAATCGCTTTCTGTAGATGGGGAATCTTTGGTGGGGCTTGAAGAATGCACCTTATCTAACTTGTCCTCGGTATTGTTATCACCATCACCACCAGTCAGTTGGGTATCGATGAAATTATTGTTTGTTACTTCAGATGTAGCAGAATGGTATGCAATTACTACACCACTTTCAGAAAGCTTGGTTAACTGTTCTTGTAATTTCTGTTTCACAATTGACCCGGAACTGTCCAGGAACATAAAAATATAATCATCTACAGCATATGAGAATTGGCCTTCTAATGCTTTCACAACCAAAGTAACAGATTGATTAATGATTTCTTCATCATCGAGTTCTAGAATATTACAAAGAGGTATCTTCAAGCTAATATGATTTTTTCCCTTATTATACACTGCGAATTGCTGCCTCTTTATAGTATTATACCATGACTTCGCCGATTGAGGCGAATCGGCAATAAAGACAAACGTTTTTTCCTTTGTCGTTACTTTGAAAGTACTACTGAAACTTTTAGGATCTGAATCACTTTTCTTCAGTTCTATCTTCGAAACATCGTTCATGTCAATGGTCACCAGTGGGAAATAAACTTCGCTAACACTAGAATACAGAGATAATAAATTGTCCTTCAATACACACCAATATCTAGTCACACCTCTTAAAGTTGATTTTAGATTAATATTACCTGTCATTTGAACTTGACCTGTTGGTTTTGGTAGATATGCAAAAAATAAGAAGTGATGCAATGTAATAAAACTGTAACCTTGGATTAATACATCCTTTAGCAACCAAGCTGTGGAGTCATAAATCATAATATCTTCATCTTTTAGTTTAAATTTTTTTCTCAATGTTTTGAATATTGAATATTTCGAGGTCTCTTCCTTAATTATCTTTTCTTCGAGAGCCTTATGTAATGAAACTTCGTCACTGTGATCATTTGATTCTATATTATTTTCTACTGTTTCCTGTTCATTTGGTTCAACAGATATTTCAAATAAAGTAGGCTTTCTTTCTATTGGAGGTTTCTGGTACTGTGACATTGGTTCATTACTCTTTAGGGACAGATCGTGACTTACTTGTTGTGTCAAATCATTAATCACCTGTGCACTTTCCATACCTGCGTAAACACTTGCTGTACCTAGTAGCCCTGCTATACTTCGCATCATATATTTTGATTTGGCAATATCATCTTCTTCCTCCTCTAACGGTTTTTTTGCGACACTAGGAACTACATCCTTTAATACATTACCGACCAAAGTTGTTGGACCTTTAATCAGTGTATTCGATGGCATATTATGTCTTATAGATGATACCGATTTGGAAATACCCCTTTGGGTCATGGTAATGGGTTTAGCAATTGAACTTACAGCCCGAGAGCCTATCATCTTACTTGACGATATAAGAATTGTATCCTTAGAGGCTTTGGATACCTGCTGACTTATGTCATCTACTCCCTTCTGAGGTGTTTTAGACATATTTTCTTTGTACAGATATTGGAATTATGTGCTCGATGCTAGATGCTTATTTAACTGTAACCCTTATACTACTTTTAGTTTCTTTTGCTCTCTACACACCCCTGGAGTAGTTATATTATTATTTAATATCTAAAATAAATATAATTGTTGTAGGATCTATACATATACTATAATTTTTAGCATTTGTATTGCTTATATAATATGTTATTGTAACTGTTAAAGAACTTAGCCGTTCAGTTCATCGATCAAAAAATGCCCCTCTATATCTTTCTTCTTATAGAAACTCCTTCCTTCCCTTTTTTTGCCCTCCGATATTAAAGACACCGACCGCGCCAATTCAGTACAAGTTAGTAGAACTACTTATTTCTTGAGGTTAATTAGAAAGTTGGTGATAATAGCTCGAGGGCGTTGGTTAGATGCATGCAGGCGAATCGTATCCTTTTCAGTCATATTGCTTGACTATTTCTGTTTGTCCAGAACCATCTGCATGTAACGTTCAGCATCTTGTACTTCTTGTTCTACTTCCCATAATGCCCTAATTTCACTTCTCCCGAAGAAGAAGGAAATCATACCATCAATCAGCCCAGTAACAGAGACCACGGTTGCAAATAGAACCCAGAATATAGAGGACCAAGCAGCTTTATTGGAAGTAAATGTTGTAACTACAAGACAAGCAATTATACATAACACGGATAAGATAAAATGAATACCTCTGAATAATTTCTGTTTCTTTGCAGTTATCATGTATTTGTTAATACAACGTAACATTTCTTCATAGGATGCGAATCTTTCCAATAATAGCTTTCTTGGTTGCGTGTCATCCTCGTCTAGGTTTTCAGATTCGCCAGTTTTTCTAGGTAATAGTTCTAAGGTGCAAGTGTAAGCAAAATGATCCGAAAAACTTCCAATGTTATCTAATCTTTCTGTAAATCTTGCACCGGCATTTATGGTATTCAATTTTGTAGGATCTATTAAAGCATAATCCAATCTTTTCGCTTCGTCAGGTTGTCTTTGGGCTCTCCAAGTGTTCAATTGGGAGTCACATGTCGTACATCCGATTTTCAATTGGTCTACGGCATTCATCTTGGAGATCTGAACGATATCTTGTTTTCCATGAAGTTGTAACCAGGAATCCACAAGACCCGTCTCTGCAGTTAAAAATTTATGTGGTAAAGAACCGGGTCTTGAATTCAAATCACCAACAATGACAACAGCATAATTGGCCTTTCTGTACAGATTAGCCAGTTTGCTAAAATCCCAAGCTTGGCATGATCTATGACATTCATAAGCTGCATCGCCTGTCATAGCATATGGGGCGTGCATATGACTATTCATAATTGCAATGGGATATGTATCTTTGGTCAAAGGTTTCAAGAGAGTTACTGCAATAGACTTACCAACATACCAGTCACCTCTAAAGAATGCACTAGGACGACCATTGATAGGGAATCTATATAAGAAAGTTGATTCAATAGGGATCTTGGATAAGATGGCTAGGCCTGGACCAGTTATTATCCCGGAGTAAAATATCCTGGTATAAGGAAATCGTTCTTTACAACGTAGATTAATGTAATCCCAGTCCTCTTTACACCAAATTTCTTGCAATGCGACGATATCGTAATCATCAATAGATTCCTCATCATCTTGTTCGCCGTTTTCGTTAGTATTTAAAACGTTTAATTCTTCAATGGGGGTCCCAACTTTCGACCCAGAAAGTTTATCTGCAATGGCTCTTAGTCTCTCCTTACGATGCTTCGAGACAAACTTCAACCCCCACGTATTGAAAGTGAGGAACTTGACTCTAGGTTGAATCTTTTGCAGAAGGGTATTCTCAGAAGTAAGTTGTGTTTCATGGATGCCATTATTTTGATGCAATGGAGCGGCTTGTGTCATTGCTTTTTTTCCTTTCTGTTGTGTACGTATGTGTATATCTTGTTAAGGCGTAGTATATAATGGTACTGGTGATAAGATAGAAACCCTCCTTTTAACAACTAACGCTAGTAAGTGTTCCTAATATACCTTTCTAAGCCTCGAGGTTTGAAATTCCTTTGGATGTCATCGTGAACTGCCCAGGTGGCTCCCAAAACATTGATGCGGACACCGTTATACGCGCACAATTACTATGTTAGTAATAAACGCGCGATAAACAATAAAACAGTAAAGGAAGAGAAAGATGGTGAAGTTTGTTTATATCACGTCAGAGAGACGTGACCTTTTAGACTTGGATTCAATGATCAGTTGAATTATCTTGGTTATAATTGTGGTAAACAAATCAAGCCTACAAAGAGGAAAATATTAGCAGGGTTTTTTTCTTCAGAAAAATAAGAGTTACTTAGGCAACAGCAATGGTATCACAGATTAAAGAATTTACTGATTTAGAACAATCGATGGGCCAATTCTCCACCGATATACAAGAGGCATTACGGCTACAAAGAGAAAATGTTCGTAATGTTAATACACGGTTTATATCTGAAGTGAATGAACTACGTAATCTAGTTACAACATTGAATAAACAATATGTTAAAGAACAAGAAGATATTGAAGGTTTAAAACTACAAATCACTTCGGCAAAGGCGAACAATGAAATCTCGAAAGGTAAATACGAGGATTATCAAATAAGAAAGAACAAATTGATGCAAATGAGAGATCAGCTTACAAATGAATCAAATGAATTGGATGCTATGGTAGCTCAGAGAGAACAATTGGTGCAAGACTTCAGAGAGAGACTTTTAAACCAGGCGAGTCGAGATAATTCCGAAGTGAAATTGTATGAACAATTGCTAGGAATGACTGTAGATGCATCGAAGTCTGGCACTCTCGTGTTCGCATTTTCCAACTTCAACGAAAAGAACCCTGCACAGAAAAGTTCATTGACCTTGAATGTTGCGGGACCCACCTTCACCATAATGGATACTAACCCAACCCTCGATCAAAATATGAAACAGCAGTTGGTAGATGTCCTTAACACTAACAACAACTTGTCTGCATTCATCGTGAGAGTTAGAGAGGCCCTAGCAGCTCGTATCGAATGATTGAAATTTTCACCTGTTTTATTCGTATTCTTTGGTGCGGGCATATTTTTACTCGCGCAATGAAGTGCCAGTTTTTTCCAAATTATGTGAAATCTCGAAAGGGAGTCCAAACGCCAACAAGTCATCATCTTTAAAGGATATTTATAGAAGAAAGATTGCTTACCGTCTAGAAACGATAAAGTAACATATAATCTGTAGTTCATATCAATTGATTGGTTGATTAGCGAATCGGATTTGTTGTTGTTATTTTTTAATTCCCGAACAAGATGGTGAGTTTGAGATTCTGCCGTGTCTTATTAATCTCGACGATAATTAATGGAATCTTTAGCGTTGCGTCTCCTGGTGATAATTTAGATGAATTTATTGATTGCTGTGATGCATGTGAATACCAAAGGAAATGCCCGAACTCGTGGGTAGAATGGGTCAACCCTGAAGAAAATGTATTTACTAAAGAGAAATTTTCAAATACTCCCACAATTTTATCAAAATTTTTGTTTTGGGATTGTATAGCAGATTGTGATTATCAATGTCAACAGATTATTACTCAGATAAGGATAATAAACGATGTAGAAATATACCAATTCCATGGGAAATGGCCATTTTTAAGACTTTTCACAATGCAAGAACTATTTTCTACAATTTTTAGTATAGGTAATTTTTTCCCTCATTATTATTCTTATATAAAGATTACAGCCAAGATACGTAAGATTAAAGAGCTAGGGGTAGACGTGCAAAGAACTAAAATCCTTCAGAATTATTTGTATGTTGCCATCGCAGGGATGTGTGCGTGGACTGCATCCTCAGTTTTCCATTGGAGAGATTTAATAATCACTGAGAAATTTGATTATTTTTTTGCAGGAATGACTGTTTTAATGGGATTCCATGCAATTTTTGCTAGATTGACTCATTTGGATCGTTATCCAAAATTAGGAAGATATTTCTCTGGATCAGTAGCTTTTATATTCTTTTTACATGTGTTGAGATTATACATTGATTGGTCTTATACTTATAATATGAGATTTAATATATTTTTCGGTATAATGCAATATCTGTTATTATTGACGTTAGCTTTACAAAATTATTTTTATTTGAAAAGAGAAAGACATAATATCAGTGGATCAATATACATGTCACAATCAAAACTGACTTTCAAACTGTGTATCGTCCCAGTATTGATGGTAGTCGGTACGTCTATGGCTATGTCATTAGAATTATTCGACTTCTTTCTCTATGACTATCAAATCGATGCACATGCGATATGGCATCTATGTACCATATGGCCGTCTTGGGTTTTGTACAGCTTCTTTACGGACGATTACGACCTGGTATTAAACAAACAGATCAAGAATTGATAATGCATTATCTCATTGTACAAAGCAGAGAAGTTTGTATGAAGTATGTATGAAGTATGTATGAAGTATGTATGAAGTATGCAATATGTATTAATGAAACTCAAAAATATATATGTAAAAATTTCAGTTGTTGTATTCACTTTTCACTGTATCAGTAAATTCTTCTTTTTTTTTTTCTTGGAACACTTCTACATAACATACCTGACAAAGCGAAGAATTTCAAGATTTCTATAGCGAACTAAAAATATAATATATAAATTAAATCTACATCAAGTAATAAAGTAAAGTTTGACTTCACAAATCTAACAAAGAAAGTAAGACAAAATATTATTGCAATTGGTCAAGATAAATTCCCCTTATTTGAGGAAAAATAGTACCGCATCTTTTTTTTTGTAAATAAAAGATAAACATAATTACATAACTCCTAAATGATTCCAACCAACGTTGACCAAGCATTACTTCGTGAACATGCTTATTTAAACAGTAACGATTTAAATGTAGTATTGGACCCTGCTGTCTTCTCGAACAATGATGGTTTCAAATCCATCAAAGACCATGGTCTGGGTTTTTTCAACTACTACTTGGCGCTGGATTCAGATATTTATGACGCGTCTACGCTGGATATGTTACGTGCACATATTTATGATAAGTTCAATATATATTTGGGATTATTCCTAGTATTGATGATATTCTGGGGTTATAATGTCGTTAATGGACTTGGTGGATTAAACGGCATGTTCAAGAAGAGAAGGTGGAACAGGTTCGGTGATAGTGGCATTGAGTACCATCATGTTAAAGTATAAAGAAACCCAATGAAGTGCATAGAAGCATTTTTCTTTTAATATTTTATTGTAATAAATCAGCATGTTTTAACTAATATTAAAACACAGTCATAGCAGTCTCAGTTACCAACGAAGCTAATGAAAACCTTCAAGTCCTCATCCTCTCCCCCTCTCTTCCTCATTCAAGAATGAATTTTTGTATATACATAATATATACATATGTACCTATTCATAGTTGTATTCTATTCCATCCACCAAATAATAATAATAATAATAATAATAATAATAATAAGATATATCATACACTACGTAATACTGCTACCGTTAAGCCATTGTTCAATACCAATGTCTCTCAAGCGTCAATGCAACAATTGAACTCTTCCTTCATCTTATACATTCAAAGAAGAAGAAAAAAGGCGTCACACCCCATCTTAATGCTGACTATCAAGCTTGAAACACTATCCATCACTTCTTATTGCTTTCTTTTTGTTTTTGAATTCTATTATTCAGCAATGCTACCTTTCAATATATCTCTCTGCACTGTGTAGCATATGGAATTCTACACCTCTAATCTTCATCAGAGCTTCCCAAGCAAAGACTCCTTCTTCGTTATAGGATAGAGAGTGTAGATGGAAAATAATTGCAATGTATTTGCTAATCCGTTGAAAATATCTCACGTCAGCAGCACCACTTCCCTACAGCATTATCTCAGTGAAATCTGATAATCACCACTAATTGTTTAATTAGTAAGCTCCCTGTCTGCGGAATTTTCTCTGTGTAGTTTTGATCAGGCAAAAGGAAAAAAGAAAAAACGAAAAGCACCGGTCCCTATTTAGCATAGTCTGAAGCTTGCTATACTCGATGTTGTGGGGGGGAGACGTGGTTGATTTGGTTTGGTATATGTCCATAATAGTTCTCGGACTGAAATTTGCATGAAGCAATGGATTGATACCTTTGAAGTTAACAGTACGTTAAGTTAATGGTACAGCTTCCACATGTATATCCATAATTTAGCGCCCCTTCTTTTTTCTTATTATACCATATTGAAAATTGTAAATCTAAAATTGGGTGAGAACTTCCTGTATCATCTGAATCCCAAACTCGTTTAATTGATATATTCATAAATTTTATTTGGAATTGATCATATCTCTGGAATATTATATATAAAAGCGGGCAATGTAGCTATGAATTTGTAACTTATTCATTCGATTCAATTTCTTACCGTTTCTGTTTTTGTTATTTTAGTCTTACTTGTTCTTATATAGAAAGCCATCGCAACAAATAAACAATACTCTTATAGAAATGCCAGCTACAACTCAAACTTATCTAAACGCTATCGCTAACCGTAGAACAATCTACGATTTGACTCCAAAGCTACCACAAAATGTCAGTGTCGAAGACATTCAAGCTGTAGTTCAAGCAATCATCAAAAACACTCCAACTGCTCTAAACTCTCAAGAAAACAGAGCCATTATCGTCACTGGTAAGACTCACAAAAAGGTCTGGGATGCTGTTATCAATTCCATCCCAGGTGAAAACGGTAAGAAGAGACCAATCTCCGCTAGAGATGAAGCTTATGGTTGTGTTATTTTCTTCACTGAACAAAACACCATCAAGAAGTTCCAACAAGACTTCCCAGCTGCTGCCGATGCTTTCCCAGTTGCTGCTTCTCACACTACTGGGGCTGCTCAAATTAACTCTTGGACCGCTCTAGAAACCATGGGTCTAGGTTGTCACTTGCAACATTACAATGATGCCGTCAGAGCTGCTCTAGGTAACTTGGTTCCAGAATCCTGGACTGTTAACTCTCAATTGTGTTTCGGTTCTATTGTCATCCCAGCTGGTGAAAAAACCTTCATCGACAACCCAATTAAGATTTACAACTAAGAAAGGAAAAAACTATGTGCTTTTTTATTAATTCCAAAGTCTTTATAGATCGGTATTCCAATCATTAATTCCCCATTTTTTCCATTATTTTGTAATGATTAATATCACTCTTTATTTTTAATTTAACGTTGTATAATATATTGTTTAGTAATACATTCCTTTTCATGACTCTTTTTAAACTTTTCATATATAGAAATAGTAATTATTTAATTTATGAGTATTACTGTATAGTTCTCCTGATCTCCAATATTCTTTATAAAGTGTTGTATATATGTATACGTATATGTATATATTCGATAGTAATAGTGTGATGGTTTATCACTTTTGTTTTTTTGTTTACTCTTTTTTTCTGAAATAACTTAACTTGATTAAACTTTTACATTTTGGTCTTTATCCTTAAACTTCCGTTACAGGTATGTCAAGTAAACATTTTTTTTCAAATTTAAGTATTGTTAAATAAAACCCACAAATAAAATTGGGAATTCCTTAAACAGGTAAAATATTATATTAGACACATACAAGGATTACATCACGAAATATAGTGGTCCTCTATTGTCTCCTAAAGAACTTCTATTTTTATTATTACTATTTACTATGAAATCAGCCGTCCTAGAGGTGAGATCGCTTTGTAAAACTTTAAATATTGAAAACAATGGAAGTAATAATATTCAAAAAACTAACATTGAATCAATACATTATGTGAAGAACATTGGTACCTAGTTATTAATTACATAATTGGTCTTTAAAGATATAATAATGAGTGTTTCTTCACTAAACCTTGATTTACCCTACACTCTATTTTTTTTTTTAAAAATTTCCACTAATTTCTCGAAGCACGATACCTCTGCTATTGAGAAAAACTAAAAGAAAACAAATTAGAGTGGAAACCTAATGAAAGACAAAATTTGACATTTGAGTTCATATCGTTAAATTGTAACAATTGTCGAAAGTCAGAACAAATTAAAGATTGATTAACTTGATATTAAATACCACAAGTAGCTGTATATCCATAGATCCCTTTTGATCTTTTAGTAAAGAGAAGACCCAAGTTAATATTCCTTTTTCAGGATACTTTACTAATTCAAATAAACTCTACGCATCATGTCCTATTCCATTGGGGCAACCCCCAAAAATAGTTCAGCTCCTCCATTTGCATTTGATAATACAGAAGTTAGAACTATAAAAATCGCACATGAACGTGTTCAATTGGACGTTAATATGTCCACACACCAAATTAAAGGGGTGGCTGATGTTATATTGATACCATTAGTTCAAAATTTGGATTATATAACACTGGATTGTAAAGATGTGCAAATTAATGATGTTTGGGTTGAAAATAGAAGATGTGATAACTATATTCATGATAACCAAGATAAGAGTTTACGTGAAAAATATTTAGATCAAACGGATGATATACTATTCTCAGATAATACTATAGAACAATCTCAATTTTTTAGAGAAAAGTTCGAAGACTTAACAAAGAGACCTGACGACATAAGGAAATCACAATTAATTATTAAAGTACCATCTAGTATAAGAATAACGTTACAAGACGCCGATTCATTATCGAATTATACACCTATTACACCATCTGTGAAAGGGACTCCTGCAGCTCAAGAGAGTGTATTCACACCATTAACTGTTAAAATTGAATATGAGATAAATAACCCACAGACAGGTATAATGTTTGATACAGTTCTCGAAGACAGTCCACATCTATGGAATGTATACACTACAAATGCAGAATTCTGTACCACTGCTTCCTATTGGATGCCATGCATAAATATGTTAGATGAAAAGTCGACCTGGGAAATTGAGATTAGTGTTCCAAGAAAAGTAAAAGATATTGGTACTTCTAAGATGATTGGTCAGAAGGAAGAAAATGTTAATAGTATTCTCATGCAAAAAATGAAGAAGAATAAACAAGGTGAAAATGAGAATAATGAGGATGACGAAGAAGATGATGACGATGAAGAAATGTGGGATGAGGTAGACACAAATAATCCATTAAACAGAGATATCGTGGTATGTTGTTCAGAATACTCAACAGTCAAAGAATTTGCACATCCAACAGATATTTCAAAAAAGGTTTTTGCATTCCAAATATTTAACCCCGTAGCACCTCCACATATTGGTTGGGCAATCGGTGCATTTGATTATTTGGATCTACCATCAGTATCTGCCAAAGATGGGGTAGTAGAAGAAGAACATGAAGAAAATGATGAGAACATAAACCATAATCCTAATAACGTTGCAGAAAATGACGCAACAGACGACATTCCAATCAGAGTGTATACGTTACCCACAAAGGATGTAGATGAGAAGATGATTATTAATTCTACAATTGTTTGTCAGAGGATAATGGATTTTTACTCTAGAGATTTTGGGTCATATCCATTTGCCTCTTATTCTTTAGTCTTCTTACCAACCGTAGTACCTGAAGGTATGGATTTCGCAAGTTTAACAATTTTTAATACTAGACTGTTATATCCACCAAGCATAATAGATCCTATGTTTTCCACAACCGACAAACTTGCATGGGCCTTGGCAAATCAATGGTCAGGTGTCAATATAACACCTAATGATGTTGATGACATTTGGTGCTGCATGGGTATGGCAGGGTTTATGGTTTTTCAAGCAATAAAGAAATTGTATGGTCAAAATGAACTTCGATACAGACTGAAATTATTTAATGAGGCAATAGTGGATCAAGACTGGGAAATGCAACCGCTTGGTTCCTTTTTCACTGATTTTTCTAGGCCGATAAGTATTACATCAGGTGATCTGGACTTTATCAAGTTGAAAGCGCCTATGGTTTTATATATCCTTGATAAAAGAATGACAAAGACCGAAAGATCCTTTGGTATGTCTCGTGTATTACCAAAGATATTTTTGCAAGCAATGTCAGGGGACCTACCAAACAATTCCCTAACTGCAGGCCATTTTCAACATGTCTGCGAACGTGTGAACAAGAATAAACTAGAATCTTTTTTCCAACAATGGATATATGGTTCTGGTGTTCCCATATTCAGAGTTACTCAGAGATTTAACAAAAAAAGAATGGTAGTTGAAATGGGTATAAGACAATGTCAACGTGAGGAATTAGGAGAGCACAGAATAATAGGGTCAAAAGGGTTTGCCCGTAGTGCATTGAATTACGTGGAAAATCCTTATAGAAACGTTGAGCGATACTTTACAGGATCAATGACTATCCGAATCAACGAGGCTGACGGTACTCCTTACGAACATATTGTTGAAATAAATGATATTTTTACTAAGATTGATATCCAGTACAATACAAAATTTAGAAGAACTAGAGGGAGAGGACCTTCAACGAAATCTAACAGTAATTTAACAAGCTTTATAGATGATCATGTCGATGAAAGAGATGATGATATTATCCGATTGGGTGCCATACTCGAAACTCAAGAGGACTGTAAGGAGTGGAATCTTACAAACATATTTAAAAATACAGAAGGCCACGAAATGCAAGCTCAGAATGAAGCCTATGAATGGATTAGGATTGATTCAGATTTCGAATGGATTAGTAAAATTATGATCAACCAACCAGACTACATGTATGCATCACAATTGCAACAGGATGTTGATGTTGAAGCACAAATCGAGAGTATTAGGTATTACGAGGATGTCATAGCTACATCTTTAAGGAGTTCTCTTGTTTATTCTTCCTTGTTAACAAGGACCATAATGGATGATAAATATTTTTATGGAGTAAGGTTAGAGGCATGCAGAGCATTATCAAAGTTTATTTATAAAGGGGACGAAAACTTCCCTGGGGGAGCCCGTCATTTAGTTAAGATTTTCCAAAAGCTTTTTTGTTTTGATGGATCAAATGTACCAAAATCTAATAACTTTGAAGGTATACCGAATTATTTAATACAAAAGAAGCTTGTAGAATCCATGGGAGAAGTTAGAAATGAACACGATGAATCACCTGCATTTGTTAAAGAATTTTTGTTGGGTTTATTGAAATATAATGATAACAGTACCAATTTTTATTCTGATCATATATATTTAAGGGAGTTAATAAAAGCAGTAACTAAATGCTGTATTCATGACAAAGAAGATACAATGTTCCACCAAAATGCAATCGAACAACTGAATAGATACAGCAATCTTGACAAATGGAGCGAATCATACGATTTTAGTATTTCCAGGGAAATTCTCATTCAAAAGCTTAATTTAACAGTTCGAGGTTTGTATGATTTTGATGAATTGAACGATATTCTTGAAAGATGTTTTGATCTATCAAACACTAATAAATTTATTATCACTAGAGAAAGAGAAGGTATTCAAGATATGACGATAGCATGTTTCAAGGCAATTTTAATTAATGGTGGTATCAAGAATACGGATGCGTTGACTTTTTTTTTCGAATGTATGTGCAGTTTCTCAGATATATACGTGAGGTTGAGTTTAGTAAACATACTAGTCGAAGCGTTAAACTTTGTTGTTGAGAATAAGTTCATTGGGAACTTGGACGATGACTTTAATTTTGTTATGGAGAGTATTATTCCAAGTAATTTGAACCCAGATAATGAGGATGAAGTAGCTGCATTTATTATGGAGGATATATCTACTGATATTTATCGTAGAATGTTGGATAGTAAGAGGAAAAATATTCGTGGAATTCTAAAAGCTGTGCGTCATGTTTTCAGAGATTATAAACCGTTAAAGGGGATGTTGTGGAGTGTTCTACACACACCATTATTGAATATATTCACTCGAAAAGTTTTGTTTGATTTTAGTCGTATTCTGTATCGTTTAGAGAACAAATTTGAAGTTATTTTACCTGCTCCAAGAATGAAGAAATTGGCTGCAAAGGATCTGGGAGAAGGTAAAGTTGTTATAAAGAGAGATGGTATTATGAAATTACATATTAAGGCTGTTGCAATTGATGCACCAACAAATAAATTGAAGATAACACTACCGCCTGTTAAGCCTAAAAATATAATTAAGATCAAGACTAAAAAACCTAAGAATACTGTGAAGAAGGTTGGTACGATGCCGGTAAGATTTGTAAAATTATCCTACCAATACAGGAAAATTGATGTATCTAGTGTACCATTCAGCGACAAAGTTACATTTCCTAAGGTAAACACAAGATCATTTACGGTTAAAATTAACTATTCTAAAAAGACTTAGTTGTTTATATAATTACATTCATATATTTTAATCTCATCAAGAAGGTCTTTATTTTATAAAATATATATATTTTTAGTAAGTAAATTAATATAGGCCCTGCTTTGTTAATATTTTCATGGAGCTCAGTGAAATGTGCGCAGCGACGTTTTTTTTTCTATTTCGTGAAGGTACCACATTGTGATTCCGATACAGTCATGTTATGTTAAGTTAAAATATGATGAATTATGTGATAAGAGTACAGGAGTACGTAAAAGAAACTTTAGACATATATAAAAATATTGACCGCGTCCAACAACGTGATAGAGACAGATACGTTAGGAATGGTATATATTAATATCCTATATGGTTTTATAATATATTGTTTATTTTCTATTTGTCGAGGTAAAGAAGAGAGTAATGGTAGTTTTGTATCGTTTGAAGAATGGAAACAATCCAAGAAGGATGGTTCTAATGAGATGATGGATCCCAATGCAGGTAGTCGTAGAATCAGAGAAGTAGCAGATCCATCCTGTTATCGTGGAGGTGATAGTTATGGTGAAGAGATGGAGATAGAACTTGGGTTTTTGGGAGGTGAAGAAATTGAACCAGAAGGTCGTGTATATAAAGATAAGTACAACTATGCATCTTTAGATTGTGCTGCAACTATTGTGAAGACGAATTCTGAGGCTTCGGGGGCAACCTCAATCCTATTAGAAAATAAGGATAAATATTTATTGAATCCATGTTCTGCTGAGAGTCAATATGTTATTATTGAATTATGTGAGGATATATTAGTGGAAGAAGTGGAATTAGGTAATTATGAATATTTCTCTTCTACGTTTAAGATTGTTAAATTTTATGTAAGTGATAGATTACCTGTTACTAAGAGTGGATGGACTGTTATAGGAGAATTTGAAGCTGAGAATAGTAGACAATTACAATCATTTATTATTGAAAACCCCAGAAGATGGGCCAGATATTTAAGAGTAGAGATTGTCTCACATTTTGGAGACGAATTTTATTGTCCAATCTCTATGTTGAAAGTACATGGTCAAACAATGATGGATGAGTTCAAATTGGGTGAGACAGAACCGCAATGTGAGGAGAGTAGCAATGAAGTGAGCGAAGAAACCGTAAGGGTAGCAGAAGGAAAAGGGGAAGAGGAAGAAGAAGAAGTTAAGAGGGACAGTGTAATAGACGAAAAAACTGACCAAGACTGTACTGAAAAAATAAAGGATACTGAAAAAGAAGATGTAATCGTTAAGAAGAAAAAAGATGAGTGTTCCCAAGAAGATATGTGTTTTGAGAACAAAGCAAAACAATGGTATGAGAATAGTTTTCATGTATTTGAAGTGGTATCGAATAAGACAGTGGACGGTAAAATAGTTGATACATGTTTGAACAGTACACAAACGCCTCTTAATGCTGGTCAAATGAGGAAGCCTACTGAGGAATCCATCTTCAAGAATATGATTAAACGATTGAATACTTTAGAGAGTAATAGTACGCTAACTGTGCAATATATAGAGGAACAGAATAGGCTCCTTACACACTCAATAAACAACAGTATTGCGGAAGTGTTAGGAATAGTCCGTTCAGAGCTGGCATTAGCCCAAAGTATGACGGATTTAAAAATTGCAGTTATACAAAGAGAGCAACGCTTTCTGATAGCCTTACTAGTTGTAATAATTTGCATAGCATCATTATATACCTTTGGTAAACGTAGTAATATAATTATATAGTCATAAACATTGTCATATCGTAGAATGTGGAACTCAATAGAAAATTTGTACTTGTAACACAGAAAGAGCGTGAAAATCACGTGCTCCTCGGGTTCACTTGCACTTAACTATCACCGTTCCCGTCTGCGAGGGATCCGCTAACAGATTGATTTTCTATCATTGTTTGGAATGGCGGAGGCAGTTTTTGTTAAGCCGGCTGAGGTGAATGCTTGGCTTGTAGGTCTTGGTGAGAGAAAGAGATGTGCAACCCATTTGTATACAGCCGAGGCCAACAGTCGGTGCGGTCGATGGGATGGACGTTTCTGTTTGAAGAGAAGAGGGGGATGTCCTTTTTGTTTTGCTTTGTATTATGTGAGATGGAAGGCAAGAAAAAGTTTTTCTTTTTCTCAGCTTGGGGAGGGAAAGATAGTTAATGGAAAGTGGTCGTTAAGTGCAAGAGCAAGAGAGAAACAGAATTAGTGATGGTATCTTTTATTATCTCATCTCAGATTTGCGTCTGTCAGAGTCATACTGATAAGGAAACAGCTCATCGAAGTAATATAAGTGAGATCGGTTTTGGACGGAGTTGGTTTTATAACAGTGAACTAATTCTCTGAAACAAAGGTTGTAGCATCTTTGAATAATTGCGTTAGGAAGAGCTTCGTTTTGTTTAGTACAAGGATTTGTATAGTAGTAATTTAAATAATTGCTTTGCAGTTTATTATATTAATATTATCAAGATCAGAAATATAAGTTAATACACAAACAAGAGAAGTACTTATGAGTATCGACGAAGATAAGATTGACGGGATCGAGTTGGTCTCGATCGACAACCCTCGTGGTGATAATAATAATATTAACAGTAGCTCAAGTGATGATAAGAAGGAAAAGAAACGTTCCATATATGTCACGACGTCTTTGTCACAACATCAGACTTCTGATGAAACAAGAACTCGGATTCAGAATGAGATTCTAAGTAATGCTGCAATGAATGGAGAATATGATCCTGAGATGGCTATAGAGATAGAAGAAGGAACTGTACAAGAGACGGAAGTTAAGAGAGAATTAAAAGAAAGACATACAAGTATGATTGCACTGGGCGGTACTATTGGTACCGGTTTGTTTATTGGTATATCATCACCTTTATCGAATGCGGGGCCTGTAGGTGCTTTGATTGCTTATTTATTCATGGGTACATTAGTTTATGGTGTTACTCAGTCATTAGGTGAAATGGCTACATTTATCCCAGTGACATCGTCATTTACCGTTTTTACAGCTAGATTCATGAGTCCAGCTTTCGGTGCTGCCACAGGCTATTTGTATTGGTTTTCTTGGGCTGTGACGTTTGCATTAGAATTAAGTGTTGTTGGACAAATTATTGATTTTTGGACGTTAGCTGTCCCATTAGCAGCATGGATTAGTATATTTTGGGTACTATTAACATCTATGAACTTATTTCCAGTGAAATTTTATGGTGAATTTGAGTTTTGGGTAGCTTCAATTAAAGTTGTTGCCATTATTGGGTTCATTATATATTGTCTATGTATGGTATGTGGTGCGTCCAAAACATTAGGTGGTCCCGTTGGCTTTAGATATTGGCGTAATCCAGGTGCTTTTGGACCTGGTATTATTTCTAAGGATTTAAACGAAGCTAAATTCTTAGGTTGGTTTTCGTCATTAATTAATGCTGCATTTACATATCAAGGTACTGAATTGGTTGGTGTTACTGCTGGTGAAACTGCTAATCCAAGAAAGGCAGTTCCACGTGCAATCAAACAAGTCACAGCTCGTATCCTTGTGTTTTACATATTGTCTTTGTTATTTATTGGGTTGTTGGTTCCTTATAATGATCCTAAATTGACCTCATCAGATTCTTATATTTCATCATCGCCTTTCATTATTGCCATTGAAAATTCAGGTACTAAAATTTTACCTCATATTTTTAATGCTGTTATTTTAACTACTATTGTATCTGCAGGTAATTCAAACATTTATGTCGGTTCTCGTATTCTATATGGTTTATCAAAGGAAAAATTAGCCCCAAAAATTTTCAGCAAAACCTCAAAAGGCGGTGTTCCATACTACGCGGTTTTTATGACTTCAGCTTTTGGGGCTCTAGCTTATATGGAAACTTCAGCTGGTGGTCAAAACGCGTTCAATTGGCTTCTAAACATTACCGCAGTAGCAGGTTTCTTTTCATGGTTATTCATTTCATTGGCCCATATTCGATTCATGAAGGCTCTCCGTTACCGTAATATATCACGAAATGACCTTCCATTCAAAGCTTCACTAATGCCTGGGTTAGCCTATTATGCGACATTTTTCATGATTCTGATCATTATTCTTCAAGGGTTTACTGCGTTCGCACCTCAGTTTTCTACATCTGATTTTTTCGCAGCCTATATATCCATATTCCTTTTCATAGGCCTTTACATTGCGTTCCAGCTCTACTTCCGCTCGCCTATCCTTCTCCCGCTCCACCAACTGGACCTAGACTCAGGCAGAAGACACTTAGACGCACTCATATGGAATCCCTCTTAGACCCTCTCTATATTCATTTCTTTCTACAAAACTCCTGC